AAGAACTAGCCTGATGGTGCACTGTGAGGCCATCAGTACGGAATAACCGACAGGACTTTGGAACCAATCATCGAGCTAGTTGGAGCTTCTCTGATTGAAGAGCTGGAGAAATCTGGAACACAGCACGTGGTGGCACTGTAGTTGCTTGGACTACATCATCGGCCCCCTGAAACACGGGATCGCGCGGGAGATGCTTCGCTCCACAGCTGAGGCTCAAGGCCACACCACGGCAAGGGGTTCAAGTCAATATCAAAAAGGCAAGTTTGCCCAGTTAGTACACAACTTTCGAAAGTTGAAAACGACAGTGACATCAGAAAGCTCCTGGAAATGGCAGAAAAGCAGACGATTTGCTGGAAAGCTTTATCGTTTACTGACAACTGACTCCACGCTTCTGCAAACAAAGGGGGGCGAGTGTCTAGGTAGCCCCTGAATCTTCCATCTTTAACATCTATCAGCAGAGGGTCTATTAATCTGAAGCACTGCTGCACGTGCAATCTTGTTTTGGAGTCATTACATTCTGTACCATTCCCGCGATATTTGTATCCGGAAGTAGGAAGGCGCTTGCCTGCCTCTTTGCATCTCGATAAATTAGTAAGTAGCCAAAACGGGTTGGATAAGCCTGACTTGGAAGCGTTGCTCCCACTCCATGGGGCGCACAATGCATGCAGAGTACTTTACTGTCCATGTCCCTGACATTGGCAGAATGCATGCTGCCAGTGCGGTACCCAACAGGTGGGCTTGACACGGGTATGGCCCGATTAACCTTCTGACATAATCAACAAGATCTGGCTGTTGAGAACGAATGCCTCACCTGTTGCAGTCTTGATGTCTAGCTTCGAAGGACAATTATATTCGTGCAATTTTCGGTTCGTTTGGCTGCCTAGCGCGGCATTGCTCTTCTTGTGCTTTGCTTCATACCATCAGTTTCCTTCCGCCCCCCTCTTCTCCTTTATATTTAGTGGTTATGACCGTTCAAAAAAAATGTCCTGGGACATAACAAAGGAGCGAGCTGGTTTCATGCGGGGGCTGCTGGACCCAGGCCGGAAGATCAACCTATCAGACTCGATTGTCATAAGCTGTGCATGTGTGTACATACATAGAGTCGAATGGGGGGCTGGGGATCTGGCAGAACGTTGTACTGTCAGCACCTTAAACGCAACACAGGAGGGTGGGCTGCCCACACATGCCTGGCTACTTCTCGCACAGCAGATACTCTGACAACCAAGATAGTCCTGCTAGAACCCGTTCCGAGCCACCGGGAACTATAATCTTGGCGGCGCTAGTTTCTGGACGGTACTCCTGCGGGCGTGGTGTCCGCGTGCTTTATGGTGCAGACGTACAAGACCAAGCCACCGGCTGCGTGGCAGTGAGCCTGCATGAGCGAGACTCTAGGTCCCAAGCCGCCGGCGCCCTCTTTCAGATACACAATACTCGTCTGCGAACCGGCGATTCTGGCCAGTCAAGACTGAGTTGTCAGCTGCGGAGGTCCGTATGACCGATCTCAGGAAGCATGTAAATCCGAGTGGCTTGAACGCCAAACCATCTCCTGGTGGTGGCTGTCTTGACTGCAGAGCGTCTTGATGTCTTTTATAGGGTGATATATGAAAGGATCTGATCTGATTCCTTCATATAGCCAGCGGATGTAAATGTTGAGTTTCGAGTCTCAGGAGACGAGAACTTAGGTAATAGAACGGTAACCTGCTAGTTCAGGGAATTTCGCTGAATGCTGTTTGCGGCTCGAGATTTGAGACGTTATGCTATACAGAGACAATCAGTACTAATCAAAGAAACAGCAATTGTCGTTGCCTAAACAGTCGCTGCGCTATAGAGTCATTCGTTCGGTGCGTAGATCCGGTTGGCGGCTGCTACATCCATATCCCATGAACCCGGGAGCCGTAAAACGATGGCCTGTTTATTGACATAACAGGCGGCCATCGCCACTGCATGGCTGAAAGCCGGAGCGCTTAGTGGACTAGATCATGGCCACGGGGTCCGCGCCAATAAGAGAAAGTGGTGATTGTACGAAGAATAACATGTGATTGGGCAAAGCGTTCCCCTCTCTCTGAACTCAGCGGACCCTAACTAATAGAGCTTGATGACGGGTGGAGCCGCCGTTGATCTGAAGAATATCTGACCCAGAAGCCGTACCTCGAAGCTCTCGACGTTACAGCGGCTGTTACCGGTTAACTCCGAAGACAAGATATGATCTATATCACATGGACAGATGAACAGACCTCGCTGAAAGGATTCAATGCGATCAATAAGCCGCCGAGAGGCGACCGGAAAAGATATTGTAGACGTGGCCGTTGATGTGAGGGAGTGCCCAGCGAAATGAGGGTCGCTCGAATGCACGATGGTGAATTCGGCGTGTGTAGCGTACAGAACAAAGCACACTACGGTACTCATCCAAGCTCAAATGCGGCCACTGCCCACGTCGGGTGCCAAATCGAGGCCTGGACTCGGATGTTGCGAGGGATGGTTGATGGCGGGGGTGAGGGTTGCGGAGAGGGTTGCGGTGTGGAGGTGTTAGGGGAGTGGATCCCCACAAGCTCCCCTGGCTTCAGGCAGCGAAATTCTCCTCGTGGGGACTGGCTAGTCAGATCGACCGGGCCCCACATACAATGCCGAGCCAACAGAAAAAACAAAACAACCTTAATTCATGGGCAAGGGTTTGGACCAATGGAAGCACGCCCTCTGCTTTGTCATCGAGCTATTTCTGGCATCCAGCCTTATGTAAAGACAAGACCCTGGAAAACGGTCCAGACCACGTGATATGAATGGCAACAATGTCAACAAACTTTTCTAACCAGATCAATCGAAGATGGGCAAATAAGGCATTCAGAAGGTGTTTCCGGTCACCTCTTCCACCTCATTCGCTTCATTGACCGACGGAGCCCATCAGGAAATGAGGCGTTGGCGAAGAACTATAGCAGCTTGGGTAGGTGGTTGGATTCTGTTTGTGATGTGCAACTTGACGAACCTAACACTGCGAGCTGGCTCATCATCATGGCCGCACAGACCTTATCAAGAACTGTGCACCAACCCAAGTCAGCACACTGTTGTACTTCACCGAAGCCAATGATTGGGTACCCTCCCTCTGCTGGTTCTCGAAACTAGGACAAAGGTCTTTGCCGCAGATTGCCAGATTTGTGGATGCAGGAAATACGACAGGCGAGCTCATTTGATGGCGTTGTCGAAACAACGCCCGACGCAGCCAGAATAAGATCATGATATTCCCATATGATGTTGCCAAGTTTAGCTCTATTGCAGAGCAGCGAGATTCACTTTATTTTGTGGGATGAGTTACTTGGACAAAACAGATGCCGGAGAGATAATACTTCAAGGATTGACAGCAATTGGGGGGCCTTTTTTGCATTTTGACGATTTCGATAATTGACTACGCTCAAATCAAAATCCTGCCCGAAGCTAGCGGCCCTAACCAGTGCAACGGCTGTAACTTCAAGACTGCCAGCCAATGCTCGAAAGAGACAGCACAGCAGGCGAGCAGGGCCATCACAGACCCCAATTGATCCGTCCAGCGCAAAAACGATCGTGAATAAAAACTGTTGGGTAATTGTAGCTACTGTCCGATCAGAAGCTGTGACCCGGAAAATCTCCGGACTTCCTGTGAGGTGTCCGCCAATTGTGTCATACAGAAGCACACCGCTGGGTGGGGAGGGCACAGCCCCCTGCAAGCGTAAGTGGGCAAAATGTACAGTTTGGGCTAATTTTACCCTCCAACGAAGTCCGGGACTGCCCAGTCGCCGACATCAGCTCCCACATCTCTCTTGTGCTCCGTTTCCACCACCACTTTCAACCCCCCGAGCTTCGCTTCGTCCTCCAATCGAGCAGCTCGTAAAGTGGGCCACGCGCCTGTCGCGATTCCCAGAATGCACCCACACCTGCCGGGAAATTTTGTCTAGTTATTATGGTTTTGCCTGGATTCGGCGGTGCGGATGTGCGTACCATGTATGTCACCTCTGTGCTCAATTCCTGGTTCCCTGGCCGTGAAGTTTCAAGCGGGTCCCTCTGGAGCATCAGGTCGAAGAAACTTGGGACCAACGGCTACGGCACTGATCCCCCTAGCAGGGTCCCGGGCCAGTTTCAGGGCCGTCGTGGACGGTCGATGCCCCGATAACAGCGCGGCACCGCAGATGCAGTTGGGAGTCCAGCCGGACTATCTACTTGCCCCTCGTCTGCTCTACCATGCGTGTTGCTGGCGTCGCGCAACATCCCAGAACCGGAAACCTGGAAGGCCCAGCGCCCAGTTAGGTATTGTTGGCATTCGGCGTCGGCGTCTGGTCTTGCGGGAGGCGCAGCGGGGTTTGAAGGGCAGAGGTGCGAAGTACCGAGGACTGCGCAACTGCGTATGCAGCCATTAACCTCAGCCCTCCACCATGATGCATCTCTGGTAACACAGATTGGATGTATCCACGTACCCTGCTGCCACCTTGTAGCCCTCCTCTTGCATCCTCTTGGCACAAGTTGCCGACTCCCAGTCAATGACAGAACGGGCAGTCCCTGCATTTGGCGGATACTTCGGCCATGGATCAGGCTGCAGGATAGGTGAGTGCGGATCAGGAGGTACCCTGAGCTGGGCAGCGGACACGGCGCGTTGCACCAGAGGGTGTGTACGCAGCGAGTAATCCTCGCAGCGGCTGGTGCTGGGGCGCTAGGTCATGCTCTGGTACGTGACCGAGATTACATACACGCCCATCATGTCGTGGTGGCAGCGAGTCGTTTCCAGCCCCGAGGGTGTCCTGGAGCGCGGGCGCACGGCTGAGGATAGAGATATATAATCCTCGAGCACCCCAAAGCGGCCTAGGATCTGTCCACTATCATCAGCCTCATCACTTTCACCAGTGACCTTGGTGATCACAGGTTCACCAACTCTTGCTTAAATCTCTCTAATTTCAGCTTATTCAAACCTTTTGTCTTCTCAGAACACCACGTCCTCGGCAACCGGCTGCTTCGCTCCCCTTCTCCCAAGAACAGTTAACATGTACACGATGGCTCAACCACACCCATTCGCCTACACGGCGCAACCAGCTCACCCTCCCCCTCCTCCCCCTCCCACCAAGCAGTACCCGCCCACTAGCAGTGCCTTCAGCAGCTCTGCTGGTCCTGACGAGGATTGGACCAAGATCTCCGACTTGGCTGAGCGCAGGAGGATACAGAATCGCATTGCCCAGCGCAACTACCGTACGTAGCAACCCCGTAGAAAAGAGAAGGGGCAAAAAGGCGATGGGAGTTAATGACAGAGTCGGCGGACGGGAAGCTGACTTCTCACCTCGTGATAGGCAAGAAGCTTAAAAAGCGTCTTGAAGACCTCGAGAGGCGGGCGGGCACGTCGGACGGAGCTTCATCTGCATCGGGCAATGACAAAACGAGTTCCCCAGCGAAGAAGCGTACCCAGGCAAGCAAGACGAGAACATTGCTTGCTCCTGTGAAGGCAGCGGTCCCCGCACCCTACACGCCACCTATCCGTCCTGAGGAGGAATATCTCTTCCAGCCGACTTCCTACGACCAACGGGACAGGTCGCACAGCCCACCAATGTTCACTTATTCCACTTACCCGCCGCCCCCTGAGGACATGATGATGTCTGCCTCCTATGGCGCCATCCCCGCATACCGGCACATCCAGCCAGCCGAGCCGTATCCTGATTACCTGTCACCGCCGCCGGTCCCAATGGTGCTGCCGCCAATGACGCACTACACCGAGGCTGTCAAACGGGATCCGAGCTATCCGGCTACCACGGCAGCCGAGGAGAGCTACCCCTACATGGGCTACACCAGTTACATCCCTGGTGTTGATATGGGTCCTGCCGGTCATCCCTCGCCATATGAACAGATGCCTCATGTAAGCACCTCTACCTCCTTTCGACCAAGCTTCCTGGGAGAGAACTTCTCTTGCTGACCTGCTTCGAATTGTTACAGACCCCACCTCTCTCGCATTCCTATGACCACTCAACGGCCTGCTCGGAGTCCGGAAGCTACGACTACCCGACAACTCCTCTGTCAATGCCGGGCTCGCCCGGCATGGTCCAGCAACAGCTGTGAGGCGGCAGTTTCATGCGCCCAATAAAGAAAAACGAAGATTCCCGCCTCACAGGCACTGTTTCTGTTCGACTGTCTTCATGATAATGCCGCCGGCAGGCATCTAAATACGTTCACGATACATATTTCCCTAGGCATGACCACACTACACATCTAGGTACTTGGGAGTTTTTCTTGCATGTCGTTGGTATGAGGAATACACTGGCTGGGAATCTAGCACGATGTTTGGTTTTGAAATTTGAGATACACGGCGGGTGGCAACATGCTTTTTCCTTGGGATTCTGTGGCGTAATCGGAAACCGCATTTATCATTCTTGCTTGGATATACTGCAGTTTTTTTTGGCTTCTTGTGGTTGACATGGTCGACGACTGACGGGAGGACCAAATGAGCCGGTCTAGACGATGTTTGAAGATTTAGACATAGGTTATTCACGCAGACCTCGGAAATCGAAACGACGTCTTGACGACCCTTTTTCAATGCTTTATAAAAAAAGTCTGAAGTGCGGTATCGAATTCTTCTTCACCTTTGCATTATTCGCCAAACTTCCCCTCCCCCATGATGAACCCCTATTTTCCCCTTACAGCCGTTGCATCTCACCTGCCGTCTTGGCGCATGTTAGTGAGCACACCAACAGGCCAACACCCACCTGCTTGAGCAAGATTAAGGTCTGACACATCACTCTGTTTTTGCTTTGTTCTAATAGGAACTCTATCGCGCGGGCTCCGTCAACACAAAACACATGTTGGTCCGCTAAACTAGAGTGCTCGGGTGTTCCGGCTCGAATAGCTTCCCCCGACGAGCCACTGGTTTCTCGAGGAAAGCACATCAACCGCCGGGGCTTGCGCCTGCTAGGAGACACAAGGTCCTCACATAACCGGGGTGCTTAGCGAAAGCGTTCCCCTCAAAACGCTGTGTTCTCACTCTTTTAGTGGTTATTTTTGTGTAACGATAGCATTGTATTGACCGAACAATGCTCCGGATCCAAGAGGCGTGCGAGTTCTCTTGTTGCTACGTTATGCCCCTTCGTTTTGAGTTCGCTTTTCCTGTGGCCGTTGCATCTGCTACGCCGCCCTAGGATCGAGGCTGTTGTTGTGGGGATGCCGTTGGCTTGCGCTTTGTTTCCTCCGGCGGAGCATCGAGCGTTCCAACATACGCAGCGCCTCTTTCATCCCCTGTTTCCTCCCGTATCTCTTAGGCTTTGACATTATCAGGCTTCCTTGTCTGCCCCTAAAACGTATACTCGGAGCGGCACCGTTCGCTGGGCAAAGGACTGGGTGTTTCGGGCCCCCAAAACAGTTCCCAGTGTTTGGCAGGCTGGGATTTGATCAATTCTTGGGGCATTTACACTGTCAAGAGGGGGCATGCCCGAGGGCAAGATCGAGGATGTGGAAGAGCAGGGAGTTGGTTGCATCTCGTGGATCATGGGTAAACGGTCGGAGACTCCATCCATAAGCCCTTATTGTTCGCATGGGCACTCCTGGTTCCCGGTGATCCTCGAACGTTGAGACCCCACATGTGTTTACGCTTCCATAAATCCCACTACTTTGCTTGGGCGCGTATCCATCTGCTACCTAGAAGCATCAAGGATGTCGATTATTGGAATAACCCAGGTAGCTGGGAAAAAAAGCAGCTGTGCCGAACAATAATTTTCACGTCCCTTTATATGGAGCCTGTCAAGGTGCCCAGGAAGAAGGAGATGGTGTGTGAAGGGCAACAGGCTCTCGGTGAGCTGGTTCTTAGCCTAACTTTGTCCTGCGAAGTGCCCAAGTATATAGAACTGAACGCCTTCAATAACTTGGCGATGCGATGGATGGATGGATGGATGGATGGATGGATATTTGCCTGCCTGAAAGCGGCGAAGCAGAGCCGTGAGCGTCTTAAAGCGACTGCGAAGAGATCCATTTACTCCATCGTATTGCGTCGCCGCTGCAGTTTACTCGACGAAACACGTACTCCGCTTTGATCGTTTGGTGGAAGGCGGGAAATGGGGCCGTCGGCGCCTCTTGTTCGGTCTGCTGTGGGTTTCTTTCTAGCATCTACGCACTTACATCCTTAGCGCTCCGTATCCCTGAGGCTTAGGTTTCGGGGCTCCACAATGCCGCGGAATGTCGCCGCTTGGTGCAGATGACGCAGTCGAGCGTAAGGTCGCTGGTTGGCGAGTTGAAAGGCGGGTTATGGATTGATCTACCCCCAACGGTCCAGGATCTGCCCTGGGTGGGCATGGAGTTGCTGATATTTTAGTCTAGGTAGTTCTTCGCGTCAAATCCCCGTAACCAAACAGCGCCTAATATTGTCCCCAGATCAGTGATCCAGCCCATTAGAAGGATCCCAAAGACCTTCCAACCTTTAAGGAACTTGTGACATAACGATCGAGATGCGGTGGAAGTGGGTTGAAGTCAGGAAGTTAGGGAGCGAAGGACTCTAGTCTTCCTCCAAATAGAGTATCATCGCGATAGTTTCCGCGTCGAATGACACAGATGACGAACAAGGCATGAAGAGCGGCCTCTTAGCCCGTAAGTGCGGTCTCCAGCAGAGCGCCACCCCGTGAGGTGGGGGCCAGAGCAGACGAGTTTGTTGTTAGGATAGGCACATATGGTTACATTTTGGGTTTCTGTGATTTTTCTGCCGACAGGTAGTCCGTCCACTCTTGCTTCAGCCCTACCTAAACTTTCCGATCATGAAGGGTTGCCTGACTTCTGGCAAGGCGGCGGCTGATACGGAGTCTTCCTTAAGTTGGTAACATTTTTCTGGCAAACAGTTGTAAGAACATAAGACTCAGACTTCCTGGGCTGATTGTCGGTCGGTTTTCTTCCAGATGCGACTCGAACCTAAAGCCGGGTTGGTTCGATAGGCGTTCGCCGGAACGGACCTATGCTCCCATCGCTACAGCCGGGCGCTTTGGCAAGTGTCATTCGGCATGGCGCGGGCTCGCACCGCCAGCCTTGCCAATATCGGCTTGCTCGGATACTCAGCTGACGGATTGGATTGGTTGCCAGCGCCCGCGCAGTGCTGGGTGTGAACACATGAACGTATGATGCACAGCCAAGGTAGGTCGAGTCGTCCCTGCGGGAGATCTCGGCGGCCAGGAAATCAAGGTTTGGAAAAGTCATGGCCCCCATGGCCCTATGGGGCAGTCTTTGACACCTGCCATATCGAGTGGTAGAGTAGGAGTATAGGGTGGCTAGGGCGGTAGACCCCATAAGTGTGCCCCCTGAACGCCGGAAGAGTCCGAATAATACGTGTTCTAATCGCGGGAAAGCTCGAGGCGGGTTCCGACCAGAATCAAGCTATACAGCTTGCATCTACATGGCTTCTTTTGAAAGCCCCCGACAGGATGCAGATGGACAAAAAAATCGCGTTCAGTCCAGCAATCAGATACTTCCTCAAACTTGGAAATGTTCGGGTTGCCATGAGTTGCTCCTGTAGTAACCAAGATCCCATCCCTCACCGAATCCCAGACTTCCATGATCAAGTCTGATTCCTTATTGGTTGTCCCCAACTTCCACCTAACGGGTCACCAATCGATATTGCTCGATATGACATTTGGTGGCAAGGAGAAAGCTCGATAGCTTGGTAAGCAGATCAGCAGAATACGGATGCCAATAAAAAGAAGTATCAACACTTTAGTATGCCCAGACCAAAACCTCATAATGAGAGTCTCTTTGACCTCATTTTCGTTTGTCAAAGTAATAGAGAGAATTGGTTGTCTAGGTACTCTCCCAAGTTAATCACAGAAAGTGAGAAACGATTCCGGACCCCTTCTTGGTGGATAGGGACTGGAGATAAATGCATAAGATCGATCTGGTAGGTGCAAATCGCACCGAGTAGTTAAGAGACCTTCAATGGCTGCATATGGCACACATGGCAGAGGGTTGGTGTAGAATTTGACCCCATTTCTCCCACAAAAAATGATATTCGACAGTAAAAGGGGTTTGCTTCGTAACCCAGGTAACCACAAAGTTTTTACAAACATTCAAGATCTCGGTGAGACAGCACATGTTGCTAAACTAGAAGATTCAAGACCATTCAATTTAATGAGAAGGCTGGAGATGACTTTCAAGAGATTATAATACGTACTAAGTCAACTGTTCACCTCAAGCAAAGTATCAGGAAACAAGCAGACTGCCTTGGACCACACAGCCTGTCGTCTGGTACAGTGCTGACCGTGACTGGAGATGGTCACGGACGCAGGAGACATTCCGCCATCTGAGAAAGCACCTGGGTGTTTTGAATTCGCCATTGAGAGACAGTTCAAGGACCAACTAGCATGGAATGTGTGTGTCCGTCCGGAATAAAGCAAATTATTGTACAATTCAACATTTACCGGTTCCAAAGCTTAACGCGCCATCATCGTTGGGTATAATTTCACCCTACAATATGAATCAGCTCCGTCCCTTAGCTCTTCACGATTGAACCAAGTCGCTGGTTAGCTTGTTTAGCAGTTTCTGCTAAGATATTAGTGAAAAGAGATCTGTTTACTTCGGCTCAACATATCTGGTGATTCTCATCGAACTGGAATCATGGTGCTGAGAACCTCAACGTAGTGGCTATAACATCGTTATCCAGAGTGAGAGTTCACAGCGTAGTGTAGACGCAAACATCTTGCTTTTGGCTAGTACGCATTCTTGACTCATAACCTTGCTATGGCTAGAGGTTGACTCGAAAAGTATGGCTGTAGACCGAGAAACGGAGACACCAAGTACAACACAGGGATCTCCCGCCTGAAGACTTAACTTGATATCCGAACGGAGGCTGGATGAAAGGACCAGACAACAATATCACAAAGGCTCAAGACTTCGATGGCACGGACAGATCCGAGTATTGCAGTCATAGGTGTGGCATCAATTAATTATGGATAAGGTACTTCAACTACTCAACTCATCAACGGCTGTATCTGAATGATACAGCTGCGCAGAAGGTAGAGGACATAGCGGAACAGGCCTGCTATCATGTATTATCCACACCCAAAGAGAGAAGCAAATGTGTCTAGCTCACTGTAGACCCGGCAGCCCATCCAGCCCTCCCAGAAAAATCCAAGAGAAACTGCCGAGGGTGAAAACTAGCCAGCAGCCCACACAAGCGAGGGCCTGGAGCAGAGGAGAGGTGATTACTCCTCGTGCTCGGCAGGAGCCTCCTCCTCGTACTCCTCCTCCTCCTCGTCGACACCAGCATCCTGGTACTGCTGGTACTCGGAGACGAGATCGTTCATGTTGGACTCGGCCTCGGTGAACTCCATCTCGTCCATGCCCTCGCCAGTGTACCAGTGCAAGAAGGCCTTGCGACGGAACATGGCAGTAAACTGCTCGCCGATACGCTTGAACAGCTCCTGGATGGCGGTCGAGTTGCCAACGAAGGTCGACGACATCTTGAGGCCGCGAGGCGGGATCGAGCAGAGGGCGGTCTGGACGTTGTTCGGGATCCACTCGACGAAGTAGCTCGAGTTCTTGTTCTGAACGTTGCGCATCTGGTCCTCGACCTCCTTCATAGAGACCTTGCCACGGCTGTCAACATTGTTAGCATTCATTGTGCCCTTCCATGAGAATGAACAGGGGATGGAACTCACAAGATGGCAGAGCAGGTCAGGTAGCGACCGTTGCGGAAGTCGGAGGCGGCCATCATGTTCTTGGGGTCGAACATCTGCTGGGTTAACTCCGGGACGGTGACAGCGCGGAAGGAGTGGGCGCCGCGGGCGGTGAGCGGAGCGAAGCCGACCATGAAGAAGTGGAGACGAGGGAAAGGAACCATGTTGACAGCCAGCTTGCGGAGGTCGGAGTTGAGCTGGCCAGGGAAACGGAGGGAGACGGTGACGCCGGACATGACGGCGGAGACGAGGTAGTTCAGGTCGCCATACGAGGGGTTGGACAGCTTGAGGGTACGCATGCAAATGTCGTAGAGGGCCTCGTTATCAATGCAGAAGGTCTCATCTGAGTTCTCGACCAGCTGGTGGACCGAGAGGGTGGCGTTGTAGGGCTCGACGACGGTATCCGAGACCTTAGGAGAGGGAACAACCGAGAAGGTGGCCATCATGCGGTCGGGGAACTCCTCACGGATCTTGGAGATCAGGAGGGTACCCATACCGGCACCCGTACCACCACCAAGCGAGTGGGTGATCTGGAAGCCCTGGAGGCAGTCGCAGCCTTCAGCCTCGCGGCGGACGACATCCAGGACTTGGTCGACGAGCTCAGCACCCTCAGTGTAGTGACCCTTGGCCCAGTTGTTGCCGGCACCGGACTGGCCAAAGACGAAGTTGTCGGGGCGGAAAAGCTGGCCGAAGGGGCCGGCACGGACAGCGTCCATAGTGCCGGGCTCCAGATCGACCAGGACGGCACGAGGCACATACTTGTTGCCGGAGGCCTGTTATAGAAGTTAGAAGTTCTGCTGCTTGAGCGTTCCATCGCCCATATTCGCGGCCCAACTCACCTCGTTGAAGTAGACGTTCATGCGCTCCAGTTGGAGCTCAGAGGTGCCGTTGTACCTGTTATGGCGGTGAGCAAGCGGACCGCGGTAATACGATCGTCGAGGGGCAACACATACACGCCATTGGCGTCGAGGCCGTGCTCGCCGGAGATAGTCTGCCTGTACGAGGAGTTAGCGTCAAAGTCTTTACAGAGGGAGTCTCTGCTGATGGAGAGAACCTACCAGAAAGCGGCACCGATTTGGTTACCCTGAAGGCTTATCGTCAGTCCATCGAACCACCACCACCACAATGTTGCCCGGCGGCGATGTCCATCTGTTCAACTTACGCATTGGCCGGTCTGGAGGTGAACCTGTACAGAGAATTCTGGTCAGCATCGTATTCATCTCATCATTGCGAGCCTCGCTGTCGCCAGCGTCGGTCGGGCTGAAAGGCGGGACGAGGTTGTCCCAAACCACGGGTGTGGGGTAGGATCAGGCATTCGGATTTTTCCCAAACGCCTCCGACGCGTCAAATTTGCTGCGACAGGTCGTTGGGCGGGAGTTGTCGACTTACGATCTCACGCATTTTGGATAGTTGTGCGAAGAACTGGATTGTAAAGGCGATGCAAACTGCTCAGGGAAGATGCGAAGGTCGAAAGTCGAAAGACGGAAGGGTTGCTGAGCTGGTGGTGGAAAAGCGGTCGGGTGGAGAATTGGTAGGGGAAGAGGGAGATAGATATGTTGTTTTTTGGGGAGAGAAATGAAGAGGCGACCCGGCCAGCGTTCTCACCGCTTGCTGTTGCCAGTGTGGGGATCAGGCACACCCAATGGAAAACGCGTCCATGGCTGGGCAGGTCCATTCAGGTCCATTCAGGTCCATTCACGTTGTTCGGGCTGCGTGGTGGTCCCTGCACCCTCGGTTGTTTACACTATTTCCCTCTTTGGTCGAGCGGGGTGGATAACGAGTCACGCTAACCCCCTGTTTGTGCATTAAACGGGTTGTCAGCGGGGTGAATTATTTCACCTCGACTTCGGGGTCAAGCTGCCTTCAACCTCGTGATGGCTCTTTGAGACTCCAGAACGTAAACTTGCTTTGAAGTGTTGCGAGATGTGAGCGCAGATTCATTTTCGATCAACAATCTCATCGTATTGTTAGCCTCAACCGAGGACTCTCCTACTGGGCTTTCAGGCACTGATTGATCTATCTCGACCGGCAGCTACCTATGTCAGCTTACTAACCAAGTCGCCTTTCGTGAAGCCGATCACCGCATAATCTGTGGGCACTGATATAACTCTTCTCCGCATCCCACGTAGGAGGGCTGCCGTGACCGACGACATGTTTGGGCTTCCGCAAAAGAATGACACCTTGAGGCCAATTATCATCACACAGTATGGTCATCATATGAAGGATGGCAGCAGTTGAACTCCTTATATTTTTTTTCCCCAACCACCATTCTCCTTCCAGGTACATAGACTGCAACTTAATGCTTCTTGACAACACCAACAGCATCGGCCTGAGCCTGAATCCTCTTCTTGTACGCCTGCACATCTCCGGGGAACTTCTCGACCGTGCCGTTCTCACAAACCCACAGTGAAGTACACACTGTCTGAAGAAGGGTTACGTCGTGAGACACGATGAGCACACCACCCTGGAACTCCTTGAGCGCCTCAGCAAGCGCGTCCATAGCCTCGATATCGAGGTGGTTGGAGGGCTCGTCCATGACGAGAATGTGTGGGTTCTGTAGAGCCAGGCAGGCGAAAGCTACACGCGACTTCTGACCACCTGAGAGCAGAGCCATCTTTTGCAGGCCTGTTGTGCCAGTGATGCCGAACGCACCCAGCTGTCGGCGGTACTCCTCATCCGTCTTGCCCGGGTAGTGCTTGGCCATGAAGCTGACGGCGCTCATGCTGAGGTCGAGCGAGTCGACGTGATGCTGTGCGAAGTAACCAATCCGCAGCCGAGGGTTCTGGCTGATGATACCGCTTGTTGGCTGCAGTTGGCCGATGAGGAGCTTGAGCACTGTTGTCTTGCCGGCACCATTGGGACCGACAATTCCGATACGCGAATCCAGTTGGACATCCAGATCGACATTCCTGAGCAGAATCTTATCCTTGGTGTAGCCAAAGGTAACGTCCGACATCTGAACGATGGGGCTTGACAGCTTTTCGACCTCTGGGAACTTGAACTTGACGCTATACTCCTGCTCTGGCGGCTCGAGCACCGGCATGCGCTCGAGCTTCTTGATACGCGACTGAGCTTCCTGCGACTTGGCCGCATTGTAGCGGAACTTGTCGATGAAAGCCTGAAGGTGAGCACGCTGCGCCATCTGGTTCTCGTATTCCCTTTTCGCTGCCCTTTTTCTTTCTTCCCTCGTCGCATAGAAGGAATCGAAATTGGCGCCACGGTAGTAGTCGAGGCGCTCAGAATGTTGGTGGATGATATCAGTAGCCACTTCGTTAAGGAAAGCCCTGTCGTGGGATACGACCAGGACGGTGCTGGGATAACTTTGAAGATAGGTGGAAAGGAAGGTGATGGAGGGGACGTCCAACATGTTGGACGGCTCGTCCAGAAGCAGTAGATCAGGCTCACAGAAGAGCGCACGCGCAAGCGCAAGACGCATTCTCCAACCACCAGAGAAATTCTTGGTGGGATACTGCTGTGCTTCGGGCGAGAAACCAAGACCTGCCAGGATACTGGCAGCTCTGGATTCAGCCTTGTCTGACTCCATTTCGGCGAGCTTCGCTTGAATGTCGCCGAGGCGTTGATCCAGAGCCTCGCGCTCCTTGTCCAGCTTGGCGGCATCAGATGAAGTATCAGCCATAGAAGTCCGCTGAGCTTCAATGTCTGCCAGTTTTTGAGTAATTTCCTAGATACTCTAGTCAGAATCTGTAACCATCAGAGTCGTGTGTTAATAAATCACTTACGCCTTGCTCCCTGAGAAGCACCTTGCGCCAGACATCGGCATCTAGGACCGCTTGTAGCGCAGGAGTGTCGTCACCCATAATCTAATATTGGATTTTGTTAGTAAGAGAGGTCAAAATCACTAATTGGTATATTACCACCCACCTCTTGTTCAACGTAGAGAATAGAAATATGAGTGGGAATGGGGATTTCCCTCCTGGACAACGCCCGCAAGAAAGTAGACTTGCCGACACCGTTGTGGCCAACAAGGCCATAACGGTGCCCATAAGAAAGAGTCAAAGAAGTGTCTGTGAGTATTCTCTTTCCTCCGATTGACACATCGAACCTATCGATCTTGATATCCTTGGACTTGCCGCCAGAGCCAGGACCCATCTGCAGAGGATTGACGGCCATGTAGAACTCTTCGTATGTCTGCTTCGAGTCGGGCTGGTTCAACAGACGAGAAGCCTCATATTCGACCGTCTTGAAGGCCTTCTTGCTCTGCTTTGCGGCAATTTTGCGCTCAGCTTTCTCCAACTTCTTTCTGTCGACCTTAGATTCAACCTTTCGGGTGCTAGCCGACTCCAAGTCGACATTGCCAGTCGTGACAGCCAGGGTAGATGAGATGCTCCTTTGAGCGCTGACTTGGATGGCCTGGTCCAGCCGCTTGACAGTAGGGCGCTTGCGTTCCTGGTTATCACTAGCAGCCGCATACTTCTCAACCCACTTCTCGACCAAAGCCCGAATCTTATCATGAGTGGCGGCACCAGCATTGCCCGAGGCGGAGACCAGCAGCTCAGTGATGGCAGTAGCAGCTTCGTCTAGAGGAGATGGTCCGTTGGCCTCCTCGTCTCCGGCCAAGGAAGTGGATGCATGAGTTAAATAACCTGCAGAGTACTCCGATATCACGGGGTCGATATTTGGAATGAGGGCTCGAATCTCAGCCTCCATGATGGCGGGGCTTGGTTGGCTTGTCGTTTGGTTGTGAAGTTGACTTTCCAGGACGAAATGGGAGCTCAATACATATATGGTCAAATCAGTCGAACTCGTATATCATGCACCGGCCTGATCGAAATATCGTTATTGTCTTTACCACCCTTTCGTCTTGATCAAGGCCCTTGCCGCCGTGATGGCCCTAACTTTTTTGGTGCCGATTCCGCGTTCAACGTATGCTGCTAAGGTGGGGTGGGTCCACAGCTTTGGAAACAGTGGGGCAACCAGCTGGCAGCAACTGTCCTAGCTGGCAGGGCACAGCACGACTCCACCAATCCCCCAAACTTCCCCAGACCCCGCGCTGCGCCTGGGTCAGAGTCTCGGTCCCTCAGACTCTCCATGAACTTTCTCCGCAAATCAACGTCCAAGGAGCTTTGGTCTTCCTGGACATCATGATCGTTTCGCGAGGCCAGACCAGTTCCAGTTATCATTGTCATTGTCTGGGCATGCAGTCAACCTCCGACGATCGCCAATCAGACAACTTAGTTCAGATTCCAGCTGGCAGGACGCACCCCTAAGATCAAAACTGGAATCCGCGCCGCATCTATAAGGCTGACCATTGGCGCCCTAGTGGAAATTAAACGTCCCAGTTATCATCACAGGTAACAGCAAACCAGCATTTGCTTAGTTGCCCGATCTTTTTGGATCTTGAGCCGAGCATCCAGCTGCAATGGAAGCTATAGAACGACGCCTTCCTACCCTCTACTTCTCAAGTTGGTTTGGCCAAGGATTTGTGCTTGAAGGTTGACAACGAAGCCCTAACACGACAGAACGCTCTATGGTCGTTTCATCCAGCAAGTGAACTGTGTTTCTTCAATGATGTTGTAGCGGAGCATTGCCGTTCTGTCTTACAAAACCAAATGGTTAAGTTTGAGGCTTTGAAACGTCGAAGACTGACGGCAAATTTCCAGTTTCATGACCCAGACATTGGCCACAGAAGCAAATAAGAATCTGTTTTATAGTAAGAATTATGTACTTTGATTTCAACAGCGAGACATCCGCGCCAACATCTTCCATCCGGCCCGACTCACGAAACAAGATCGGAATGGTGCGATTAGCAGATACTGTGGGATGTTGACCTTCCAGTTTAAACTACGTCACCGGTTATGAAGGAGGTGCGACCTACTCAGCTTATGTGCAAAATCCTTTATGACTGGCCCTGGCAACCGATGCACCATCCCCTATGATGACTAGAACGAGTAGACATGAGTCCGGTTGAGTTACAAATTTCCTGGTCTACTTTTGAAGGCTCGAACTTTCCATCAGACAAAAATTTCTGGATGCGTAGCGGGGAACTGTGTTTGAATCCGCTCCCTGTTTCAAGTTTCACCGGCCGAGATCCTCCCAAGAATGACACTTGACCTGGCCCTAGCTGCTGCAGGCGCACGGATTCTAGAAACACATGACGGTCCAATGCGGCAATGTGCTCTTCTTGCAGTAGCGAATATATGGCGAGACCGTCGCCAGGCAATGTCTTGTTCGAGATCTCTGACCCAACCAGTTGTGATAAATTAAGAATCCAGTTGAGCAATAGCCGTAGGGTCTGTCACACAGATAGAAAGGGCGATAATGACCTGGGCTAATCTCAAACATTTCAAGCTCCAGAGCCCCCCCCCGGCCCCCGAGGGTTCTCATGCAGAAGCCCGTCATCGCCGAGGGCGATATTTGTCCTTCACCTAAGATTGTCTGTGGTTTGCCCTCCAGATCAAACATCCACCGAAGAGCCAGGCATATTATGCCACGGATATAAACCATCACAATGTCAACACTCATATTGCATACAAGCATAGCCAAAGTGTCACATATGGCCAGAGATTTTTTTGGTTCAAGTTACCAGTCAAAAAAAAAGATGAATCAGCATTCAGATTGCTTGCACATTTTTTCTGCCTCTACAGTGGTTACTCCGAATAAACGAAGGCGCAAGCCACAAGCGTTGATCCGGAACGTAACAGTTCAGAAGCGGGAACGGCGAAAACAAAACAGCCAAACATCATCTCACAATCGTTGTTTCTAAAGGCTCCGAGACAAGGCTACGTCTGAGGACTGGTCCATCTTGTCGGCTTTCTGCGCCATTGATACGGATAAAATGTAGATGTGCGTATCATTGTCTCCCATGATGGACGGCACGGCAAACTGCCTCTGGGTCTCACAAATATTGATGAGATGGTGGTGGCTGGTCTTTCCAGACCGATTTGTGAAGGGCTAAAGGAATAGCAACATGTTGAAAAGCCGCCGTCAGGAATCGATGGGAATACAGAAAGTCCCCTGAAAAAAAAAGGTTGGCTTGCGACGGCGCAATAGCAGCTTTTTCGAAAAAGAAATAACGTTCAATCTAGGCAGCTTATGACCCGAAGATACATGGCGTCGGAGATGTGATGTAAGCGCCCCTGGAAATTATTTCACTCAGGGGATGATGTGAAAACTGCAGCCCCCCGTTGGATCTTACAGATTTCTCGGGCCTATATACATGTAAGCACTAGTTTTTGTGCATAATATACGCTTATAAGATGATCTTGCCAACCGGAGCCTCACCGAGCGCCCATACAGCTGGTTAAGTAGCCCCTAGAAGCCTAGCTTAAAAAGACGGAAGAGGAAGGCCTTCCATTGTTAGCCGACAGTCTGCTACGCTGAGTGGTTTTGGGATATTAATTGGAAGCTTCATTGGCACCACATACTCTAGGCGGCACGCGGCATGATGTGGGGAGACGAGCAAGAGCTGCTGCGCAACCTTGTTTTAATAATGAGCAGCTGCACTGCGGGCACACTGGATGTGGCCCGATGTTGTCAGTCACATAGCAATGGATGTTGACTGCTCTTGGAAGGCCAGGCAGACAAGGATATATCGGGAAGACATCAAACTGTGGACGTCGAGCGATAGGAAGATTCTGCTGCTAGCTCAGGCAACACACAAACAGAGAGGCAGACAACATCGAGCAGAGAATAAAGAAGAAACCCTCTCTTCTGGAATCTCTACAACATGTGCAATAAGGATGTAATATTTCGTCTTCGTCCGGCCACCGAGTTTCCCGCTTGTGGCCACCCGAAAACTTCCGCTGGTATTCTGATTAAGGATAGGATTACGCTTCACAGACCTGTGATGTCAGCGAGGGCCATTGAATATCAGCCTACCAACAAAGACTCGAAGATCTCTCTGCCTGTGCCCGATCGCATGTAGGCAAACATGAAGGATGACTTGTGACCGGTCCTGATGTCTTGCGCAAGACATTTCGATTTTGGGAAATAGGGAAGATGTAAAATCCCATATGCAAACTCTATCCTATTTGTTCTTGGAAAGCCCTGGCTGTCTTTGTACTTCGTATACTTGTGACATCTGAGCAAACGCGGGGTATTTTCATCGGCGAAATCCACCAACAGGGCAGGTGGGTAAGCCGTCCCAAACCACAGCTCAGCTAGTCGTTGATGATGCAAGAGAGCCCAGTTCCTGGGTTTCTGCTACGGCTTAATTCTAAGGAGGAGAATCCGGGAAGGAGGGGGAGGAGGAGGGGAAGCGCACAGATACTTAGCCAGGCCGGGGCGGCGGAATTTTTCATCCACCACAGGTGATGTTGAATCTTAGAAGTCGGTGTTATAGCTGTGGTGCTCCAGATATAGCTTGGGAAAGCCTGTTGTCAGGACAGAATGGCATGCTGTTGTGGCGTTACGTCGATGGGCAAGGTCGTCCCGATGGTACCTTTATTATCGATCTGTATGGAGGATATCGTACGGCGCTAATCGAACAGAGCGTTACGCCGTACTTACCGTACGAAGAGGCGACGGCAGGGCCGAGATATTCTTGAACAGCAGAAACCAATAGCAACAATGAAACGACGATGCCATCGCAGATGCGCACAATATGTTATTTAGCAAATATTGTTTGAAGGAGAACGTGGCTTGCTGATTGGAAATTGCAGTTCTGGTGTAGCAGAGCTGGGCATTGTTGTGCAGTTCGCGTAACATACGTGCTGTTAGGGCTGAAGGGCTTACAGGCAATCGATTGGAGACGATGGCGTTCGGTTTTTTTTTTTTTTTTTTTTTTTTTTTTGCTGGAGGATCGAGTGGAGCAGATCTTTTGGAATTGCCGCTGGGCCAAGCGCTTCGATCCAAGTAATCCCCGCCGTCAGTACGTCAGAATTTCAGGAATCGGAATGCCATCGTCTTGATTCTGTTCTCTTCTGCATCTTGCTTTGTGTTATGTTCTTGCTCTTCCTGACAATGTGGGTATTCGGGGTCTCCACGAGATGGAAAAACTCCATCTTTCGGCCGACACTTTTGTGAGAAAGCTAGGTATGCCGCTCTATGGCTATGATGAGCAAATTTGCATTCCGGACCTACGTACTTAGTTGGCAAACACCTGGGCGAGGAGGCCCCACCGGGCCGAGGGCAAAGGCGGCGAGTCGGCGGCGACCTCGCTCGTCCGAACTCCCCAACAGAACACGGACGAATTGGGCGTTTGCTGGTACGAGGTCCCGATGATCAGACGAGACATGGACGGGAACCCGCTTTTCGCGGTTGTGGCATCAAGGATCGTCCGTTTTGACCTGGCACAAGAGCCTCATGAGAGGTTGGTACCGCCAAAGGAGCGGCGGTGTTGCAGGACGGATCGGAGCTGCTTGACGACTGGATATGCTGCGACCGTCTTTACTGGAATCCGGATTTCCAAGCTGAGCTTGTTTGGGACAAGAGAGACACACTCATTTGGTGCGGTGAGCAAAGCTACGTACGAGCCATGACACCCCTGGTGATGCACAAGCGCCAGGGATTGCATCGGGGCCACTGGCCGCATCAACGGCGCCTGCACGAGGCCAACGGGGCCCAACGCTGGCGTTCTGGAAAACGGCGGCGTCGACAGGACCGAGGAAAAAGGAAGCATACTGTACTGTCGGGAGTGGGAGGACAGCGGCGTGCAGCCCAAGCAACCGCACGGGTACACAAAGCAACACTCGTAGTCAGGGAAGGATGTCGTTGTTCGTTGTCTCTGACGTGACGACGACACCTGGGTGTGAAATACCCCCTGTGAAAGCCGCGAGAAATTCATGAAAGTGCCTAGCTGGAATTTACATACACAGCAGCCGGGGAGCCAATCCTCCGTGCGCACTAGCGTCAAGCATGTCTCGCTGAGAGCTTCCCGTGCCGTGTTGTTGCTTGTCGTAGCCAGGCTCCGATCGAGCGAGGCCGTCGATGGCCCAATCCGCGCGCTCGACAGCGACCAGGTCCCAAGGGCCCCAGACGGGGACCCATGCTGCGTCCATGCCGCACCCGTGGTGCGTGCCCCTGGCAGACAGGCCCGGCGGGTGCCCACAACAACAACCTCTGGGCGGAATCTGGGAGTTTGGGCTGTGACGCTGTCTGGCAGGCCCCACGCTGAGCCCTGGCAGGGACCCAGAGTGCCCACTGCCCATAAGAGGCCCCATGTCCCAGCTCCCCACCGCAGCAACGAGCCCCGGTCTGCACTTTGGGGCACAGAGATGCCGCACTGGAGCCCTGGTGCCGCCTGGTGCCGCGCTGAGTCTCCGACGACATCCCAGGCTCAGCCCGGGTCTTGTTGTAAGCCGCAAACCGCCAATTCAGCGCTCTTTCCCCCCCCCCCCCCATTTCCCCCTTTTTTCTTCTGACTGAGCGTGCGAGTCCCACGTTTGCCAGTGAAAGAGCACGGCGGCTGCTGCAGTGGTTGCACTTGCGACCGTTGTTGCGCGCTTCGTCTTTTATCTCTCTTCATTTCTATTCCATCCACTCATTGTTGATCCGCTTTTCTCTTTTTGCAGTCCTCGTGCCCCCACGTGCTGCTGAGCGGGGCGTTTCTCCTGTCACTGCTGCTGCTGCTGCCGCTACGCTGCGTTGTGAGCGGGAGCTGCTGTGTGTTTCTTGCTGCTGCCCTGCTGCTGCGGCAATGACCCGCTGAGATCGTGGACCTGCGCTTATCGTGTCGCATTTCGCGGTCGATCTGGGCCTGGGAAACGTGCAGAGTAGCTGGGATTGGAAGCTTTTTTTATTTCATCTTGGTTTCTTTCTTGCAGACGGCTTCCTCACGCTCGCCCTCCGTGTCCCTTCGTCCCAAGTCGAAGGCGTCTCGATCAGCAATCCTATTGCGGCCAATTGCCAGCCTCAACCCCATTCCATCGAGGGCAATCGCAACTTTTGGTCTTTGCCTTGCACCAGCTGCCAAAGCCAGACTAAGTCCAGGACGAGGACTCCAAGCAGGTCGCGTCCAGTGGCCTGCCTTTCGCCGAGCTCCCCTCCTCAACCACACCACACACACACCGCCCACACAACCTGCTGCCCATCAAGCACAAATTACACCCCGCGTTGACCGTGTATCGTCATCGTGTCCTGCTGTGGTCGCGCTGACCGCGGCCTGCCCCTCCATTAACAACAGCAGCAACAAATCGCAGCATAGTTCAGCTGGCGCGCAGCCCGGAAAACTGCCTCTTTCTAGGCACCCAGAAGCGCCCTTGCGACCGGTTTGAGCTATCTGTTTTAGCTTCGAGCTTCGACCCAACCCGAGAAACGCGCCTGCACTGTCAACAATCCACCATCCCTCGGCTCGTTTCTCATCTTGCGCATTCTCTTCTCTTCGAATGCTCTGACGATGCAAACCGTGGCCCTTGCGATACCAAAATCTCTTTCTGTTTCTCTCTTTACCAGCGGCCGCTTGCCGTCGATATAACGACCTGCAGCCAGGATGCAGGCAGTGCCGAGTGTAAGTGTTAGCCGAACCCTTGCCTTCAATCTACCGTGCCGCCCTTGTCGGGCACCATCAGATGTCGAAAAAAAAAAGTAAACATAGTGGTTGAGCTTGACCTAAGCTATCAAAACCGACATATCGTCACTTCCCTTCCTATTCTAGTCCCTCACTGGAAATTGCCCGAGGACAACTGACCAACTCGTTTCCAGCTCGTCGGAGCCGGCACTGCCGTCGCCGCCGCCGCCGTCGGCCTTGTCTTCGGCCAACCTCCCGAGGCCGAGACCCCAGCTCACTCGATCTTCCCTGCCGACTATGATGGCTTCCGTGCCCAGTCCCCTCTCCCCCCCCGTCCGAACACCAGCGCGGCTGCCCTCTGTCAGCCGTCCTCTCCTCTAGCTGACGACTCCCTTTATTCCCCCTTGCAACTCAGCGACATAGGTCCCGGGCCCCTCTCCCCGCTAGCTACTAGTTCAGCGAATATCCCTCGGCCTGCCACCGCCGCGCAGCTCTCTTCGCCTAAGTCGGAGTGGATGAGACCCTTCTTTCTGCGATCAAGCGACCCCACACCGAAAGCAACTGTGGAAAATGCTCGCGATTCAAGCTCGTCTCGCGAGTCGTGGATGCGCCGCCTGTCTCTTCGGCCACTGTCCCAACACGGGAGTCCTAGGTCGAGCACGGCACCCGACTCGTCCTCCATGTCTTTCTCGCATAGCTCTGCCGTGCCGATGCTTGGTCACCCCCAGTCGGTTCATGCGGCGCCGAACAAACTGATCAAGCGCTCCCGGCTCAATGGGCCTGCTTCTGGTAGCCAGCGGAGGGGCTCGCAGGCTCTGACTCTGCGTCGGCCTGCTACGAGCCACCAACGGGCTGCGACACTGCAGCTGATGCAGCAACAGATACAGCAAACCCAGCAGAATGCTACTGTTCTCGAGCCAATTTCACCAGATCCGAAACTCTCCCTCGACATGTCAGTGCTCTCGCCGACTTCGCCGATCTATGCGGAACCAAAGCGAGCTTCTGGGAAGTGGGCCTCCTTCTTCCATGCCCGGCGCTCCAGCTCTCTTAATCGGGATTTGTCTGGCTTGCCTTCGGCTGCTATCCACTATCACCATGTGATGTTCCCTCGCAAGAAGTTATCGATTCCATTCGGTCGAGTCGTGCGTGCATATCTTACCAAGCCTGATCAGCTAGACGACATTCCTCCTCTTACGTATGAGAGCGACCCAGCGCAAGAAAAGTCTGCGCAGGAAGAACAGAGGACTTCTACCCCCGACTTGTTCGTGTCAGACGAGCCAACACCCGATGAGCGGCCTAAGAGGTCCTTATCCATGCATTTTTTGTCGAGGCCCAGCATCCGGCGGCGGAGAAGAAGCACGATCGGTGCGAAGAACGGCCATGCTCGGTATTTGTCGGATCCTGGAACTGCGCTGCAATCTACGATCCAGAACCCCGTCGGACAGGAGTCTGATAGCACCCATGAGCCTACAGCGGCCCTTCAAGGCCCTGAAACGGGTGTGCCAACGTCTTTGGAGCTTCCGCTGAGTCGCAGAAGGAACTCTCCATCTCCTCTTCCGCCGTTAAACCGTCTCTCCACCTTTAGCATCGACTTGTCGAAGATTGGAGAGGCTACCTCGATCTCGGTGGATGGGTCTAGACGGATTCCCACACCCATCAACTACGCAAGGGGCCCCCAGACCCCTTCTAGCCTTGCTCACAGTCGTGGTCCATCGGGCCAGCAATCCTTGACTCTGGCAGGGTCCGACTTTGATTCCCGTGGTACATTTGGTGACGAAGACACTGACCTTAGGAGCGACGGCATGTATGACTCCTTCCGTACTGGTGCCTCCTCGAGCCGCATGAGGTCAGTCGAAACCCCGATCGAGTCGATGTTTGATGAGTCCCCTCCCAGCTCGGCATGCCACTGCCGAACCAAGAGGTTGTCAGTTCAGGAAATGCTCGGACCCTCCTGGGATGGTGAGACCAAGATCATCGAGGAAGACGAGACTCTTCCAATGGCTAATGGGGTCTCATACCAGTCTATGGGCCCTAACAGCAACAACAGCTTGTCCCTGGTCACCCACGACTTGGGTCGATTGTCTTTTGACGATGAAAATGATGACGACTGGGCACGCGACGACGAAAACACTCTGAGCAACCACTTGTCGCCGCCAGGCTCAGCCAATTCTAGACGTATTCCTTTCCCCTTGCGACAAGCCCTGAAGAGCACGAATGGGGGTGAAAACCTTGCTCCTCCGAGGGAAAGCATTGACAGCAGGCCACGGAGCAGCATCTTTGACTGGTCTGAGCCGTCGGTTCACGACAAGCATGATACGGATACGCCACGCCCTAAGACGGTGCACGGGAAGCAGGAATTAGACTTAAGGGGAGGCCGTCCCACAACCCGGAAACCACCCGGCGCTGCACATGTACGGAGCCAGAGCGTTCCCATTGTTCCTGATCTTGTAGACAGCTCGAAACCTCAGCCCAGGTTTGGAACCTGGGGTCTTGGAACCAAGACGGTCAGCGAGGATTGGGATGACGACTTTGAGTTCGAAGGGGACGATCTTGCTACGTCCACTATAGCGGGAAAAGATTCTGCCACGAGTTTCTCTGTGGTAGTCCCTGCCTCGATTCAGGCGACTCAGCCCAGCGTGAGAGCACACTCTGGTCAAATTCGAGAACTATCTTTGTTGGTCAACGACCTCAAGCGCCTCTGCCGTCATGGGAAGGAGCTCGACATCCTCAATGGGCCGGCAGCAGCTAAGTTCTCGGAGGCGGAGAGCATCATTGTCTTAGCATCGCCTGACGAAGAAGAGCCGAAACCAGCGAGTCCGTCTAAGTCATCAAGAGAGTTTGACCGGTCCGATGTCGACGATAGGTTCCTTGATGAAGGGTTTGACGGCCCGGTTCTTGATAATTCGGACGATTCCTTCGACTTCCCCGATTTCCCTGACCTCGATATCGAAATGTCCAAAACCGCGGTTGTCCGGGAGCGCCCTGGCGTTCGCCGGAGATCGGTCTTCTCTCCCGAGGATGACATATTTGGCGGCAACTGGCCGCTGAACGACGGCAACGCGAGTAGCAGCTCGCCCCGGCCACGTACCCCTTCGCGGACTTCGACCCCGAACCGTACTTCTGCTGTGGTCTCTGCCGTTATTGAGGTCCTGCAGCAACAACAGCGCGCCGGCAAGCTGGATAATAGCAAAGCCTCGCCGTTCAAGTCTACCCCTACGACTCCCACCACGAAGCTGTTTTTTGACACCAACAGCCTACAAGAACTGGTCAAGCGTGCCAGCCAGTTGCGTGATGCGTTATCGGAGGTGGTCCGCAAAGCCGAACTGCTCACTCAGAGTCCTGTTAGCACGCCTCGGCGCAGCGAACGGAGCAGCAGTCAAGGCCGAAACCTCGACGGCAGTCCAGCGTTTACGAGCGTCTTTGACAATCATCCGAGCACAGGTTCTAGTCCGCAGACGCGGCTCCCGAATAGTCAGAGCGGTAGTACAATTCTGAGCAAGGCGTCGGTGGATGCGATGAGAATGCCTATGATGACTGTTAACTAACGAATGACACCTGAACAACACCCTCATTCAATACCGATTTTTTTCCCTTCCTTCTCTGATGCCGCGGCCATTTTTTACCCCCTTTTTTCGACAACCAATCTGAACTCGATGATGACGACGACAATGATGACTCGACGTCACGACTTATATCACCTTCTACCGATCCGATGAAGACCATACGAAAATGTTCACGTATGTTTGTACAAGTATACTTTTCTCCAAGTTACCCACGCCTATTTAAGTTGCGTGGAATTGTGAATCAAGAAGAGAAATGAATGTTATGGAAGGACAGATTTTCATGGGATGCCGAAACCAAAACGGTCACCCAGAAACCATGTCCTCAAAAAATGGTGGTATAAACGACACCAGCCATGCTAAACAGTACAGCACTCGTGCATTTTCAACCGGGTCCTGCTCCTCCCCCTATTTTCAGCTTTCTGTATTTTAATTTCCCTTTTTCCTTTTTCAACTCCACTTTGTTTCCAGTACACTGCACCAGGCGATCAAATTACATAACATGGTATGGCATGATAGCATGGGGTTGGCTGGTTGGCTGGTTGGTAGGTGTGTAAAAACTGGACCGAGGAGAAAGGAAAGCACATCACTTTGCGTGGGAGAAATCAGGAAATCTGAGCAGGTTTGCACAAAAACAAGCCCTCACTAATGTATGGGCTGGTTGGCAGGAAAAGAATGGGATGGGATGGGATCGTGTGCGCGAAAAGCAAAAACAAAAGAACATAAACATGGCTACTACTACTACTACACTACAACCTCCTACATACGTACTATTACTGTTAGTAACTAGTTGTTCTCTTTTAGGTCGCTGTGGAAATAAACGGAGTGCGAGAGACTTGGTCGTGTGTGTTTTCGTTTGATTGGAGATAAGGTGCATCCTAGAGATACGTGTGCATGAAGTTCGTATGGTGTAACTTTTGGAGAGGTTGTTGGGGAGAGAGGGACAGCCCAGGTTCCAGGTTAGACTTACGGAGCGCTAACTGGAGCACTGGAATGGGGATATATGAACTAACGCAGCTACCTGCTTGAACCATATAATGACGTTGGGTTATTGTTTGAGGACTTCTCAAGTATTACAGTAATCAGTGGTGAGACTGATCCTTGAAGCTTTCACATTACAAGTTGCTTTTGGCATCATTTAACGAAGAATTGGTACTCGGGTGTCCAATCCGCGGAGAGACCAAAGCTTGGACCCCCGAGTAGATCATATGAGGGGCAGGAACGAGGTCGTGACAGGGGCCATTGAAAGTCAAAACCAGACACCTAGGAAGATTCCAAATGGGATGTTAGCTTGCAGCAAGGCCTACACACCTATGCTGGAAGCGGTGGGCTGGGTGTCGCGCCGGGGGGTTTACCGTCCACACCAATCCCAAGGCTTACACACTCGAGACGGCAAAACCGGGCGGTTTTGGGATACCGGGCACAAAGAGGGCATGGACAAAGCACGTCAAGAGACAATGTTACGGAGACATCAACTATGGTAAGAGACGCTAGATTGAGATAATCTCATAACTGCGATCCTCGATACATGATTATTAAAAACCTTGAATACCCCATGCCTGGTCATCGACAGCAGGCAGCCAAAGTTTGCCAAACTTTGCGAACCCATAAATGGAAATGACACCCTAAAAAATACAGGAAGACCCCTCCTCAGCGAAACAAAAGAACACACTGAGGGATACTGTGTCATTCCCGAAGCCAAAAAGCACAAACGATTTACTTTTACTCCTCCTTCGCACCATGGGCCAAAGCAAGAGCCTTCCAGTAATCTCGCTCCTGTGTTAGCCTCACAATGTCTGCCTCAAGCTGCTCCAGCCGCTGAGCCTTGCGCTCACGAGACTTGCGAGCAGCAAGAGTGTTGCGAGCTCTCTTCATAGCGACAACGTCAGTGGGATCCTCCACAATGATAGGAGGTAGGGGCTTATCGCGACGACGGGAGCTCACACCGGCGACCGCAGAGTGACGACCGGGAGGTGAGGAGGCCAAGGGCTTGCGACGATGTCCAAGCGTCTGGGCGTCCTTCTCAGGATCCAGACCCAGGATGACCGGCTTCGGCTTCGGCGGCTCGGGGTTGGCCTGCGGGAAGAGCGGGAACCAGGCATCCGCCGAACCGACATCGAGATCAGCCGAGCCAAAGCTTGGTGAGACATCGTAGACATCAAACTCGGGCGACTCGTTATACACAGACGGAGAAGTGAGGGTAGTCAGAGTAGTCGAATTAGGCGTCGACATGATGGGGTCATGGATCAAAAGATCCTGAGGGGAGACAGTGCCGACGTTGGCGGTCGAACCGGAAGTGTTGCTGCCCAGGTCCAAGACCGTGGGCAGTGCAGGAGAGGAAAACGCCGTCGTCGAGGCGCCGCCCTCGAAGGCGGGGAAGTCGTCCAGGTCCACGTCTGATGACAGATGTGAGCTTCTGGGCGGAACCATGCAGAGAATTTGAGGGCCACAAAGCAGCATACCTGTTCCGAGATTCATCTTGGCTGCTGGAACACTGCTGGTAGGACCGTGATTGAACAGAGGGACGGAAATGCGGATGGGCCGACTCTGCGTCTGAAGATTCAAAGACGAAGACGGAGACGGAGCGGACGAGGCGTACACCGGAAGCTGGTGCGCAAGCTGAGCAGGGGAGCTAAACCGTTTGGTGAAAGCCGAAGAGGTAGCCTGACGCCCGGTTGCCTGAAGGACGTTCGCGACTCGCGGAGACTGAGAGACGAGCGGTTGGCTGATCGGTTGCTGATTCTGAATCACACCTCTGTTGGTGGGAGGCTGCGAAACTGGGTGACTATGTTGACGGGGCGGCTTGTTCGGCTGTGGGAACAAGACGAAGTCTTGTTGCGGAAGCGGCAGATCCAGGGGCTGTTGTGGCAGTGGTTGCGCGGATGGTGCCGGCAGGCTCGAAGAACTGGAGGGAAGCCATGGTGACTGATTGGAAGCCGTGGTGAAGACTGGAAAGTCTTGGCCGGGAATTGTGGCGGTGTTGGAGAGAGAACTTGAGCGCGAGCTGTGAAGCAGTGTGCTGAAGTTCAGTTCAACCTTTGCAGGATGAGCTGAAGCTGTTGGTGGTTGAGCGGGGGAGACCGTTCGAAAGCCGAAAGCAAGAAAGGAGACGACTCTGCTTGGAGCAAGTCGTTAAAGACGCGGGGAAGGGGGCGTTTTTAACGCATTTTGAAGATTGCCTGGTGCGCTGCTCAAATACTACGGTCTGATAGGAGAGTTGGGGGTTGGAGGAGGAAGAGAGAAGGTGGCCGAAGCAAGTGTGGGCAGCACCAGATTTTATCAGGCAGCGACCGCAGGAGAGTGAGGCGCGTGCGTCTGGGCAGCCAGAGCAGGCAGGCTGCTGCGTTCGGTGATTGGCTCCGAGCAAACGGCCAGCCCCAAACAGCAACTGTGAGTCATACGGCCCCTGCAAACCGCGATCCAGAAAATACGGCTAGACCCTGTCCCACCCTGCTTCTGTAAGCAGGTGGGAGCTTGGGAGTTCGCCAGCAGAGCCTTTCCAAGGTTGCGTTTGTCTACTTCCACCCACCCACCAACCCCCTCACAAAGCAATACACCCGCTTTGATCTACCTTCTCTCATCTTGGTACGTCATCCTCCAGTTGTATGTATGCATACACTTCCATGTTTGAACGAAAACTTCGTCGGTTTGTTCAAAGTGATTGCTGTAGCTGCTTGCTTCCTCGGCCGTCGCAGCTTGGCTCGATGCTGAATTTTTTGTTCCGATCCAGCTCCATCAGTCCCAGGGCGCACAGCACTGCCCCGCTGGGATCTCCATCCTGACCAAGCCCCACCAATGGTATGCGACGCTATCACGAGGGTTCCACACCTGCAATTCCGGTTGGAAGATCCAGGGCAGGCAGTCCGGCAGGCTTACGCCGACCACACGGGCCAGGCCTCCCAAAAGAGACGCACCAAGCAGTGTGCTTAAGCTTCTAGATGCTATGCGGGCGCCTTCACGCCAGAGCAGGCTACACACTGCAAGGTGTCCTCATCGGTTGGGACACGTTGATATTTCAAAGAAAAGGTCAGTGCAATAAAGCGCCCATTGACCCAGAGAACTCTGCTGAGGCCACGATCCAGGGTTGCCTAGCCCAAAATGTGCGCGGCCGCGGGGTAAGCCTACGTAAATCCTTGCGCAAACGTCCATCACAGGACCTCCGGCCGCGCGCCGGCTGCGAACACGGCCATGTGGTTGTGGATTTGCCGGCTGCAGTGGCTCCGAGAACAGACTGGAAAGCCCGCAGGAATAACCATTGGCCATCCTAGCGCTACACTTGCCGTATAGGTAGGTACGTATTGCTTGAGCTCTTTGCCAGAATGCCACCTGCTGCCGAGGAATGTTGACGGGCCGCGGGTGGGTTTGTTGGAAGGCTTGGTCAAAAAAGTAACACTCTCACGGCAGCTTCTGTACAGCATCGGATGTCAGCCCGCTAGCGTACAGAAAAGACCCTTCTCTGAGCGGGCAGCGTCGAGAATGTTTGTGTGTCAAATCAGAATGCTCAATTGAGAAGCTGTCAAAAAGAAGCAACTGCTCAAAACCGTCTGCAGCTGCAATTGAGTTTTGTGAGTCATCGGCTAAATTCGTGGACCGGAACGGCGGGAGCAGTTTTACGGGCAGGGGTCGAGCCTCGCTTCCTCAGCGATTGGTGAGATTCCTTGGTTGGTCCCGAGTAAACAGTGGAACACAAATTTCACTCAGACCTACATCCCATGGGAATAAGACTGGATAACGCTATGAGATTCCCGCCGCAGTCATGACGGCTTCTTGAGTGCCGTCTTCAACGATGTAGATGTGGCTCTGAGGATGGTACACGGCGTCGGCCACAGATCACAGCAGACTTTCGCGCAAAACATCCACGCCACCTGGCTGCTGATCTCAACGGCTTTGAGAGAGATTCAATTTCCGGTTCACGAAAAATAAGACCTGCGGCAGTTTGTGAAATTATTGAAAGGTTTCTCCGGTCCACCGTTTCTCAAATAAAAACGACTCAAATCCCACGCCAGCCGCAGAGCTGTCCCGAATATCCGAGGTCCGCCGCCGACCAGCCTCCGACCAGCCGCAGTGCCCAACCCCGGCCTCTTCCGATGGCTAGCAATCATCGCTAGGAACCATGAAGAGTGCTTTGACGAGCACTGGATTGGGGTTTAAGAGAGGATGGAATATACCAGGATAATAGAGAAGTCTTATCAAATGAGTTCTAAGCTTCACCTTCACCAAACTGTTGTTCGTCTCAACTCTCACTTTGAGTCAATCTCGGCTCGGGCCGTAGGCGACATCCGCTCAACTCCCGAAGTTCAAGATAAAGCAGGCAGTGCATGGCGATTTTCGAAAGCCGGAATGATATTTGAACCCCTAAGTAGAGACTAGCTTGCTGGCTTGCTCTATGGCCCTTGAGCTCCTAATGAGTTAAGACTCTAAGCGTCTTCTTTGCATATAGGCTCTTAGTTGCTCTGGACTCGGCTTATCCAAAGGACCAAAAGTGTTGACCTGCAGTCTACATCGAAGTTATCAACTTGAAATTTGTTTCATTCCCCTTTATCTACTCTAGGCGGGGCATAGCTATAACATATGCTCGGTCAAACATCACACGCTATACTCAGAAGGGGTGAGAGGGTGGCACTCTGCAGCCCACAGTGCACCCCAAGGTGCAAGTCCAGCAGACTGATCACTCTTATGTCACCGGACTCAACCAGGACCCAACCTTCTGCTTATACTTAACCTTTCGGATCCTATACATACTCTGTCATCAACAGTGCTGCCCGGCATCGGACTTACGTGATGGAAGTGGAAGGTGCAGTCACGGACTAACAGCATTGTGAAGCCCAAAAAAAGCCAATGGGCGGTCCATGACAGTTACTAGAACACACTGAAGCCTGGTATCTTAGATTGCTATACGCATCCACAAACGAGAAGTGTGAAAGAGACAAATCCTGCATCTACCATTAGCGGTGGGCTCGTAGGTGTCAGCGTTTCAAGTTCTTATGAGTCCGCATTAGCTTTGGGAAACGATAGTTTGCTATAAACTATCAAGGAATGGAGTCCCCCAACCTAGATAGTAATATAGAGACCGCGTGTATGGTTTGGAGAAAGCTACGTAACTGGAGAAGCTAAATGGAACAAAACAACATCCCAAGCAGCAGAAAGGCGTCTTCCCTCCAACTGACTAAGCCCTGAAGGTATCCAACAAACCACGTAAGTCATCAATCATGAGATATAACAATGCATCCAATCCCTCAAAGAAGACAGATAAAAAGAGAAAAATAAAATCCTGTACCACAAGACCAGGGAACAACAATACCCGGTAGAAAGCGTCTAGTCTCTCACAACTGGCTCTGTTTTTGTTTCCGTTCCTTATCTTCCCTTATGATATCGGCGCAGAACTTTTCCCACATTTGCCTCCATTCATCCAGAACTTCTTGTTTTCTCTCCTTTTCTAAGCAAGAATGCTCAATGCTCCACACGATTAATTGCCGCAAACCATGGAGGGTCATATCGGACTTGCCAGCCATAATCTGGTAGAAATCATGAGAGAGACGCGATCTGGCCGAGGTTGGTTAGCTTCTGTGGTAGCTTCAAGGAGAGGAAACTTGGAAAAGAAAAGAGAGAGAGTTACCTACCTAAAAGGAGTGCCATTATCCGTGCTGATGGTGCAAGGGACATTGTTCGCCAGCAGATTATACACCGCATGCCCACTAATCCGCGGTGTCAAGCCCAGGATCTCGTTTGAGATGGGGCATACCTCAACACAAACATTGTTCTGTTTCATTAGCTCCATCACGTAGGGGTGACGAGGCAGCGCGAAGCCATGGCCGATGCGCTTGGAGCCGAGGAGCAGAGCATCAAAGACGTTGCCATCAGTCTCAGTGCCCATTTCCAGGGTTTCGCCACAGTGGAATAAGAACGGTATATCAACTCCCTGGGCCGCGCATAGACGCTTGAAGGTCAGAAGTTCGGTCCTGAAAGCCCTGAGTGGCTTGCCCTGTCCTTCTTCACCAACCAAGTCGAAACCAGCAATATACGGGCCTAACCTCTTGTTTAGCTTGGCCTGCAAACACTCCTGTAGGGATCCCGCGACTTTATCGTTGGGCATGGAACGCGGGAAACACCAGATAACCTTAAGTCCTTTTAAGATCCGGTACTTGTGTTCCCTTTGGAACTTCTCATATTCCTCAATGATAAGCTCCAGTGTCTCCTCGTTGTTATATTTGGAGGAGCCGTTGTCTTTAAGCACCTGATTCGATTCCATAAAATTAGGGCGAATCTCGGCATATTGAATGTTGTCAGCGACGAATTCTTCCAAGCATGCACGTGTGTACTTCCTAAAGGCCGTTTCATAGTTAAACAGCCCTTTCAGCATCTGGGTTCTTCCGTTGAACTTTTCCCAAGCCCTTTTCAAGATAACATTAGAAAGCTGATCATATAGCGTGTTTAGCTGAGAGACTTACCCAGCGATTGACTGGCAAGGATGGTGCGCCTCGTCTTCATGGAATACCAATTTACTCCGAAGCCATTGCATTGCATCCATGTTCATGATATGACTCGGGAAATCGTTGATGAAGTCCTTGAATAGTCTGGCGCCCTCTTGTTTGGGCTCGCAGGAGTAGTTCGTGTCAAATGGGTTTACGGATTTGCCCTTGGCCAGGGCCGGTCGATTTCTCTTGTCCCGGTCTTCATCACTCAGAATACTGAATTGAATCCTGCATTTGTCAAAGTCCTCTTTTCTCACCAGGGGCATGCTGCTCCAGATATACATTTGCGCCATCTCCTGGGCTATATTGAGGAGGAAGTCCTCTCGAAGATTAGCGTTGAAGTGAATGTGGAGATGGCCACCCTTTGGCATCTTCAGAAGGAGATTGAAGAGCTCTGTCCGTTCGATTAGTTCGCGGTTGGAGAGAAAGTGATCGCCGTAGAAACGCTCATGTTCTTGGCCACCGAAACCTAGCCTTTTACTGGCTTTCTTGTAGATCAACTCTTTATCCCTCTGGACGATCTCCTGAACGATATTATTGGCCTTTCTCTCTGTTTCGGACGCATTTCTCTCGCAATCATAGTCAAATGCCAAGGTTTTCTCATTGTTCACGAGTTTTAGTCTTAGGTCGTCGTAGTCCTTGGAGGGGCTGGTCTCGAAGAACTTGTTCCAGAGCGCTGCTATGTTAGCTCTTGGATTTGATATCCTGGGATCCCCATGGAAGCGGAGTTTTCCGTCGATCTCATTCTGAAGGAGAGGTGTTTCAGGCTGCTTCAACCCAAACTTCTTTCTCACAACTTCCTCGTGAGCGTCGACAACTGGATTCTTGTTGCCCTTTGCAGACATGTTGTGCTTGGGTAGAATGCTAAAGATGAGAGATAATAAACGACCACGTGAGAAAAGACTTTGCCTTGACGATGCTCGAGACTTGTCGGTGTGTTGACGATTCGTCGTCATACTCGAGAACAAGCTATGTGCCAATTTGTAAAAGAGCAGCGGCGCTCAAATAGATATGTCTTCTCCGTTGGACTGGCACAAAATCAAAGAAAGCCTTGTTCACTTTGAAGGCAGCGTTGGAATGGACAAGTACCCGGGTCGGGTTAGGGCAAAGTTGACTCAACGCGCTATGGAGAATGAGGCTGTACTCTGGCTATGAATCCAGAGCCTTGCGGCTCATCAAGAGGGGGTGTTGGTTCGGAAATTGTCAAGAAAGATAAACTTAAGAATTGCAAACAGTCGCGGACATGGGACGAACACCCAAACGGCAGGGGAGGTGTGGGCCGGCAGCAGCAAGATTCATGCGACAAACAACTTGCTGGGAGTGAGAGGTGTTTGGACGGAAAGCCTAGCCATGAAACATGGTGGTTAGGCAGCCCGAATGATGTTGGGTGCTCATCGTGGAAGTACAGGCAGTGGCTGAACTGTGGTGATGAGGGGGTGGTTGCTTAGCGACTATTGGTATGGTACCCCATCATGAGCTTGATCCCTGTCGGCCGCGCGCTTGGCCAATCAAAATCACCTGTGTCCGAGCCTTCAGGGTCTCCCGAGGGCTGTCCAGAAGGTTGACTGGCCAAACTGGCACACTTATCAAGGGGGTATCCCCGAAGCTAAGATGTAACAGCTGTCGTGTGTTGGTGCCAATCCCATCAATTTTGATCTGGACATATGCAGGTATGTCTATACTGGCTTTGTGTAACACGGTTCCATTGACATCACCTCTGGGACCACACGCTGCAACCTGTCTCCCATGTCGGAAAGCCAAACCATCGGCTTGGGCCTCAGACCAAGTCATTGCGATAAAACCAGGCCACTTACCTCCGAAACGTGGCCGACGGCTGCCGACTGCTCCTACAGAGACAGCACGCCAAGAGGGCATCTACGACGTCCGGCTGCTCCCACGTGGCATCGCCACATTTCAGCCCTATGGGAGCGGTGGCTTAAAACCAATCTGCTGGCACCAACCCCTGACGACGTCCCTGGTCTGTTTTAGGCAATGGTCTTTGGATTCTCCATCTGACCCATCTCCCTGGCACGGCGCTCGGATACTGAACCCGTGATTGCCTAGTTCCGGTGGCAGGCTAATCCAACGCCAACAAACCTAGCCGCCTCCATCAAGACCGGGCCAAGGAGCAATCGAACTGTTTCCCAGTCAGCCGCTTTCATCTGACCGTCACCGCCATCGGATCCGGCCATCAGCCGGGACTCAGCTAGGCTGCGAGATGGAACCTCCGAACGAGCTTAACGAAGAAAGACACATTGCGCTGTTTCAATGGCACTTGATTGTCCAGCCTAAAGAAAGCTAACCCGAACTATAGCGTGGCTCTGTTTTGGTCACAGCAGCGGACTCCCTGTATCCGAAAGGGAGCTATGGGTTTCGCTGCTGTAAATCCATGCTCTCTGCCTTGAACAGTCCCGAATGACTTAACACCGCCAACGGCAGGTGGATGTTTTGGATTGAGTGTTGGGTGAGGCGCTGATGACACCAGCATGCTGGTAACACCACGTTAGTACTCATCAGGCCCGCAAGCCGACCTTCGATCTTACTGCAAGATTGGAAATGGCACGGCGGTGGTACATGTAACAGAGAGCCCATTGCCTCTCTGAGCAGCTTTATCACCCTCTTTGGTCCACAGCCCAGGCTAAGAACCGATCTGCTTGGTACCCTCCGGTAATGCAGAGGACATGGAAAGCCGCTCCGGATCGTCATTGACTGACTCGCAGTGGCTTTGGCAACGGCGTGACTCCTTAAGAACAACTTATCAGACCAGCCCAAGTACGTACGACCATACCCAGTGGAAAGCACGGCATCCCGTCCGCTCTGCCCTAGTTAAGCCACTGAGGGCCCGGCTAGTAGTTGGGTCGGTGACGACCAGCGAATCCCGGGTGTTGTACGTTTTTTTTCGTATTTTTCCATTGGTAATGGCTCAGGGCTCTCTTATACAGCGACCATTTACCCTAGCCAACTTTTGTGTCTAAAATATGGCAGATCAGACCACCTGAAGATAGCACCACATCACAGACAAGCACCACCATGGAGATAACTAAGAGCTATCAACTTTTTTTGTCAGGATATAGTCACTACCATACAGCTTGACGTCAAAAGATTGGTCTTGAGGTATAATCGCAGCCAAGCCAACTGCCCACAACATGAAACCAAGGAATGTCACCGAAAAGGTGCCATTCATACCAGATATTTTTGGCTCTCTGGCTAATAAACAATGCCACAACTCCTGAAATGCCTGGAAGAGCACTCAGTCTAACGTGCCGTCGCCGAAACTCCGATGCTGGTCGCTCCCAATGTGGCTCGAAAACAGGCGACCGGTGTGCGCGCTATGCTCCATCTATTCGCTATAACTTTTTCCGCATTCGACCTCCCACATTTAATCATCGAACTTGATGGAGCCCACGGCGTTGGTGTCAATGCGACCGCCGCGGTAACTGCCCCTCTTCTTCTTGTTCTTCTCCTTGGTGAACCCCTTGCCGCGGGTGACGCTCAGGTCCTCATAGGCCTTGCGGCCCCATTCGTGGCCGGTGAACGCGTTGGAAGCAAACTTAGGGTCAACCTTGATGTCCTTGCGGACGCGAGAGAAGGGCTCATTAACCTTGCCGTTGTTGTTATTCTTACCCTTGCCGCGGTTGTTGGTCTTCATGGTGCTAGGGTCCGGAGGGAGAGGAGCAAACTTATCGACAGGGTAGACCTTGTTCGGCTTGTTCTTATCATCGAGCGTGGCTGAGCTGTCAGATGCGGTAGACTGAGCAGAGGTGTTCTTGGCATCAGTCTTCTTCTTGTCGTCATCAGAGTCCGAGTCGGAGGAGGAAGAGGAGTCGCTCGAGGAGTCAGAGCCGGACTCAGGAAGCGGGACATTAGCGGCCTCCTTGGTCACATCATCGGAATCGGAGTCGGAGTCGGAGGAGTCAGACGAATCGGAGGAGTCGCTAGAGGACGAGTCAGACGAAGAGTCGGAATCCGAGGACGACTCGGAAGAAGATTCGGAAGACGAAGTCTCTTCCTTCTTGACTTCCTTCTTCGCAGCAGGCTTCTTGTCATCGTCCGACTCAGAGCTGGAATCAGAATCCGAGTCAGAAGAATCAGAGGATGAGTCGGAGGACGATTCAGAGGAGGATTCCGAAGATGATTTAGAGGAAGATGATTCGGAAGACGACTCAGACTTGGTCTCCGCAACCTTCTGCTTCTTGGCAGCCGGGGCTTCGTCCTCCGAGCTGGAATCCGACAGATCGGAATCGGAATCGGACGAGTCGCTGCTTTCAGCCTTGCGCTTCAGAGGATTAATGGCAGGCTGCTTGGGGGCCGCAGCAGGCTTCTTCTCATCCTCGCTGTCGCTGTCGCTCTCACTGTCGCTGCTATCATTGCTCTCATCGTCGCTATCCTCACTGCTGCTGTCCTCACTGCTGCTTTCGTCGCTGCTGCTTTCGTCGCTGCTGCTTTCGTCGCTGCTGCTTTCGTCACTGCTGCTCTCGTCACTGCTGCTCTCGTCACTGCTGCTCTCACTGCTGCTGCTGCTGCTAGATTCAGAGCTCGAAGATTCCTTCTCAGGGGCATCTTTCATCTCAACGTCACTACCCTCGTCGCTATCGCTGTCGGAGGACTGAGAGTCGCTGCTGCTACTGCTGCTACTCTCATCGCTGTTGCTGTCATTGGTGACCTTTTTAGCGACGGGCTTGGGGCTCAGGCCCTCCGTCTTCAGGGATTCCTCCCAAGTCTTAAAGATTGTGACCAGCGAAGACTGACCAGTGGAGTCGCCCGCCTTCTTCCAGCCCTTGTTCTCGCGCTGCTTCTTGAAAGCAGCATGGGCATCTGCGAAGTCATGCTCAGAAAGGAAGTTCTCAATGAGGTCCAACAGCTGGGCGGGGGGCTCTGCAGGCGCTGAGCGGGTAGCACTCTGGACCGCAGACTTGGGCTTTGACTTCTTGCCGGCCATTGTGGAATCGCCAGAAGTGGTTGGTTGGTTTTTGCTGAAGACCGGGGTGGAATTGTTGGAAAAGAGCCAGGCTGGCGGTCCGGCCATGTGCGGAAATTTACGATTTAAGGGCGCGGGTCGCCAACTCAGCGAGTTGGTTCTTGTGGACTTTCAGTGGGCAGGTAGGTTCCCAGGGGGTAGCGGATTTTGCGGCACGTCAAAGAGCTGGCTGGGGGATTGTTGTGGTTGCAGAAAAATTTCCCCAGGATCCTCGCGTTCCTTCCATTTGCGCCTCACCGCCTAAATTCTGCCGACCAAAAGTGGGATAGCATCCTTGGTCCCTTGCATTGCGGGGCTGGCATTGACCGCCAACTACAGTGCTTGCACGGTGTTTGGACAGTGGCTGATGCCAAAGATATGCGTATCACTACCCCAAGTTTCAAGCTCATGTTAAAAGTCGACAACATTATTGACACTCTCGCTAGAAGTGGAATAAACTCTTTCTGGTTCCATTGGATAAGGATACATTATTATTCATAAAGTTCTTGCTGAATTCGATATTCAAGTACTGCCCTCTCCCCTCCCTTACTCAAATCATGGATTCACGAATGAGTCTTGGACTTTTTCGACTCCAGTCCAGGTACCTTGCGTTTTGGCATACTTAGAATGTCACTTTCAGTATACACATTTCCTTCCCATTAACTCTAGCTATCATCGCTATATTCAGTGACAAATCTTGGTTTGCACCAGCCAGTTCACGCCGATTTCTCCTTCAGTAAGCCGGCTTTTGCCTCAGCAATCTCCCGCCCACACCTCTCCCACACCTCCAAAGCCGTCAAGACCGTGCTCCAAAACATCAAGAAGCCCACAGTCCCTTGTGAAACCGGCACCCATCCAATGATGGAACCAGGCACTGACAGGTCCATCACATCAGCCGCCATCTTCCTAACAATCTTCCACTTCTTCTGTCTAATCACGCTCTCCTCCCACTCCTTCTTCTTCTCTTCATCCCCATCCTTTCCTCCCTTTCGCTTCCCAACCCTCACTGCACCCCTCAATAACCACAACCTCCCCACTCCAGCCAACACTCCCGTCGCCAATGCCACAAACCACCATTTCTGCGACTCCGCAATGATCCTCTCAGTCTCCTTCCTCCCAAAGAACGCTTCAGCCCCAGCCTCCAGCATCAACAAGTCCGGAAACGTCGCGCTCTCTAGCAAGAGATACACAGCCATGAACGACTGAGACAGAATATCCAGCACCCAGGTCCCGGTGGCCAGCAGGGAGGTGTTGCTGTCACCTAGGGAGCTAGGGCTATCTCGGAAGCTCTCGTAGGCGTTCGTGAAGGCCTCTAGAAAGCGAAACAGACGGAACGGGCGGCGGATGAAGCCTAGTTTCGAGGCGAGTGCGTGGAGAACGTATTGTGGGGGGAGATGGAAGAGGGATAGAGGAGGGGAAAGGGGAGGGATCAGGGCGTAGTAGGCGGCTAGGACCATGGCGATGGCATGGAGGCCGCGGAGGAGACGTTCGATGCCATCTTTTGAAGAAGTGGTTAGTGAGTGAGGTTCAATGGAATGTGGGATGTAAGGTAGGTATCATCAGAAATCAAGGGGAGCCACGATCCGTACAGGCGTCGGTAGAGAAGCGGGAGAATTGCTCAAGAGTGGTAACTTGGATTGCTGTCATTTTGAGCTTTTGTGATGGCTGTCCATGGATTGTTCAGGAGAGAGAACAAACTACAAAAATTGGAACTTATGAGAGAGATCTATACGAGCTCATCACATTGCTCTTCCCATATATGGCTCTCGTTGAAGACAGATTGCTGTGTGGATAGGAAAAGACAGGTCTCCATGATTGGTCCACACGGCTAAGCCCACTGTCTTGGCTCAGCTAGCCAGCCGAGGGTTTGATACCCGTTGGGCATTGATTGATAAAGATAAAAAAGGCCAGGAGACGGTATGCCTGGGCAACAGTGAGTGCGTGAAAATAGAAGGGCACTAGAGTTTTGTAACCAGGCGACAAAACACATGGAAAGGCACAGAGAGGATAACGCAGCAACAAGCCACCCCATTGACAAAAAGAAAAAAATCAGGCATAGCCCAGCTGGTCTACGAGACCGGCCTAGGTATGTATGTACAGCGTGCTTCGGCAACCAGATGTCATTCACCACTTCTTTTTCTACTACAGTAATCCCCTTTTACATGCCCGGGGAGACGAGCCGGCCCTTCTGCCTTGAGTCGTGCGTCCAACCACCGGCGAGCGCCTGGCCGCCGGTCTCCTCAGCAAACTTCTTCATGCGGGCCTCGAGCTCAGGACGGAAGTGACGGATCAGACCCTGGATGGGCCAGGCAAAGGCCTCGCCGAGAGCTGTAACCAATTAGTTTGTATTATATGACGCTGAGAAAAAAGGTAGGAAAAACATACCGCAAATGGTGTGGCCCTCAACCTGCTTGGTGAGCTCCTGCAGCATGTCGATCTCGCGCGGGCGGCCCATGCCCTTCTCGAAACGCTTCATGATCTGGTCGGTCCACTTGGAGCCCTCACGGCACGGAGTGCACTGGCCGCAGGACTCGTGGCGGTAGAAGTGACTGAGACGAGAGATGGCGCGCACAACGTCGGTGCTCTTGTCCATGACGATGACGGCAGCAGTGCCGAGACCGGACTGGCTGTCCTTGAGGGCATCGAAGTCCATGAGCTGGTCGTCGCAGATATGCTTGGGCAGAATAGGGGTCGAAGAACCGCCGGGAATGACAGCCAGCAGGTTGTCCCAGCCGCCACGGACGCCACCGCAATGCTTCTCGATCAGCTCGCGCATGGGAATGCTCATCTCCTCCTCAACAGTGCACGGGTTGTTCACGTGGCCGCTGATACAAAAGAGCTTAGTGCCGTGGTTGCGCTCGCGGCCGAAGCTGGCGAACCAGGCGCCACCACGGCGGCAGATGGTCGGGGCGACAGAGACGGTCTCGACGTTGGCGACGGTAGACGGGCAGCCGAACAGACCAACGGCAGCAGGGAACGGGGGCTTAAGACGGGGCTTGCCGGGCTTGCCTTCAAGCGACTCGATCAAGCTGGTCTCCTCGCCACAGACGTAGGCACCAGCACCGCGGTGGATGTAGACGTCGAAGTCGTAGCCCGAGCCGCAGGCGTTCTTGCCGATCAGGCCCTCGGCATAGGCCTCGTTGATGGCGTTCTGCAGGATGGCAGCCTCCTGGTAGAACTCGCCACGGATGTAGATGTAGGCGGCAGTGGCGTTCATGGCGCGGCCGGCAACGAGGCAGCCCTCGACCAGCTTGTGGGGGTCCTTGCGCATAATCTCGCGGTCCTTGCAGGTGCCCGGCTCACCCTCGTCGGCGTTGACGACCAGATAGCGCGGCTTGTTGTCCTTGTCCCAGTCTTTGAAGTTCATGAAGGACTGTGTTTGTTAGCGCTGCGGAACCTGACTTGATCTGAAGTACGCATACTCAATGAGGGGTGGAGGGAACGGGACGGAAGCACGACGCACCCACTTGAGACCGGACGGGAAACCGGCACCACCACGGCCGCGCAGGCCTGAGGCCTTAATCTCGCCAATGATCCAGTCGTGGCCCTTGAGCAGGATCTCCTTGGTTTTGTACCAGTCGCCCATCTTTTTGGCGTGCTTCAGATCGGGCGGGTAGCGGCCATAGAGGTTCTGGAAGATGCGGTCCTGGTCCTTGAGACCGCCGTAGGTGCGCACGGTAGCATAGTTTGGGTCCTGGACTGTAGCGTAGGCGCGGGACTGTGGTGTCGAGGCGGCAGAAGTGGTGGCCGCCGCCGCGGCAGCACTCGAGACGGCGCTTGAGATGGTCTTTGCCGACGCCTTGGCCGGCGCCGCAGTGCGGGACAGCATCGTGGTCGGTTGTCTCTGGTCTCTGCTGCTCGGGCCAGCAGAGTTCTGCAGGATGCCAATTGGCCGGGTTTCTCTCGGCGCGGAGAAAGGCGGCGGGGTGGGTAAGGGGACGTTGGCCTGGGTCGATGGCAGCGATGGTGAACCGATCGAACCTGTGGATGAGCGGCTTTCTGAGCTTCCAGGTTCGACGGCGTGAGGCTTGAGCTTTAGATTCCGAGTTCCCTGATTGGCTAGGTGGGGTTGGTGTGGCGGTGGATTTGTGGCATGCCGCCAAGACTTGATGGTGGGGCAGAAAGACAGCCTGCAATGATGCAACTCAATCTTCCAATCGCGGGCCTCGTGCTATCAGCAGCGGCTTCACCGTCGTCCAGTCCAGGTCAAAGCCCGTTGACAGCCTCTCGATCACTGATTGACCCAGACAACTACCATCACCTCACCCCCAAAACAACCCAGGTGAAATCATGACATTCCAGCCTCTACAGTAGCGCCTAGAACTTCCCAGTTCAAGTCGAACAAGTTCAAGAAAAAAACAGCAATGTCTTCGTCTTCCAAGACACGGCACTCCATAGTCCCTCCTGTCGTCCACACTGGCCCGAAGCCGCCAGTCCATTTTACGTCGTCCATCTCCATTGCCGACTCTGCGATTCTCATTGGAACAGGCTTGATCACAATTCACTCGGAGAGCGTGATTCACCCGCGCGCCAAACTAGACTCAACACTTGGACGCGTCAGCGTTGGACGGCGGTGTATCATCCACGAGCGGGCAACACTCGGTGCTGTGCCAACCCCTCCTCCCCCCAGTATGCCAATCGTCCGTGGAGGAGAGGGTATGAGCGTGGCGCTGGGGGATTATGTTATCGTGGAGGTGGGCGCCACGGTGGAGGGAGGGGAAACGGTGATCGCGGAGGGGACCCTAATCGGAGTAGGGGCCAGAGTTGGGGCTGGGGCAAAGATTGGGAGAGTAGGTTACTAGGAATGGTCAAATGGCTGTATTTAACTTAGGCTAACGCACTGTCAACAGCATTGCACACTTACGCCAATGAGCGAGATCGCGGCCGGCGAGATGTTGCCAGACTTCACTGTTGTCTACTCCAACGGCTTGAGAAGAACTGACAATCGCGGCATGACAGAATTGAAGAACAAAGGCATCACACGACAGATTGATGTGTTGAGGAGGATGATAAAAAGCAATCCACAAAAGTTTGCTTAAACGTGTTTGAAGTTTGGTTTTTTTTGCTTGGGCCTTTTTTTTTTCGCAAAGATACCCCAACGGCCATATATCTGGTTTTTGGACTCCGTATTTGCCGTTGCCAAGAGGATGTTTTCCTAACTGATTCGTATACATGATAAATATGTCCATGCGCGCACTTGACATAATCCAGACAGCCCATTGCTCATATTCCGTAGATAAACCATCACCATCCATCCTACCATCCATGACCAGAAATCCCATCCCATACCATGCTTAGCAGACGGAAGAACAAACTAGGAAATATTGTTGGACCCTCACTCACTCAGAGAAACCGGACCTTCATCCACTCGGTGGTTCCCAGACCAAGGTTCAGGCCGTTCTCAGCCCACCACCTCCTAACCTCAGTCTGGTCACCCAACGAATCCTCCAGAGCCTCCTCAATATCCATCGTCTTGTATTCAACCCTCTTTCCCTTGCGACCTCCCATGTCGGGAAACTCTCCATGTGCATACCTACGCCACCACTCCAGCACATGCACATGAGCATGCAACGTTGGCTCGACCAAAATCTGGTTATCAAACTGCAAGTTATCATCCCCGCGCAGTTGCCGCCACAGGTCCAACACCTCGACACGGCCCCAGCGGCTAGCCATCTTGCATACGCCGTCCTGGTGTCCAACGGGGATCCCACTCTCCTCCCACCAACGGATCACCGCCAGCTGGCCCCACTGTGCAGCAGCCAGCAGCGACCGGCCCGGCTTTATGACGATAGTCGGATCCTGCAGGGCAGCCTCGCGCCACCATTCAAGGACATGAACATGACCTTTGGCACTCGCGCTCTCGAAGGCAGCTTCCGAATACTTAAGCGGTAACCCAGAGCGGCGCCACCAGTCGAGAACATGGACAAAGCCCCTCTCTGAGGCACCATTAAGGGCCTCAGCGTCATACTGCTTCTCCAAAAAGGACGGCGAGCGTGCCCACCAGTCTAGGATGGCGGTGCGGCCGTAGTAGGCGGATGCCTTGGTCGGGATGGTCTTGCCGTCGAAGCAGCGAAAGATGTGGCTGAAGTGCGACTCGATGTAGGTCAGGACGCCGGTGAGGGAGAACTTGAAGATGAGGTGGGCGGCGAGCGCAGAGAGGTCATTGAAAGAGGGAGGGGCCTGGGCTAGTTTGGCGCAGACGGCTTCCGTGTTGGCTGTAAGAAGAGTCCATTCGAGCTCGTGCATGAAGACTTGGAGAGGATCGTTGGGGTCCTTAGGTTCTTTGCGCCAGCCCTGCTTGGTAGGCATGGGAAGTTTGGTATAGATGCCCAGACTCTGGGCCAGTTCCCAATCGTTGGTGTGCTCGAGGATCATGCTCCAGATCTCCGGCGGCAGAGTGGATTGAGCCTTTTTCTTGGTGGCCAGCGGAGCGTCAGCTTGGGCATTGCTGACTTCAATGTCGTGACCCAACTTGAGGAAATCTGCTTGATTCTTGATGATTCCGACGACTTCATTGAAGCCATCCCACTCGACGACTCGCTTGTGAGGGCTGTGCTTGTCGTAATGCCACAAAATTGGAGGCATGACACGAATCCAGGCCCACTTGCGATGCAGCTTGCTCATTTGACGCCTAGTCACAGGGTTCTCCCAGAGCTGGTTGCTCATACCGGGGATCAGCAAGATCCGTTTTGAGGCGTCCCAGGCGCGTAGGACGTGAAGAAGGAGGTTGTCTGCAATCCCGCACATCATCTTAGCTAGGGTGTCGGCATCGATGGGCGCCAGGACGAGCAGGTCGGCCCACTCAACCAGCTCGTAGGCTTGCTGCTCCAGAGCATCAATGTCCTTCGAATGTAAGCCATCGGGAGGACCTGATCGCCGGAGTGAGCGGTTCTGGAGCACAATGATCTCCTGAGCTAATCGATGGGTGATCTCGTCGACGATGGCACGGGTGGTTATTTGAGGTTCCTTGGAGAGCCGCACGGCAATCGCTTCGGCGAAGGCAACGTCGCGGGAGCCGTTGGCGGCTACGAGAAGCCGTAGACACGGAGGACGCCGTGGCTCACTAGAGGAGCCAGAAGCCGGCGCCATAGTGTAGGCAGCCGGCTAATTGTTCGAGATATCGTCTTGTCCAGTAGACGTTTGGGTCGAGGGAATAGGGTGATAAGATGGTAGTGGAAGTTTTTGAAAGGTCTTTTAATGGACGGTCGTGGACTTGTGGTTAATTGCTATTCCGAGCGACTGCGGTGCCGGCTTTTCGATCTGTGTCTTTTGAGAGGCAAATCCAATTACTGGTGTTACGAAATGCGGCGCCAGGAGACTCGATGACGTCTTTAACGCCGTTTTAGTTTCCTGGAGGCGCCGGAGATGGAGCACTCGGTCGCAGAGAAGCGGTTGTTGCGTCTTCACGGCTTGGTGGTAATTGCGAGATTAAAGCTTGGAATCGCAGGAAAAAAAATTTCAATCTGATGATTTGCTCTTGCTGTCGTGAAGTCCACCTTGCCACAGATTAAGCCGGTGGTGTGTTTGACGTTGTCATTACCTTACGATCGTCGATCTAGAAGCTATTCTTCAGGGTTCAGATGAATGGCAGTGTGCAAGGTGGGGCAGAACGTTGAGCTGAAGGCCAGCCAATCATGCCATGGGAGGTCAGCGCAGGCATGGTACGGACCAGGGTTGGAGCCCCACTTGAAACAATGTTTCCGGTACACTACAAGAGAGTCAACAAAGCCTCAATTTCAAGAATTAAGCTGCCGAATGCAGACTGATCCGGTAAAGTAAAATTATTAGATATGCTAACAGCAGTCATTAATAAATTCAATTATATAAGATGTTTTTCTCTGACGATGCACCCTGGAACGCAGCTCACGAAGAACTCGATCGTCCTGAGAGGAGCATAGTGTATTTTCCGTCCACAGTGGGGCTCAAGTCCGGTGCGGACCGAGCCCTCGGGTCCGAGTGGGGTCAAGACCAGGGCATCAGTAATCTCGACTTCCACCATCAACAATCTCATCGGCAACTGATAAGTGATCTATCTACTATGCTTTTGTGATATTAACAAACAAAAAGCATGTCGAAGCTTTGAGGGCTCAGATGGTTATGGTCCTTTGTAGAGTCGTTCCTGGGGGCCCATAGACCACATCCGTATGCTAAGACTTCAAGTTAGTGGATCTCGTGGAACGGGTGTTTTTAACATCAATCTTAGAGCAGATCTTTCTCATGCTGATATGTTCACTTCATCTAGAGCTAGAATCCACTAAATCCACTATTTTCGATCAAACTTAAGCATTTTCTGCGTTGAATCTTCCCGCTCTGGTAAGTGATGTTCTGGTACTAATGAATAAAGGAGGTATTGGCTATGATTTATAATTTGCGTCTTTGAAGCACAAAGGCCACAAAAGAACAAGGGCATTGATACAATCGCAAAACTTAATGCAGCTCTTGTACTCTGATCATTGTTACATGTACTTCAAGAAACAAGTTCTCCAAGAACCATCAGGCTGTAAAGTGTCTAAAGCTTGTAGGCTGTGCAACCGGAAGGTCAGCTAGGTGAGCTGTTGAACAGTTTTTGAGGAATCATGGTGATCTTTCAAGTTCTGAAAAGCTTTGAGTCTGTTAAAACGTTGTTCTCTCCAGTTCAACACGATCTTATCTTTCATATATGGTTGACGGAAATCTCCTGGGGCATCAGCTGCGAAACAGATAAATTCTTTCTGAAACTTCCTAGAGTGTGTCTTCGGATAGAATAAGGAGCTTTGGATCGCAACTCACAAAAGCCGGAAGAGATCTTTACTATTTTATGCAGCAGAAGAAAGTATATTTATCTTGTGGACTTCAGCCTCTGTGACCTGGCATTCCAGAGTCGATATCTTCTTCATCTGTCCCCATTCAACTATTACCTCCACGATTCATCACACACAACCAGTAGGCGGATGAAAGAAATGATTGATCAACAACAATGAATGGTTGAAAGAGAGACTTTCCACTGATTCTGTGATGGATATATCAACCTACAGTTCCTCTCCCTGTTAAAAGGTGGCTCAACTTTCATCAGCTTCCAACTTCTTCACGTTTTGTCTCAGCACCAAAGCTCCCTCCTATCTCATCCTTTGACTTCTAAACCTCTTCAAACACACCCATCACCAACATGTATCAGATGCGCTCCTCCTCTCAGAGAGTCACTTTTTTCTTGAGAGACGGATCGTCTTCCGTGAAGTCAAGTCCCAATCAGTCTCAAGCCTGCTCTCAGCAATTCACTCAGTCAGTCATTGACCATTCCACTCTACATGGCAGCTCAACATCTGGATCTCAGTCTCGTGATGGCTTGTTTGTCCCCTTGACTCGTTCCAACACATCCAGCACTCTCATCAATTTATGTCGCTCTCGTGCCAGCCGCCTCATCAACTCCATGGTTGCCTCTATCAGCTCTCTAAGAAGGCCAGATAGTCCTGTATCTGCGCCAATTATTGGCCCTAAAGAAGTCGACATGTTCGAAATTCCCAACATGCTCCCCAATTACGACCAAGCTATTGACTACTGGGAAGCACAGGAATTCCTCCGTGAGCTCACCAGACGCGACTGGCCTGACCGCGAAGACATGATCCGCTTTGAGTGCAGCATGACGCTGGAAGAGCTACGCAATGTCGGCCGGATGTCCAAGGAGGAAGGAACCCGTACCTGCCAGGATTTTGTGCGTGCTCCGGTTATCTGGGAGAAGGTTGCTGAGAGCTTGTGGGAAAGACTCAGGGAGGAGGCCGAGGCTCATCCGGAGGATAAGGATCAGAAAGCAGATGACCAACTGCTGGATGGGAGCTCCAAGCGAAGACGCTGCTGGAGAATGGTATGGAAGGTTAGGAGAAGCAAGGAAGATGACAAGCCTGCAGCAGAGAAGGATATCACGACAGGATGCCCATTCTGCCCTAACCGCTGTACCATGTACGTCCCTCGCTATCCTGCCAGCATTCATGGAGATAAGCCTTCGTCACTAAAAGACTGGGCCTTGGCTCGGATCAAGTGCATCTCGGAGCGCGTTCTCCCTTACAAGGTGACTATGGCTTCCCGATCGTCGCAGACATTGTAAAAGATATTGCTGACATATATGAGGAGGACAGAAACTCCTTGACAATTCCTTGCCTTTAGACCGGAGACACTCTAACAGCAGGATGTTCTCGCCTAAACCGCTGCCCCTGCTTCCCGTTTTTAAGAGAAAAGGGGGAAGTCAGTGGCGTCGCAGTAGCAGTACTGGTATGGTCGGTGAATATGATGAGCAGGGAGATAACGGGTAGGTATATAAACTCGAGACTTGCCACTGTGGTATTTGCGTTTCACAGACAAGTGTTTCTGCGGTATTCAATCTGTGATTGTGTTCAGATGTGCAGTAGACTTCCTGAAGTCATCATTCCGTCTGGCCGATATCTGTTTGGCCATGAATTCTCTTTGCGTTTACTTGGGCGAAATTAGACAGTTGTGTTTCCGTTTGGTAAATCTTAGATTGGGGTAATAAGGATTATCTTCCTCAGGAGAAACTTGGCATGAAATCGCTTTGATGGAATAGACCTACCCTCCAAGGACAATCAAATTAGAATGGTATATTGCTCTAACCTTCTGTTTACCCCTTCGTTTTGCAGCGAGACAAAGAACAAGACACCGGTCTATTACCCAGCCCACTGTCCTAGTCTTAAATCCCCAAACCCTCCACAACACCCAAGAACTCTCCTCGCGCGCCTTGCAACAGGCTTTCAACATCAACGCCTCTCAGATACTTCTCGCTCACACCATTATTGACTCTCTTGCTCAATAACTCCTTCAACTCCCACCTCATCTGTTTCATCTCAGCTTTAGTCGTCATTCTTGCCTCCCTCTCTCTTTGCTTCTTCCCGCTGCCCTTGCCTTTCCACACCCCAAGTTCCTCGGCTTCCTCGGGGTCGACACCCAGTTCTTCAGCCGCCTTGCGCAGCCACTCATCTTCCTTGGCACCGCGCTCCTTCGCCATCGTCGCCTCTGTAATTTTTTGCGAGAGCGTGACTCGAGGACGCAGGCATTGCACCAGCCTCCTGTCGATATCAATCGTCTGGACGCCAAGCGCTTTGGTGCTCTTGACAGGGTTAGAGTTCTTAGCGGCCGCAGCGGCGTGGACCTTGTTGATAAGACGCTGGGTTGGGATAGCTTCCTTCGGCCCGCACAAGAGAATGGAGACACCCGAGTTACTGGCACGAGCGGTACGACCTGAGCGGTGCACGTAATCATCGGCACTGCGCGGGACGTGGTAGTGCACGACAAGGTCAATCAACGGGATATCAAGACCGCGTGCGGCTACGTCGGTGGCAACTAGGATTGAGGCAGCGTTGTTGCTCTTGCTCTTGTTGGGATGGTTGTCGGCCTTGAAGCGCTCGATTGACCGAAGACGGGCTTTTTGTTCCATCTCGGAGTGCAGTGCGAAAACGGGGAGATTGAGGTTGTTGAGGAAGGCAGTAAGGCGTCTGACAGTGTTGATGGAGTTTGTAAAAACGAGGGCGCGGCGAGTAGGTTGGAGCAGAAGGACGGCGTAGAGGTAGAGGTCCTTTTCCATGTCGCCGCATTGAATCAGGCCCTCTTTAAGGTTCTCGGCCATCTGAGTGATCGGGTTGGTGTCGATGAACTTGGGGTGCTCACGGAAGTTCAGTCTTTTGAGAAGGTACTCGAGGGATTCTGTTTCACCCATCAGGTTGTAGCGTGCCTTGCCCGCAAGCTTTTGCTGGAGAGCCTTATTGAAGGTAGCTGAGAAGACAAGAGTCTGCCGACGACGGCGAGAGGTCTTCTCATCGTCAGAATCATTCTCTTCCTCCTCTCCCGGAACAGTGCGGTCCAGAGCAAGCAGGATCTTTTCAGCCTCCTTGAAGTGGCCATCCTTCAGGATGCGATCCGCTTCATCAACAACAAGGAAACTGATGCTCCTAAAGGACTGCATAACAGCATTGCTCGTGCTCATGACCTCCCACAGACGGCCTGGAGTACCCACGACAATATCCGCTTTTTGCAGTTGTCTCTCCTGCTTCTGGACTGCCAACCCACCGGTTACCGAGCAGATATAAGGAGCCGTTGCCAGTCCGGCACAGAGCTGCTTGAGATGGTCGGTGATCTGGTGGGCAAGTTCTCTGGTGGGGGATAGGATGAGAGCGATAGGATGCTTCTGACCACTTGACTCTGCAGAGGCTATCTTGGACAACCAGGCCTCGACAATAGGGATTCCAAAAGCCAACGTTTTACCGGAACCTGTCGCGGCCTTTCCGATAACATCGTGGCCATTGATGACCTCAGGGATAGCCCTGGCCTGGATAGGGGTTGGCTTAAGGAACTTCAAGCGGGCGATGCAAGACAGGACTGGAGGTGACAACCCCAGTGGAACCCATTCGGAAAGGTCGACATCGTCTTCCGCAGCCTCGACGTCAGCAATAGCTGCGGCTTGGGCAAAGACATTGGTTTCAAGTTCGGGGTCGGCTTCTGGCTGTTGAGTCTTGGCAGTTTTCTTGTTTTTTTTGTCCTTCTTTCCCCTTTTCTGATCCTGCTGCGGCTCTTGGGGCCTGGAGTCTTTCTCTTCCTCTTTAGTAGGTTCAGTAGCAGCCGAATCGGTGAACGAGACCTCAGTGCCATCAGTGGTCTTGGACTCCGTTGACTCGGTAGCCTCACCAGCTGCATGAGGTTCCTCTTCAGGGACGTCATCAAAGCCTTTGAACTCTTCGCTCTCATCTGACGGAGGGACAGCAGCAACCTGAGCGAGTGTAAGCAAACGGCATGATGAACTGGCCAGACAGACATACAAATTTTACAGTATTACCCTCGCGAATAACCTCAACACCGGTAACCTCCTCTAGACCGTAAAACCCTTCGGCATCGTCGAACATTTCGAGCACGTCAACCGTCTTCCATGGCAGCTTGTCGACATGAACCACCCGTTTTTCCACACTGGTCTTCTGCCGTTTCGCGGAATTTCCTTGTCCCTTGAAGCGCTTTACAGCGCTATCGGAGCGCTTGCGTTTCTTGTCGAAACCCATTGTTGTTTGAATTGTGAGAATGGGTGTTCGCTGTAAGACGTGTCTTGCTGATGAATTCGATGGATGAGCTTGAAAATTTCCCAAACACATTGCGAGGTCCATCAACTGAAAGTTTGGACCCACACCTGACGTAAAAATCGCCAAAACAGGCATAGTGTGCGCTCAAGTTACAGTATTTTACGTACACTATACCCCTCTACGACTCTTAGTCCATCCTCAGTTTCAGATTTACAACCCATTTATCACCCTTCAGAGCCATTGAGAAGGTAGTGTTGAGTCAGGAAGATTATCACAGCTCTCAGAGACAAAAGCTGATTTATATAAGCACATTTTTTTGCAAACAGTTTCAACTGCCTGAGGCAATTATTCACTCTAGAATTTTAACCCTCTCTAACCATCGCGGAGATTAGCTGAGACTCGAAAGCGTTCCCCAGACTCAAATCTACGGGGTGATCATAGTCTACACGGACCACCATGGGAAAGTCGTCAAAAGATAAGCGCGATGCCTACTATCGGCTCGCAAAAGAGCAGGGGTGGCGAGCCCGGAGTGCGTTCAAGCTGCTCCAGCTTGATGAAGGTAGCCCCCCTTTTGTCAAGATTTTGCATGGATCAGCCAATGCTAACATATCCCTAGAGTTCAACCTTTTTGAGGGGGTCACCCGTGTAGTCGATCTTTGTGCTGCCCCTGGAAGCTGGTCTCAAGTGCTGTCCAGAGTGCTCATCAAGGGAGAAAAGTTCGGTCGCTCTGCATGGCAGGATCGTGAGGCAAAGCTCCGCCAGCAAATGCTCAACATCATCTCCTCTGAATCAGCACCTGAGGAACCAGCTAGTGAGACTAGGCCTGCTGCTGAGCAGCACGAGCCTCGTACAGACGTCAAAATTGTTTCTATCGACCTCCAGCCTATCAGCCCGCTCCCCGGCATCATCACTCTTCGTGCCGACATCACCCACCCGGCGACGGTCCCTCTGCTCCTTAAGGCCCTTGACCCCGATTACAACCCCAATACGATGAGCGCCCAGGCCTCTCACCCTGTCGACCTGGTCATCAGCGATGGTGCCCCTGACGTCACAGGTCTGCACGACCTTGACATCTACGTGCAATCCCAGCTGCTGTTCGCTGCGCTCAACCTGGCCCTGTGCGTGCTAAAGCCGGGTGGCAAGTTCGTCGCCAAAATCTTCCGCGGCCGCAACGTCGATCTCCTGTACGCACAACTCAAGATCTTCTTCGAGAAGGTTTACGTTGCCAAGCCGCGCTCTTCACGCGCGAGCTCTGTTGAGTCCTTCATTGTCTGCATCAACTTCCAGCCTCCGGCTGGCTTCAAAGCTAGTCTTGAAGAGCCCCTAGGCGTCGGAAACCGCCTGGCCAAGATGTTGGCCGACAAACTGGCCTCAACGCCTATCACTGCACCTGCTGGGTATATGCAGAACTGGGACAATGGCGCTTGGAGCTCAACACCAGTGAAGGTGTTGCCGGCTCAGGATGACGGCATCTGTGATGTTCAAGTCGAAGATCTGACAAGGGAGCCAGCTGACAAGGACATACGTTGGATCGCGCCATTCGTGGCCTGCGGCGACCTTTCAGCCTTCGATTCTGATGCCTCTTACAAGCTACCGGAGGATCACGTTTCCCTGGACCCCGTTCAGCCACCAACGGCTCCCCCGTACAAGCGGGCTATTGAGTTGAGGAGAGCCCATGGCGGCGCATACGGCAAGCCCCCAGGGAAATAGACAGTAGAGTAAATCTAGCATCAGGTTCTATCAGCTTGAAATACCCTGCTATCATACCGACTTGTCCTCTTTCTCTGTCCCATCTCCTTGCGGTATTCTCTTCCCAGGTCCAGGCCTCTCCATGAAAATCAGGCCGGCCTTTTGCCCATCCCACTCCATCATTCCAATCGTTTTGCGATACATTCGAGCGGCCGTTTCGCCGCGAGTGAACAGTATACATCTACGCAGCATAGGCCATTCGCTGACCACTTCGTTCAAACATTGCATCATCCACCTGCCTAAGCCCCGGCCCTGGTGTTCGGAAAGAACATACACGTCGGTGAGGTATCCGAATGTGACATGGTCGGTAATGAGCCGTGCAAAACCGACCATCTGAATCTTGGATTCAGGATCCTGGAGAGTCTCGGTTCCTGAAGTTGTGTTAGCCTCAAGTCAGCAACCGCTTATCCTTGTGTGCGTTCTGAACTGACCTTTTGTCTCCGTATTCCCATGAACATCGTTTTGCTCTCCTTTTATCCTTCCATCATTATCTACAACATACAGCGCAAAACAGAGCGATTGCTCCACGCAGCGTTGCATCAGCTCTGGGGACAGGGGCTGCGCCCAGTAAAGCATGTCAGACCGGAAGGCTGCATCGAGGGCATCATACTGGATCAGCCTTGGGTCTGTTGAGATCGTGTAGGTTTGACCATGGACCTGGCGACTCCAGGTTCGGTAAGAGTCGATATGTGGCATTATGCTCGAGAGGGCGTATATTTGACGTGAACACGATTTACTCATAGGCGCAATGTTGAATTTGCTAAGTAAGAGTGAAAATTATATGAATAATAAGGAGCTTCCCACAACTGCACCTTTCATAACGCGCCCTAACAACGACAAGTGGATGGAGACACTGCATGAGTCACATTATCTGCTTTAATTCGCCACTTATCATCCCTTTGATAACTTGTAGCGGATTACCAAACAAGCGATCTATGATATACTCCTACCTTTTTGATGCTGGCTTCAAACGCAGAAGACCAAGGATGATGGTTTAGTGAGTTCGAGTGTGAAAATCGAGGGGTGGGCTGTGGGTTGTGTAACATGTCAAAGTAAGTGGTGGGATGTCAAGATCGTTCAGGGTAGATAATCTTCCACTCATGTCTTCAATCCTTCTTGTGACAAGGTCATGTTAGGGGACTTGAGCAAAGCCCCGATGTCCCCGAAGTCCGAAAGCTTGATAATTCGGTTCTGCCATTTAAATATATCATGGAATTTCAGTCATTTTCAATGGAGTGAACTTACGATATACCACTGAGTCTTGGGAAGGGGAGATAAAAGGTGGGAGAGCAACAAACGGCAAAACATACAGCACCGGGGATTCACTGGTCATCACCGACCCGATTACTGACCAGGCCCTCAGTGGCTTAACAAGGGCAGAGCGGATGGGATATCGTGCTCTCCACTGGATATGGTCATACATGGTAGGAGAGATTTGAAATACATTATTTAACACTCGAGCTAGTGTTGTTCATGTCTTGGTTGGTGTGAGCTGACGCTGACTGGCAACACCTTAGCGCCTACCAACGTGCTTCGATGCAAAGAATAAAAGCTTGGTGGATATCGTTCAAGTATCGGTACATCAGTTCAAATATTTATGGAACTCTCAATTCAGCAGAGGTCGAATGGCTCTAGCATTCAACCATGCCTCGCTAGCATCAAACCATGCCCTCGCTGCACAGAATTACTGGATTGGACTCGGAATAGCTTCACAACCATTGGGCCCACTTGACGTTTGGGTAATGCGGGATCCTGACCGTTGGACTTGGTGGGTCCACCCAAAGCAGCAGCGGGGACTATTGCTGTCACTTTGGGATCTACCCTCAGTCTCTTAGAAGACTCTTTGATCATACGATGACTTATCCTTGTCATTAGGTTTGATCAGGGAAGATGTTGCCAAGACTTAATGAGAAGCATTGCTATGTGAGCTACATGTGGTTTAGTGCAACTGAAAGGCTGAGATCCGGAGATCTGACTGGGATTTGGTCTGCAAGGCAGCGGCCTGCGGCCATCAACGCACGCAGCTCCCCAACTTAGAGCACCTCATCATTGCCTGGCAGATATTTATCATGATCTCTTGATTCACCCACAGCTATGACTTAGTCCAATCCAACAATAACAAACTTACTCCGAGCTAAACAGCCTGCTTCCCATCATCATCATCCTTCAAAGCATAAGCATGACCCCGCCATTTTTCTGCGCCCTGTGCGGTGGTCCCTTCATCTCCCTTTGGCTGTACCCCGTCAGCCCACGCAACCGCAAGGCACACTGGGAGTTCGTGCACAAGGAAGTGATGCGTCGTCGCAAGAAAGCCAGAGCCTTCGAGCAGAAGGACAGCAGCAAGCCCTGGAGAGCATGCTCCGTTTTGCCTGGGGAACTCAAAGTCGATACAAGCCCTTATGAAGGTATAATTTGTGAGACGAGGGAGCCTGATGTTGACGACCTTAAGCACATGCTTGACGCTCTGTTCCTCCCCTTGTACTATGAAGTGGAGGCGTACCCGAAGCAATACCGGCCTCCTCACGAGAATTTGCCTCAGAACTGGCTGCACGAACCGCTGCAGTGTCTTGTTATGGATTTGGCGCTGGGTAAGGCTTTTTTCCCGAGGGAGTTTCGTTATACATCTCAGGTTGGCCCTCCGGCATCAGATAGTCATCTATGTAAGAGGCAGGCTTCACGGCTGACTGGAGTCGATGGAGGGTATAGCGAGGGTTCATATCTGAGATGACAATTAGGCTTGATGGAGGTTAGTGTCCTCGTCTCCATTGTTGGTCTTGTCCAATCTAGAGAGCTGATGTAGCTCCCATCGCTCTATCCAGAGTCTGGTGAAGAAGGCGATGTAGTTAATGTCCTGCTCTGCTGGTGCGTGCTAACATCAGTTTATCTACTCTTCATCTCTTGTCTAACACCCACTTCTCCAGCTACCAGTCCTGGCATGGCCCAGGAACGGCCCCGGTTTATCCCTTCCGCCCGCCATGTTACCGCATTCTGACTTGCGTCCTTTTCTTCCACGAACTCTCTGCCTGCTCCAGTGACACACTTGACGCCATCATGGAGCTACCCGTGACTGATGGGTACGACAAGTGGCAGGAATGGTGGTATCGGCGCGACCCAGGCGGCAATAAGATCGACAAGGAAGCCCTTTACGACGTTTTTCTCCGTCTCGGCTCCTGGAAGAATCGCCTGAGTCTTGAATATGGTGACATAGTGTCCATTACTTGCTATCCAAGGCTTTATTTCGAAAGGTAAACAGGTGGGCGTTCCATCTTCCAACTCGACGATTGGGCGTGTGTACCTGGAGAAGAGGTATGCCACTCTGCCTCTACGTTTCTGTGGACGCATCAAGCTGACCAGAGATGCTCCATAACAGTACACTATCCACCCCCCTTCTTCATCCCCTCCCTCAAGTATCATATCCTCAACAACATCATCCCATGTTTCCTTCTCCGCAACAATAACAACCAACCGTCCTCCATGAACCTCCAACCCCCAATCGACCTCACCAAAGTAACCAGCGACCCCTTCTCCTCCCTCCCCTACCCCATCCTCCACACCATCCTCACCCTCCTGCCCCCCGACTCCATCATTGCCCTGCACATCGCCTCCTCCCACGTCCTAGTCGACACGCAGCACAACATCTGGTTGTGGAAACGCCTCCTCGTGCGTGGCATGCCCTGGTTCTGGGAGCTGCATCGGGCGCTGCACGATTTGACGCTCTCAGGAAATGAAGAGATCGACTACCGGCGGCTATGGCTCTATCTGGCGACGCACACGTGTCCGAGGTATGGCATGAGGGGCCCGTTTATAGGCGTTGCGAATCGCAGACGGGTGTGGGAGGCTTGTGAGGGGTTGGTGGAGCCTTATTGGGAGAGATTGAGGGCGCCGTTGGGAAAGGGGGTTCGGGGGGTAGGTCAGGAGATGTTTGAGGGGACTTATGTCGATGAGGGGGTGTTTATGTCGGCGGTTGGGGCACCTCTATCGTCAAAGGGTGAAGGGATGGACAACAAAGGAGGTGCTGGCGATCGGAGTCAAGGGCCCTCACAATCTGCTCAGCCTTCGGACCTCATCAAATGCCAGTTTATCTCATCCCTAGACGACATCAAGACATGGTCGGCCATCTTCATCGCCGGATGGCACTATGACGGTAGCTTGGCCTATTTTGGCGTGCAGTTCCCGGGAGAAGAGGAGCTGCCCTGCCTGCTAAGAATGAGCAGCTCTCAGAATGAATTGTTCGGGGAGGATCGGAGGCAGCTTTACCCCGGCAACTGGATCGTGGGGCTGATTGTGCACATCTCCAATCATACCTTTTTGTATGAACCCGCGATTACTAGATTAGAGGTGAGTGCCCATAATCTCTGATACAACAGATGACATGATACAGCATCTGGTGTGGGTGTAAAGGGGCGACGCACTAACCTGCCCGACCCAATGGCCAGGTCATTCTTGAATCAGGCGCTCGCCTTCAGTTTCCCGTGGTTAAGATCCAATACAAGAAGTTCCAGCACAATCTTAAGGCTTACCGCCGCGTCTTGTGGCGTGCCGAGGACAGCTTTATCATGGGCTTGCAGGCCAGGTTTCGCGAGGGTTGTCCCCTTTCTCATCTCCTCATCCTCCTTTCTACTTTTGTGTTAACTCCCTCTCTCTACACCTACCAGGACGGCGCATTCTCCCACTTAGGCCTCATACAAAAGTTTCTGAACCTCCCCTCCCCAAACTCGAGCCCCCTGCCTCCCCTCCAAACCCCCTTCTCCCACCGCCTCCTCTGGCACTTCTCAGCCATCAACGTCATAGGCCTTTCTCACTACCCCTTCCTATTCAATCCCAGCTCACCCGTCCAATACCAAGTGCTTTCCCATCCTAAGCTCGAGAAACAAGTCCTCCCCCAAACAGACGAAAATGGAGAGGAGATCTTCCCCTCTGTGGCATACCAACTCCTCTACTGGCTGGGGGGACCGAAAGTCAGCCATCCGATGCAGCTTAATCGGTTGTCTGCTGTTACGATGACGAGGCACGGGGACGGGGACGGGGACGGAGGTACCTTTCTCTACGCACTTGGGGCAAGATTGAAGAGACACCCGTTCAGGGATCCGTACTTCCGCCCATACAAGAACCGGCGTGAACGAGACCCGTACTCGGACCTGGACCAGTCGGAGGAAGAGGAGGAGACGGAAGAAGATGGAGATAAACGAGATTTCCTCCGCTACAACTACGTAACCCCGAACAGGTTCTTAACTAAAGAAAGACCTTCGACTTGGCAGGCCGAGTGGGAGAATGAGAAGAGGTATGTTAAACAGGAGTGGTTCTTCGATATTGATGGGCTGGGAGGGGAGAGGGTTGTGGAGGTGGCTATTCCAGTCTGTGATGTGGATGCCAATGAGGAGGAGAGGATTCGGGCTTTGAAGGTACGTACGTCGAGGACAACCTCCCCCATACCCTTACCCCTACCTCATTACCAAGCCAGAGAGCATCGTCATGATGAAAGCACAGAAAAGCTCCAACCAAGACTTACTAACTTAACCTAATGTACCACGGACACAGATCCGCACCAACTTCAACCGCGAAGTCATCTTCGGCACACCCCCAACCACCACCACCACCATCTGGTCCTGGTCCTCCTGCTCCCCACCACCAGGCCACTGCATACTCGGCATCGCAGCCGGTTTTGAGGTTGAGTCACGACTCGAGAAGGCTGTAAGTGCCAACCTACCTAAATCAATTCCCATCTGTTCGTCTTCTATGATGTGATCATTCTCCCTCCCCCCTCCCCGTCTTTATTTCGTGCACGCTCCTGTGTTCATGTTTGTGTGAGAGAGGAAGTACCCTACGATACCTAATAGTGCAGACCTTCGGTGGTGTGCTAACTTGGTTGGCTATCTTCACAGTCACCTATGCTGAGTATCATGATCATGACGGCGAAAGAACCGGAGGAGGTGGAGCGTTTTTCACATATATAATGGAATGCTGATGAAACTGTCTATTTATTCTACCAATAGGCCTCCAACAATCTTCTATTCAGAAAAGCTTTACTAGGCTTCCCGCTTGGCAATGGGGACGGGCTCAAGTCTTCCATCAATCTAATCAGCAAACGCACGTGACTGTTGGCTCCAGATAAACCTCATTTAGCTACCTTAGGATGCGCAGACGGCCCGCAACAAGAATAACCATATGGACACGCTAAGCCTAGTCTGTGATATCTAGATCAGTTGTGTACAAATTTTTAGCTGCTGTAAGGAATATCTGCATGATCAAGCAGTCCTCCCATGTATTAATAACCCGGGCAGGTAGGGCTGCATGTGCCTACGTTGTACCTCACACACATGATCTCTCATGACGAACCGAAAATGAGCCGTGCCACTTAACAGAAGGAACCAAGGTACCCTCCGTTTCGGAACTGTTTGGGGCCATCCAACCTTGGAGGATACGCACGGTATTGGGTGTCATGGACTTAGTCTTCGAAGGTCCTCGAGGCCATTGTCGCAGGACTTTCGACGGGTTGTGAATCTCGCGGGGCTGGTCCTTGGGTCTCTGGAGGTCGGTGAAGAAAGCCAACCAGAATGGACCATCACCATTCGGTCGCAATCGGCAGCAATTAATTACCTCTTATCGCCCGCATCAAGCTCCAATGAAGGGCTTGCCGGCCACGTGTCAGGGCTTTGATCCTAGCCATCGCGCCAGCCGACGAGCGCGACCAGCGACAAAGCAGCTTCTTCCCAAGCTGGGAGCGGCACAAAGGTATTTCTCGTTCTGCCGATGTCGACGTCACCTTAGCATCGAGGGACGGGATCCATGAGATGTTTCCCAATAATGACCGAAACTGCGGCAAAGCAACCAACCACAGCAGGATCAGTGTCTGGGCTTAGATAGCAAGACCGGTCTGCTGTTAATGGGCGGTTCCGATGGTACAGCTGCGGGAGGGGCGGGCGGCTTCGTAGGAGTCAGTGGCCGATGGATGGTGTGATGCCGAAGGCTCACACCAACACCCCCGTTCACCCAGTCTTGTCGCTTCGCCTCATCTCATCTGGCTTACCGTGAGTTTGTGTGCCGCCCACCTACCTTCTCGCCCGTCCCAGGCTCTCGTAACCTCCTCGTCCAGCTTTTCTCCAAGGTTCACGTCTGCTCACTGTCGCTGAGCTGTCAGTGGAAGGAGACTGAACTTTTGGTCGAGATTTCCACTTAATTCTCAACCGCAAGTGTAGATGACACAACAGCGTGACACATAGGGAGGTATGTGACTTTTTAAGACTACTGCTGAGTCTGTCCACTCGCGAGGGATTGCCTTTGTGGTGCGATACGGCCGCCTCATGGCTGGTGTGTCAACACGTAGCGTGTTGCGACAAGCCGGAGTTGGGTTTTTAAGGGCTCCCCTTCTCCCCTTACTTTTTGATCAGTTCTTGAAATTGTATCCCCATACGCTTACACGCCTTTCAGAACCCATCGATCACCATGGCTCGCGAAGGAACGCGCTTGCAGACGGGCCATTCCAAGCCGCGTGTTATCACCGTCCCCGACACGGCACCTGTCATCAAGCGGGCGCCAAAGGTCAAGCCCAAAAAACCTGCTGCCACTGGTAAGACGGGTGCCACAAAGGGCGCCAAAACCACGGGCGTTACCAAGAAGAAGGCACCCGTAAAGAAAGAAGGCACGGCCAAGAAGGTATGCTCTGGCGACGTTCTTCCAGAAGCCCGTATTGCTTTGCCACTCGTAGACTCGACTGACCTGTCTGTGCTAAGGTCGAGGCCGCTGTGAAGAACACAATCAAGAAGGCCACTCCGGCTGAGAAGAAGCCTGAGGCGAAGGCTGAGCAAGCCGAGAAGCCTGAAAAGGCTTAGAAGGCAGAAAAGGCAGGGCTATACCCCAAGAAACCCATCCAGTCTTGTGATAATCTGCTGACGTTGTGGAGGAGGCCAAGCCAGAGCCGGCGCCCAAGTAGAAGGAAGCTCCTGCTACTGCAGCAAAATAATGATGCTCAGGTCCGGGACTGTATCCTAGATAAACGTTGCGTGCTGGTCATAGCCCTCCATTGTCGAAGCTTGTATCTGTTCGGTTATGCTTTTTTGAGTCGAACATGTGTGTGTATTCGGCTGTTTCTGTCTTGGTCAGACAGTGTGTATGAGCTGGGTTTGCTTTGGTATACTTTTCGTTCGTTCGTGGTTGGAATAGGTTCGGGAAACACACACTTGCATCTGTTATTATGACTGAGGAAGTTTGTGAAATAGGGGGTTTTTCTGGGAGGACATCTCTGTGTTCTCCGTTAGTAGTAGTCCTTCGAAAGATAACGGATCCGTACTTATAATTCATGGATACCATCAGAAACAGCCCCGGGTTGAGTGCTAGCTTGTCGACTAACAAGCCTGCCTTTGTTGAGAAGATGGCACCGCGTAGATAAACGTATAAATGCCGAAAGTTATCAAAAGAGCGCTCTCATCGTTTTGGGATAACTTCAGGTGAACGCCCCTAACTCTCATCCATCTCTCTATCTCATCTTCGGTTCAGGGTTTCCACAAGCTAGCACCTGAATCTCAGGGTTTTGCCAGGGCCTATAGCGATTGCACACCCCAGTCATTTTTGGCCAATCAAAGAGTGCCATTCGATCCAAAGCCAAGGCATGGGTCGCGTGCAGGACGCCTGGCACGCTGTGGTAGGCGCAGAGAGGTGTACACCCCAGTCGCGCATTCGCAAAGATTCAATACTGTCGCATTTCCAACTTTCACCTCCTACAAACGACGGCCTTGGAACGACATGACATGACGGCTGCGCATCAATTAGCGCGTCCCATCCACAATGTACATCCTCAAGCCCTCATGGCTGCGGCATAGCGGTGAGTTGAATTCGGTCGCCATTACTGCGTCTCCTGGGTATTCTTTTTGCTGACTTTTGGTTGCAGGCGAGCAGAAGGACTTCGAGGTCTACAGCTGCCACATCTCTCCCGATGGCAAGCGCTTAGCCACGGCTGGCGGAGATGGCCACGTTCGCATCTGGTCAACGGAGGCCATCTTTAACTCCGGCGACCCCAACTATGACAAGCCGCGCCAACTCTGCCACATGAGCCACCATCTCGGCACCATCCACTCTGTCCGCTTCTCGCCCAACGGTCGCTACCTTGCTTCTGGTGCCGACGACCGTGTCATATGCATATACCAGCTTGACACGAACCCGCCGTCACTTGCTGCTACCTTTGGTATGCTTGATTCTTCACCCTGACGCAGCGGCCAGACTAACCGTGTGGCATCACAGGATCCAACGAACCGCCCCCTGTCGAGAACTGGAAGACCCACAAGCGTCTGGTCGGCCACGATAGCGACGTTCAAGATCTCGCCTGGTCCTACGACAATTCAGTCCTCGTTTCGGTTGGTCTGGACTCCAAGGTTGTTGTCTGGTCCGGCCACACCTTTGAGAAGCTCAAGACAATCACTGTGCACCAGAGCCATGTCAAGGGCATCACCTTCGATCCTGCTAATAAGTTCTTCGCCACCGCTGGCGACGACCGGTCCATCAAGATCTTCCGATTTACCCCTCCTCCGCCGAACGCGACCCAACATGACATGATTAACAATTTTGTCCTGGAGGCCACGATCAGCGCTCCCTTCAAGAGCTCCCCGCTCACCACGTACTTCCGGAGATGCAGCTGGTCACCTGACGGTCATCACATCGCTGCTGCCAATGCGGTCAATGGGCCCGTGCCTAGCGTCGCTATTATCGATCGTTCGCGCTGGGAGAGCGACATCAACCTGATCGGCCACGAGGCCCCGACTGAAGTTTGCTCCTTCTCACCCCGTCTGTTCTATACCAAGAAGCCTGAGAGCGGTTCCTCCGACAAGGGTCAGCTTGTAACTGTGATTGCTTCTGCTGGCCAGGACAAGACGCTGAGCATATGGAACACCAACACGTCCAGACCTGTCGTTATTGTCCAAGATGTGGCTTCCAAATCGGTATCGGATCTTGCTTGGACTCCTGATGGCCAGACCATCTTTGCTTCAAGCTTGGACGGCAGCGTTGTGGCCATCAAGTTTGAGGAGGGTGAATTGGGCTACGTGGCGGACTCCGAGGAGAACGACAAGGCCCTGCAGAAGTACGGCGCGTTCCGGAAGGGCATGGGCACTGCCGAGGACGTCGACAGTCTGCACCTTGAAAATCACAGCAAGGCTGGCGAGCTGCGCGGCGCAGAGTCGAGAATGGGAGCCCTGATGGGGGACTTCCAGCCAGCTGATAAGAACGGAGTTACGACAAACGGAGCCAAGTCAGCTACCGCTAGTAAGAACGGTGAACTCAACGGAACGAGTGACAAGCAGGCATCATCCAAAGAGGGGGCTTCTAAGCAGTCCCCGGAGGAGGAGAAGGAGAGCGCCGAAAAGGCTGCGGCACGGATTGCCGAACTGAAGTCTCGCGTTCAGGTGACCAAAGATGGCAAGAAGAGGGTTGCTCCTCTGCTCGTGTCGTCGTCGGCCACAGGCCTGCTGTCGCTACCTCAGTCGCAACTAGTGGGCGCTAAGTCGACAAAGCCAGCGCAGAACGATGCTCCCCAAACCATACTCGACCTGTCCAAACCTTTCCATGGCTTGCCGAGGGGAGGGATAGCCGCTCTGCTTCTCGGAAACAAGAGAAAGGCCGTTTCGGTTGAGGGTGAGGAGGAAGAAGAGCCGGCGGCCAAGCGCCCATCTACGGGAGGTCCCGTCCCCATCATGGTAGACACGCCTGAAGGTCTTGAACCGGCTCCCCTGACGGCCCCTCCTCATGGTCAGGTTCCTACTCCTGAATACCTCCGTCCAGCAGTCGTCAGCCCCGCAATCTCGGTGTCCCAGGTGCGACTGGCCGTCCCCAAGGTGCGCTCCCACATCGTGCGGCCTCTCGAGCGCGGCGTTCTTCAGGGTGAAACGACGCTGGAAGAAGCAGCGAAGGGTGCTCCCGAAAACATCATTTTGGAGGCGCGCAACCCTGTTCGGCCACGCGAGCCGTCCCGTATCACAGCCACCAAGCGTGGCGCGCTGCTCTGGCAAGATTTCCTGCCACGTGCTGTGCTGCTGGTCACTGGTAGTAAGTACTTCTGGGCAGCAGCCTGCGAAGACGGTTCCCTTCACACATGGACGCCAGCCGGACGCAGGCTGTTTAATGCCATCATCCTCGAGTCCCAGCCCGTCATCTTGGAGTGCCGCAATCACTGGCTGCTCTGCATCACATCGGTTGGTTTGTGCCATGTCTTCAACGTCAAGACCATGTCGGCTGCGCACCCGCCGGTCTCGCTGGCGCCTATCCTCGACATCGCCATGACCTCGTTGTCTCTTGACGGCCCGACAGCTGCCCCGGGCGTTACCTCGGCACACCTTAACAGCAACGGCAACATCGTCGTCACGCTGAGCAACGGCGATGGTTTCTTCTACTCCAGTGACATGTACACCTGGCAGCGGCTGTCCGAGTCATGGTGGGCAGTCGGCAGCCAGTATTGGAACAGCAACGACTCGTCCATCAGCGCGTTGTCGTCGACCGCTGTCGGCCCCGTGGCGACCAGTACCGCGCCGTCCAAGAAAGACGACAGTTCCGCTGCCGACGAGGTCCCCATCTCGGCCGGCATCATACCCTATCTCGAGCGACACACGACTACCGAGTTCTTGCTCAAGGGCCGTGCGTACACGCTGCAAAGGCTCATCCAGACACTGCTGGCGCGCGACGGCTTCGAGGGCTTTGAGAGCGCCGTCAGCGTGGCGCATCTGGAGAATAGGATCGCTGGTGCCTTGGCTCTGGGTGCCAAAGACGAGTTTAGGCTCTACCTGTTTATGTATGCCAAGCGGATTGGTGCCGAAGGCATGCGTGGCAAGGTGGAGGAGCTGCTTAATGCGCTGGTTGGAGGTATTCTCCGGGAGAAGGGAGATGACGCCGAGGGGAAAGGCTGGGCTAGTAAGGGGGATAAGATCTGCGGATGGGATAGGAAGGAATTGTTGAAGGGCGTGGTGTTGATTTTAGGTACGTTTGATCTGCTCTTTCATATGCTTAGATGTACTACTAACGTAACGTGTACAGGTAAATTCCGCGATCTTCACCGGTTGACAGTCCAATATGCTAGGATTTTGGGTCTGACAGCCGGAGGGGAGGAAAACGGAAATGGAGATGGGGAGAGGATGGAGCTGGGTGATTGATTAATGGAATTCAATCTTCCAGAAGCTGGGTGAATAAAAAGAAACGGAACGTCATAAGTATTCTGATATCCTCGAATTTTCTTTTTTTTTCTTTTGCTTTTTCGGTTCGGGGAAGGGCAAGGCTTGGTTTCCTTGTGTACATGACATGTTCTTCGTGGCGGCGGCCTGGACGTGGCGTATGGGAGCTTCTGGGATGTTCGGTTTGTGTACTATTGCTGCTCAGAGCAAGGATGGAGAGCAAGGCAGGAAGTGATCCTCATGGGTTGATAAGTAGTTTGTTTTTGCAACCGTAAAATGGTCTTGCTCTTCTATCTCCAGCATCATAATGCTCATGTCCTCTGTGCAGGTGTACTCCATCACTTAGTGTTCAAGTCCAGTTTGTACATATGAGTGCTATCTCACTTTATCATATGTATAAAAAAATCTCAATGCCCTCAACTCTTCACTCGTTAGGATACGAGCACATCCGAGGCTCGATGGTTCCCCACTTCAATCCATACATACTCAGTCCAATTCCAACCTCTCATTTGCCTCTTCTTCTGGTTTGCACAATCAGACGTTCCCTCGAGGGGGTGACAGACGTGTTTGGAGGGGTCAGTGTTGTCCTCATATCGGAACGCTGGCGTTTCTCGGGATACTCTTGGTTCGTCTGGTTGGCGCTCTTCTTGGCCATCTCATGCTGACTCGACTCTGCACGCGTCCTGCGGCGGCGGCTCGCCCGACTCTTTTTGCGCGAGGCCCGCTGCTGCTCGACCTTTGATGCCGGAGATACGTAAGGTATCCACGCACGTCCTCGGCCTCGGCCTCGGCCTCGTCCTACCTCTTGTGCTGGTGCCGGCGCCATTCTTCTCTGTTGGCGACTTCGCGAAGCTCCATGAGGAGCCGATCCGGGCGCTCGATGCGCAGACGCAGCCAGCTGACGAAGAACAGGTAGTCGCATTCGTCCGGCTACTTGGCTCGGAGCTGAGGAAGAGGGGCAGAAGGCCCGGACCCTTCTGTCCCTTGGTGTCGGCGCACCCCCGATCTTGATGGCCTTCTTGGTGAGGCTCTGGGCCAGGAGGCAAGCGGGAAGGGCGAGCCAGCGGCGGTGTAAGCTGGGATCGAGAACTTCGTCGGCTGCTTGGGACAATGTTTCGAAGATGAGAAAGGTTTAGATTAACTAGAAAATTTGAAGTCATCGTTACCGGCTGCCTTGGGGTTTACTATTCAGTCATATACACAATAACAAGATTTAAACTCTGCACTTGTGGGAGTGTGTGGCTGTACAAACTTGGGAACAAGAGGAAGTTGGGGGGCCTTGTACTGTGACTATGGCCATATTCGAGGAACTACAACAGTAAATATGGAATATGCCTCTGGATTGACTGCACTAAAGATGCTTCAATCGCATAACCTCTCCACATCCAAGTGAAATAGTTTCATCTTAGGGAGAGTAGAAGGTGAAGCAACCTGTCGAGAGTTATCTCTATTCGACTCGCATAATCGTAAGCTCTATCTATGCACACAAAAGAGTTATTCGATTAATAGGGTATTCTATGCATCCAGAGGAGGGTATCCAGCTTCATCGCTCCTGCCATGAACAGTCACTGAAGGCACTCACGTGAAAAGTACGAACCAACCAACCACGGCCCATCAAACAGTATGAGATAAAATTCCAACGTCCCCTAGAAAAGTCAGATGAAACGTAGATTTTTTGACCTTTACACAGCCGCAATGGGCTCGGCGTTCTTCCTCTTCTCGATCTTCTTCCAGCTCAACCCGCATGCCGCGACAAAGGCGGCGCAAGCGCACGCAACCGAGATGTAGTACGAGTCGCGCAGGCCATCAAGGTACGCGGTGAGCACCTCGGTGATGTACTTCTCGGCGTGGAACTGCTCAAGCACCCAGTGAATCTGCGAGGCGCCCGAGTTGATGAAAATCTGCGGCGGCACGCCCGGCACGTTCTTCTCGATGCCCGAAGTAAGCGCGTTCTGGAAGACGGCCTGGGCGACAGCGATGAAGATGGAGCCACCGAGGGACTGGAACAGCTGGACACAGGCCGTGGCGACAGGAATCCACTCGAGCGACATGTTGTTCTGCACGACAAGCACACCGGTCTGAAAACCGACACCGATGCCGAGACCGGCCAGGACCTGGTAGCCGAACCAGACACGAAAGGGGCTATCGATCTCGAAAGTGGTGATCATACCGGAGCCGACGGCGAACAGAACCATCGATGGAAGAACGAAGGGGTTGTAGTAGCCGACAAGAGTGATCAGGCCGCCGGTCGAGACTGAAGTGATGACGACCGAGATGAGCATGGGCAGCAGCTTGAGACCAGCCTCAACGGCGCTATCGCCCTTGATAGCCTGGAAGTAAAGGGCTGTGCGACTTGGTCAGTATGTATGTCTCAGAGGTCGAAAAGGGGTAAGCGAAACTTACAGAGGTAGTACACCAACGGGAAGAAGCCGGCGCCAAAGAAGAACGCAAACAACATCGCGCATACAACATCCTTGTTCTTGAACAGCCGCGGAGGGAGCGTACCCTCATCGCCCTTCCAGATCTGAATGCCAATAAACACCGCAGCCATCAGCCCGAAGCCAACAAACAGCCCGATCACGACAGAACTGTTCCAGGGGTGTTCTGTGCCGCCCCACTGCAGAGCCAGCAACAAGCACACAATGGCCGGCACAAGCATCATCGTACCCGGCAGGTCGAGGCTCAAAATCCGCTGCATCACTGTGCGACCCTTGGCGTCATGAGCCGCCTGGGGGAGACGCAGGAATGCGAAGATAGCAACCATAGCAGCGCCGCCGATGGGCAGGTTGATGTAGAAGCACCACCGCCACGTAACGTTGTCAGTGAAGGCACCACCAAGCAACGGGCCGGCAACGCTAGCAATCCCCCACATGGCACCGATGAGACCAAAGGCAGCAGGACGCCGGCGAAGGGGCAGTGTGTGCGACAAAATCACGACACCGCCAGAGAACAGGCCGGCAGTACCGACACCGGCAATCGCGCGGCCAACGATGAAGACATTGCTGCTGGGCGCGACGGCGCAGATGAGACTGCCAAGTTCAAAGATGAATATGGCGGCGAGATATATCCACTTGACATTAAACATGCGGTAGAGCGAGCCATACATAGGCTGGAGGGCGGTTGTTGTCAGGAGGTACGCGGCTCCGTACCAGCCGATGTCCTTGACGGAACTGTACTCATTGGTGATGGCGCCCAGAGCAGGTGCGATGATGGTTTGATCAAGGGCGACGAGGAACACGCAGAGGCAGAGAGAGACGATAATAAGGATGAGTTTCAAGCCGGTCGGGTATTCGACGGCCTCTGCAGATCCGAACCCGTCCTGAGCATCGGCGGTGGCGGAGCCCTTCTCGACGGAAGAAGCCCCCGAGTCGGCGGGGGTGGGCCCCAGAGCATTAGGAACCGTCTGCGTCTCGGAGTCGGTCGTCACGGGAGTGTCCTTCTCGGTGGTGCCCATCATGGTGGCCATGAGATCCGTGAGATCCGGGGGCCGGGGTAAAGTGGAGGTCAGGCTTGGAGTTTCGGGGTCTCCTTGTTTCAAGAACAAGAGATGTTAAAGATGTTTGCGGTGGTGTGCTTCACAGAGCCACACGCTGGGATGGACACAAGGCAGGATATATGCAAGCCAACAGCACCTGCGGTGCAGCGCAAACAGTTAGTAATAGAATCGGTCCCGGATGATTGGCGAGACCGAACAGGCGGCGAAGGATTGGTTCCCTTGGGGAGGTGATGCAGCTCTTTGGGTGGAAGGCAAGGGATGACGAACAGGGAGGCCAGCACAAAATATTCCGACAAAAATTGGGGTCCAATGGTCGCTATGCCACGAAGATGTGTGTGGGCAGCGATGACGCAACGAAACGATGTAAAGGGTCGGGACAATTGAATCCGATTACAAGACCTTAACCAGGATACCAACGATCCCAAAGAAAAAGAGAAAACTGACGAGAGAGGCAAAAAAAAAAAAAAAAATACGGGCAGCGACGCGAGAAGTGGTAGCGCGCTGACGAAAGCTTCGACGTCACAGCCGCCCCTTAATGGAAACACCATTTTGCGGCAGCGCAGGTTGCCTAGCGCACTCGCTAACCCACTGTTGGTTGGCACGCGTGCATTGAGTTTGATGCTCATTGCGCAAGCTGGAGCAAGGAGCTCTTTTGCTGACCTGATCTCGATCGGACGTCGGGGTTGCCATCTCTGATGCGTATGTATCACTCATTTTCATGGGATCGTGTTTTGTGTTCTTGACGATATACTACCTTCCTAGGCCTGTTTAACCTGTGAACTGGGGAAGATTGAAGAGGCTATGAAGGTCTCCCTTGACGCCCAGCTTCGATCCTGTCACCTGCGAACGGGCACACCCGCCGCCTGTCGCCCGGACCATCCTAAATGTTTCTCGAAAGGCCTTGGACAGGATTGGTGGATATGTGGATCCGCTCCGTCGGGGTCGGCTGAAAACCCGCAGGCAAGGCTTGGCACAAAAAGCTTGTGCTTTGACCGTTTGCCCTGATGCCGTCGGACGTCGGGCTTCATGTTCCACCGAGGCTGCCCCTGGGTAAAGACATACAAACACGCTATGAAGAAAGCCTTGTCGTACGGGCCGAGATGCCAACCCAGTTCACCGGATCAGCCATGACGTCAACAACGTGCTTCCGTGTCCATTAGTTCTGCCTGCAAGATCTGAACCTGGGGTGAGACGACCTGTGGCGTACATATCCATTCGTATGGCGTATGTATGTAACACAGCAATAGCAACAACGGTGAAATCAAGGCAAGCATACAGTGTACAGCACCATACATAGGTATTTTATATCCTCATCAACTCCGCAAACCCCGACCAAAGAGCCCAACAACGCCGCAAATAGCAAACAAGACCGAAGAAAACAAAAATCAACACACAGAGACAAGCAAAACCAAGGAGCCATTCACTTCCGATTTCTTGTCTTTTTCGTCACCACCTGCGTGTCCTCCTCGACCTCATCCTCACCCTTCTTCAAATCCTCCGTCAGCCCCCACTCCTCCTTGTCATACCAGTCCTCGCCGTCCGACATGTCGCGGTTCGCCCCGCAGTGCGCTTCGGCCTTGCTCCACTGCCACACCGTCTTGCGCAGCCGCTCGGCACGGAGCAGCCCTTCGTACAGCCGGCGCGCGCCGCGGCAAATCTCTTCCTGCTTCTGCACGTAGAGGAGGAGCAGGCGCCGCACTTCGTTGGCTTCCTGCTCCGGGAGGAAGAAGTTGCGGTCGGGGTGCGCCTGGGGAGGAAGGCGGAAGAGCGGGTGGATGAAGGGGTCCTCGTCGTCGTCGAAGGGGTTGGGTAGGCCGTTGGGTATGACACTGGTGTTGTTAGCGGCGGGAGCGTTGGGCTGAGGTGGTTGCTCCTGTTGTTGAGCAGAAGGCGCTGAAGCGTTTGCTTGTTCTGATGCGTTAGGCGCAGGCGGGTCGGTCATCTCCACATCTGCGGACGCCGCATTGGCAGGCTTGGGTTCACCGTTGGCTCGTTGGTCTGCTTTTTCTGTCTCGTCGTCTGCGAGGTCGCCGTTCGGCTTGCCTGCGTTGGCTGCTGGTGCATTTTCGGCATTCTTCTCTTGACGCTCGTCTCGTGGAGCTTCACCGTCTGTGCTTGGCTCCTTGAGACGTTCTTCCATCTGTGTTCCATCCATTTGCACATCAGGCTTCTGCATCTGGGCCTCGGGCTGGGCGTGTGTCGTCTCCTGCTTGGCTCCCTCTGTAGCGTTTGCAGCGTTGGTCGTGTCGTCGCCGTTCATTTTTGGAGCCGCCGCGGCATCGGCAGTCGGCTGGCGCAGTCTGTTGGTGAAGAAACTCGTCGTATCAGTAAATAGGAGTGCATCCTGGTCGTCAGGCGCCGTCATGAGTCCGCAGGGGGCCCAGGTATTGTCGCCCACGAGCTTGGTCAGCAGGGGCTTCGCACGCCACAACGCAGCGTTCTCCTTCTGCATCAGATCCCTCCCCTGGATGACCAGCTCGCTAAGCGCCTTCGAGGTAAACGGTCGCGACAGCGTCGGGTGTGTGGGCAGGTCGGTGACGGAGGTCAGGGGGGCCAGGATGTCTGCCGTCTGTCTGTCAGCATCCGAGTGGCTTCGAGGATCCATGCAAACAGCACCCACGTTCAAGTCGGATGTCTGCGTATGGATTGGCCTCCATGGCGTTAGCCACGGCCTGCTGGATCGTCTCCTCGTCATCGTCGCTCTCAATATCGTAGCCCTCTTCGTCGATCAGCGGCGGGTTGCGGGAGATGATGGCCCGCTGGTAGCCGGCGTGTTCTGCGATCTGACTGTCGTCAGCGCGCGGGCTGCTAGTTTGGAATCCTTATCCGCGTTAAACGCACCTCCTTGTAGGCAGCAGGACCGGCCATCGAGGCGAGGCGGCCCTGCCTGACGAAGCGCGCCCGCTTCTTGAGTTTGTTGCCGCGGTTGGTGTGTTGGTCGATTGAAGAGTCCGAGTCGGATTCTGAAAAGGCATGTTAGTTGTGAATCGTAGCGACGACCGAAAGCCGACCTGGGAAAGCCACTCACCGTAGGCCTTACGCTTGAGAGCCCTCCTCATGGCGAGGATGGTCTCCATGATCAGCGCCTGCTGCTGTGTCGACATTTTGGCAAATGGGCGGCCCGCTCAGCCGGGGCTTTCGATTTTTTTTTGTTGTCGTAAGAACTAAATCTCAAGCGAAGTCGTAGTATAATGAGCAGGACGAGGGCCAGCTGCGAGACAAAGGGTTGAGGATTGACCAGGACGCTCTCAATCAGAAACTCGAAACTCAGGCAAAAAGCGACGAATGCGCCGAAGCGCGGGCGGTGGGTGGTGGAGGGAGAGAGAACTGTGGATCCGCGTCTTTTGGTCTTGGCGCTCCACTCCCATCCGCCACATGGCCCTGTTGGCCCTGTCGGAGCATGACTTGCGCCAAGAGTTAAGGTGGGCGACTGGCTGACAGGGCAGGTGGCCCAAGCTCCTTCCACGGGCCGTTCCTGCAGCAAGCTCACATCAACATCACCGCCAAGTGCCAAGTGCCAGCTTCCCGTCTGCGCCCTGAGACCGTCACCCCACATTCCACTTTCCGTCCGACTTGCCGGCCGCTCCGGCCTGCGACGACACTTAACCGTAGCCTCAGCGGTAATCGGTCAATTGATTCCAAACTTCTACATAATCTGGTGACGCACTCGACAATCATTTCTTCGCCAGCGTGCTCGAAGAACACGCCACATCTTACACCAGTCGCAACTGTAAACTCAAACTTGAACCCCGCATTCTCACCACTACCATGTCCTCAAACCCGTGGCCCCCCCTTGGGGATAACGGCCCAGCAGGCTGGTCCGCGCCCCCCCGAGAAGCCGTCGACCGACCCAAGAGTCCCCAAGAACTAGGCGTCTTCAACCCCAACGGCCTTCTCGTCCAACAAACCCCCGAACAAGCAGAGCGCTCGCTGCGCCTGCTAGGCGTACCCTTCGACTCACTGCCCAAACCGCCCTTCTTTGCGGCCTGGTTCACCTACACAGATGCGTGGCATCGCCGCGTCGTCGCCCAGTCTCTAGCCCGGCTGGCAGGCGGCCTGGGCCGCGTGCCGACGACTGAGGAGGCCGATGCCGTGGCGTACTACCGCGCGCGGTTCGCGGCCACTCTCCCGTGGGGCGTGCCGCTGTATCTGGCGCTGACGGTGCTCATGGTGCGGAGGGGGAATAAGACGTTCCGGTTTCCGTTTTACACGCCCAAGCCGGCATCGTTCAATCCGCGCGTGTTCCCGAGTGCGCAGAAGCCGTGGGTGCAGGGCGATAATGCAGAAAAGTGCTGGCACATGACGCGGTACTTTAGTTACGGCCTGCTGATCGGCTACCTGGGCACCACGACCATGCGGTCGGTGTGCGAGAGCAGCGTAGCGGTCAATATATTGTCCGATCCGCGGTTGAAGCAGGTGCGTGAGGAGCTCAGACGCCGTGCGGGGGAGAGGATGGCAAGGGATTGGCGCAAACCCGACACGGACCAGCGGCTACCGCCACCGCTGACGGTTCTGGAGGAAGAGGGTCAGCCTGAGGGCCAACAGCCTCAGCAACAGCCATCTCGTGAGCTCTCTCCCGCCTGGAGGAAACGCTGGCAGGCCGCCGCTGGTAGCAGTTCCTTTCCCGGAGCCGAAAGTCAGCAGCCACAGCAGCAACAGGAACCTCAACCCTCCTCCTTATGGGATGATGACGATTCCTACCTCTTTGACGACGCCTCACCCGTCAATCCAGCCCATCGTACTCAGCCCCGCCCTTCATCCCAATCTACCTCCGGTGGAAGCTATAGCACCTCCTGGGATCAGATCCGTGCTCGAGCTCAGCAGCAGAGCGGTGATGCCTGGGGCATCTCCCACGATCAGCACCAGCAGCATCCTGACCCGCAGCAGGCAAAGCGCTGGGCCCGGCAGGGTGAGTCGTACACATTCTCCCCCGAGCAGGAAAAGGCGTACGCGCGGGAGCAGGCCCAGAAGGAGTTTGACGCCATGTTGGAACGGGAGCGGAAAGGCGTGGGTGCTTCAGGGGTAGCAAGCAAAGAAAGGTGATCAGTTATGACTGTTAAGGGGTTATGTTTACGTGTAAATATATATCCACAACAGCATCAGTGTGTACGATGGGTGTAATGACTACGAGGTTGAACTGGGAAATCCAAAGTTATGTCAAAAACATGGTTAAATTCCTATCCACCGTTATGAAACAATCTGACCCATGTATACCTAGCATACATAGCATATAATGACCGGTCCTCTGAATCGATCCGTCTCAGAACTCCAACATGCGCTGTAAGAAATAAATATCCAAAAAAAAAAACATGATTCCTCCAACTACTTTCCAAAAAGCGAGGGGAGGAGGAGGAAACAAACCACCCTCCGTCCAGGGAACGTTCTATGTGTCTCGTACGTATATCCGCGTGAGCTGGGGGTATGATGATGATGAATGATGATGAGCCATGATCCATGAGTAGAGAAAGACAAGTCCATATCCCATCATAATGTATTGCCAGATTGCCAAACATCCATGTATCCACCCATCCGTCAAGCCTGCCATCGAGCCGTCCTCCAGTCAGGCTTGTCATAGGTGCTAAAACCACAGGAAAGCGATATTGCCCCCATCCATGGCCGCGACCAACATGACAAGCGTAACTGGAGGTGAAACTGAACAAAGTATTGCACATGTCATGTCGTGAACGTAAAGCAGAAGAGAAGAAAAGAGAAACTCCAATGCTCACACTCGATGGTTGATGACGCCATCCGGCTCGGCATCGTCGTGAGCCGGCCCGCCATGCCACCCAATAGCTGTCAATAAAACGGGTCCGTTCCTCGTCGATGAAAACCGCTTGAATCGCAATCATCGAAACAGATACGTCGAGGGCGAAATCCGTTGGAAAAAAAAAGCAAAACAGACCAGCTTCAACACAGCACCCCTCAGTCGCCTATCCCCGCCATTCCAGCGGTCGCGGAAAAGTTGCCATAGACACCATCGTCATCATCGCTCTCGTCGCTCTCTGGACTTCTTGGGCTCTGAACCCCGCTACCCTCGGCACTACTTTGTTGGAACCGGGAACCCGCACTACCTCCGTGCGTACTCAGGCCGCTCATGCTAGCCATGCTAGAACTCCGCCCCGGCAGCGCTGCTGCCGGACTAGCAGCGCCGAGCGCTAGCATGCTCTGTCTGCGAACCATATCCAGGTCAACAGCGCTGTTACTCCGGCTCAGTGACGGCTTCTCGGGCAGCTGCTTGAGCAGGCCGGTTGAGATGTCGAGCATGCCCATGGCAAACTCCGTCAGGCCCTTACCCTCGCCGGGCTTCGAGCTAACTGACAGCGTCCAGCGATACTCGCCCAGACGACGACGGTACCAGTCAGCCTCCTCACGGCCGGGGGACGTAGCCCACAGCAACGAACCAAACGTGCCGATCAGAGCAAAGTTAGTCTTAGAAGCAAAGTACCAAAAAGCGCGGAGATGGGCTGGGGTTAGACGGTTGACAAAGTCCATGGCCGAGATCAAACGGGCCTTGGCAGCGCTACGGCAGATATGCTGGACATAGGGGTCAATTCCGCAAGGAGGGTAGGGGTTCCCAAGATTACTGCCGGCTGGTGACGCCGAATATTGCGACGTCTTGGTTCCGGCCCCGTTTGTAGTGGCATTGCTTGCCCCTGATTGTGCAGCAGCTCGTGCTGCCTGCGCCGATGACTCCATGGAACGAATGATGCGACGATGGAGAGTAATCTCAGTGGCAAAGTAGGCCAGGTGCAGGTATCCAATAGGCGAGAACTTGCCGGGCTGCTGCATGCTTTGATGTATGCTCGGCTCCATACGGACAATGGCTGGAAGCCCGCTGTACCACTCCTTCAACTTCAGCTGTATCGGCTTCGCCAACGACAAGACCAACTGTGTTCCTTGAGGGCCCGCTGCAGCCACAGCTTGTGAAGCCTGCAGAGTGTAAAAGGTCTCGAGAATCTCGGCTAAGATCTGAGACAACTGCACCATTTGTCCAAACACAGCGCGACCGCGCTCAATCTCCATGCGCTCTTCCATATTGTTTTCGTCCCATTCGACTTCGGGGAAGTCGTTCGGAGTCAGCTGCTGGACAGCCCAGTTGGAGGCAAAGATGTGCGACGGACGACCATGGACGAGAGCCCCCCATTTATCCTGACAGGTCAGTACCAAAAAAAAAAAAAACATATGAAGAACGCAACAAGAGCCTAAACTCACCTGCATGTACAGAGCCCAAGCAAGGCGTTTTCTCAGACCACGCTCCCATGGAGGAATCTTCCAGTGTGTGCAGTCCAAGTGCAAGCCGAGTTCCTGACCAATGGCCACGAGCTGTCCGGTGGGCGCCCACTGGTCACCCTCCGGTCGCTGAGACAAGATCAGGCCGGCCTGGATCGTGGACAGCTTCGGCCGATACATAGCGTCAGCCAGGCTGGTCCGCACCAGCCGCTCGAGCTCGCGCACATTCGGTTTGGGCTGTCCGGCTAGTTCCTCGCAGTGGTCCCACCAGTTGATGGCGAGCAGGTAGATGGCGGCGAGGAGCGGGGGCGAGAATTCGCGGTACGAGCGCTCGTACTTTTCGTAAAAGACATTCTTCTGGAGAATGGGGAAGGCCGGATGAACGATCTTGAAGTACAGGTCGATTAGCTTGCGCCCATTCGGCGCTACTATCCTCTCGATCTCGTCGGCATCTTCCAGGATGCGATGATAACCAGGCGTGGCGCTGTCGGGGAGCAGCAGGAAGGTGTCTTCATCACTGACCCTCCGGAGCGTACCCCGCGCAAGCAGGCTCTCGTCATGGGTGTCGAAGTTGGAAAGGTTGATAAGAGATGGCTCGAAATCGGTGGTTGGTCCAATGTATTGGCTGTATCTATCCTCCTGGAGTCCAAGAGTGCGCTTCAGGAGCGTCGGACCGCCGAAGTTGGCCATATCCTCTATCAGCGAGCTGGTGGTGGTGGCACATGAGAGACTTTGTTGCTGGTGCCGCCGTCTTCTAAAATCAGAGCGTCCTGGTGAACTACATTGGCCAATGGGATGTTAGGAGCTTGCGGTTATTCATAGAAGGAGGGCAAAAAGGTGCTGAGCTAAGAAGGAGGGGCGAGGCAGAAACACAGCGAGAATCACACGCTGCAGCCTTGCTGCAGCAGGAGAATTTCCCATGATAGTTGCAGAAGGGGGTACGTGGGGTAAGTACACGAAAGATCGGGGAGCCAAGTAAGCGGTCAGTCAGTGTTTTGGGTCTGTTTCTGCTCACCTTCTCTTGCTGCTGTTGTCTTCCAGGTCCCCATTCAGCTTGCGCTTCCTGAGCGGCGGGCTTTCTGCCCAGGAGCACTCAGTGCCTGCGACGAGGCAGGCCACGCAGCTCTCGCCTTCTTCGCTCATGACGCACTCATTTCTGTTGCGAAAGCAAGCTTCACACGGATGAAAAAGATGGCTATTGACCGAGTCGGAACCGGGCGAGTCAAAGCCGTTCCGTAAACCTGGGTGCGAGTCGAGGTGGACGCTGCCCTGGCGGCTCGGGGGGAAGCGCGGCGGTTTGGGGGCAATGGCGATGGGAGCCGTCCGGGGGACGGCACAGGGGGTGGACATTGTGCAGGTAATAGGTAGCTAGCTGGTCAAGCCTCGGAGCAGCCGGGGAGTTTACGCAGGGCTTCACGGGCAGTCCAGCTCGACGACGATCGTTGCAAGCCGGGACGGCGCCGAGGTGTAACCTTGCGGGATGTATGGTTGATCTGGCACTGTGTTTTCGCCCTTCCTGCTTGTTTCGGCTCTTTGTCTCTCTTACACACACTCCCTTCCTGGGTCTCCCTCACGGGGTGTTCAGTCCCGCAGAGTCTCAACAAAACTTCCAAATGAGGGCAACGGAGATGCTGCTACCTCACAACAAGCTCGATGCTCCCACAACCACTTCCAGCGTTTCCTGTGCCAATTGGTCTAGCGTAATGGAGGGGCGCTGGGCCTGTGACTGTGGGCGTGCTGATAGGGCTCGGGGACACAGGGAACCAGACCCCCCGCGACGGCGTGTCCTGAACTCCGGAATTTGACAGGGTCCACGCGCTGGCACACAAGCTGGCAAGCTGTACCCGCTTCCCCAGATCGTCGGGATACGCTAGAGATACCGGCGGGCAGGGCAAACGGTGTAGCCGAACTTGTGAGTGTGGCGTATGGCGTAAGTAGGGTTGTGTAAATCAAGCGTTTAACGTTATCAGGACAGCAAGGGTCGTTGATAAGACCGACTGGCTGGACGTTCAACAGATGGCCCCAGGTCAGAAGCCGCCTGACAAACCACGCGGCACGGGTAGGGAGCTCCACGCCGCCAACCGTTTCCAGGCAGGTGAACAGGGAGTTGGGCCGGGTTAGAGCTGGCCTGGAATGTCAAGGTGATACGGGCCGAGAGAGAGCAAATAAGTGTATGTTAATATGTGTGTGTGTGTGTGTGTGTGTTAATGATTAGGTGTTGTGTTTCTCTGCGTGTAGCGGATGGACTGCGAAACAGTCTGCTGTGTGAGTAAGAGTTGTGTGTAAGTAAGTGTGTGTGTGTGTGTGCTTGCTGTTTCTCTTGGTGGTTGTCCGTGGCCCCTTATCGTCGCTATCTCTCGCCAGTCGGAGCAGCCGGTCGGATGCTGGCAGCCCACGGGCCACGAGAAGGATCTCAGATGCTTGGTGTTGAACGGGTGTCTTCCAGGATTTAGGGGGGCGTGCGCGTCGCAGAGATAAAAAGGGAACGGACAAACGGCTGTTTTGCCCGCGCCCAGACGGAGGAGAAGCACGATGGGCCCCGGACGCAACGGCGGCGACGGCGGCGGCAGGCAAGCAGACACTGGACACTTTGCGGCAGGAGCACGCCCGCAGCGTCGCGCAGATGCAAGGTGTGCAGTGTAGCGTAGTGTAGGTACGGTAATGTGTGTAGGTAAGCGTGCAGGGTAGTGTAATCTGTATGTTTAGGTGGTGTAGATGGCCAACGATAAAGCACAGCCTGGGGCTGAATTGGCAGTTCTATGTGATGATGGAAACTAGAACAAGATAAGCCAGGCTTATCTGCGTCATTTGCACCAGCAGCGGCAGCAAGGCACGCGGCGGTGGTTGTGATGTTTCTGCTGTTGCGGCTCGGGCGACGGCAGAAAGCAGCATGCAGAGCTGGACGAAGGTGCGTATAAGGGGACTGGATGGTCGGAAGTTGTTGTGATGATGATGATGCAGTCGTCTGGTCTTGGTCTTGTCTCTCTCCCACTCTCTATCAACTCATTCTCCAGTCTCCAGTCTCGTCTCCAGTTTAGTTTCACCAAGTCAGGCCCACTGTCCACAGTGCCTGCTGGGCAGGCTGGACAAGCTTCTTCCCTCCTTCAAAACTGGGGGCGTCGGTGCGGCTTCCCAAGATCGTCCCAGGCTGATGCCAATCGACCAGTGCGGAAGGAGCTGCCGTGCTGTTACTACTGAGTGACCACTGACAGGGCCGATAAAAGCGTGGAAGCCGACGGTCCGGCAAGCGCGATTGATAAGAAACTGGCTGGCTCAGTGGTTCTGGAACGAAACCAAGCCAACGGCTGCAGATCGACCACACCACCAAATGGTATGAGAGCGTGGCAGGAACAAGCAGAAGCGAACAGGAAGAGAACTGCAATGGGACTTGTTGGGCTTCTACACGCGATCCGACGGATGAAAGCAAGAAAGCAGGGACGCAAGATCTACATCGACCACAGATCGGCCGGCCATATCAACCATCCAGAGTGGCAGAGAGCCAGTCCCAGAAAAGCCAACTCTCGTGTGGAGACGGCAGATCAGAACATCCATTGAGCGCTGGATCCGATCTTGTGCTCTCAATCCGCAACCGGCTCACTCTCTCCGGACACACAGAGCAGACAGCTCAGATTTAGGACGAGCATTGGGAATATGCAGTCTTGCTACCGATTGCGCCGTGGCTCTGTGCGTGTGTGTGTGTGTGTCGCTGTGTCTCCCTGCTTTCCGTCCAGGCGGTGGTGACGCAGGTGAAGCCGCCAGACAGGCGCAGAAGCATGCCAAGAAGCCTACTGATATCAACAGCGTCTTGGCTACCCACCTTATCGCCGCCCTGATTTCAGTTGGAAATTCCTAATGGCAAAAGCTGCGAGATAACGGTCGCAGGTCACCAGGTACGCCAAGGGAACCTTTGGGCTACCTCAGCAGGGCGGTTTCTATTAACACTATTACCGTACAATTTCCGCGCGGTATCAGTTTGGAGACAGCGCCACATCTTCGAGATTTTAAGTCAATATGGGGTATCTGTGACAAGGGACCGCAACGCTGCCCATCCGCCCCGCCGGCAGTCAGGTCGTCGATGGCCGCACGCGCCCAATTACCAAATGGAAAACGCGGGGTCCGCCCGTTCGGGAATACCTCTAACGTAATGGCGCCCGCCTTTGCCGGCCCAGATCGCTGCGTTTGGCTGCGTTTTTCCTGCGTTTCTCCCGACGCTGGCAACGCTGACAAAAACGCAGCCAAACGCAGCGGGCCCCCAAGACGCCCAAGACAATCCAGACACCTATCGTGTTCGACAGCCCTGCGACCCTGGATGAGCCGGCGGGAGCCAAGCCGACCGGGTTCCGCAATGGGCTCGCCGAGGACATAGGAGCTCCGACACCCGTAAAGGCCCTGGCCGCTTGGCGAGGGGGGGGCAGCATGGGCCGGTTCATGCACGACACTGCCCGCAGGGGCCGCAGTGCCCCGGGGGAAGACTGCGCGAACTGTCTCCGCCGGCGTCGTCTTTCACCTGTCCGCTTCACTGCCGTCCCCAGCTTTATTTTCCACGTTCCGGATCATTATCGTCGTGCTTCATTTCCCACAATCCCTCCCGACCTCGTCGCTTCGCCTACGGCAGGCAAATACATAAAGTAAGACATGGAAAGATGAATTCGATGGAGAATGGTACCGCGCGGTGGGGTTGTCGGCGAAATTTGGCATCAATGCTTTGCAGCTTGCCAGCCAGCCTCTTGCTCTGCTCTGCAGGTCCATGTACCCGACCGCCTGTCTCTCTCCGTCTGCCATTGCTATGCTCGCCGCTTTTAACACGTGTGTGCTGATAAGGACATGAAGAAGCAAGCTGGAAGTATCAAGATGTGTACGGTGCTGCCAGCCCGGCCAGGCAGGCGGTCTCACACACCGACCGCGGGGTTATATTAGTGAAGGCTGATATTTGATGGGCAAGGTCGTATTCTGACTCGTGAGTTACAAGCAAAGCAAGTCGAGGATCAGTGGCCAAGTAAGGAAGGCCAATAACTTCTACGATACCTCTCATAATTTGCACCTTCTTGATTGGAGCCTCAAAAGTCTGTACCTGACCCTGCCGCCGGATAGGCACGGCAGCAATTTGACTCGGCTTCCGTCCCGGGGAGGTCTCCATTCCCCAGCCCTGTCCCGTCACCGAGCGGCGGCTTTTTTCTCCACACTCCCCCCCTCCCTCCCCCCGCGCCCACGAGATGCAGGAAGAAAACAGCGGTTCTGGGGTAATACCTAAAGTAATAAAGCCGGGCAAGTTCCAAAAAAAAAATATACATCTGACTAGATTTTTCGTGCATATCGGATGGAGGGTATCACGGCGCGGGGGTTACACACATCGGTTTCGGCCACTGACAACGCCCTGGGTACACTACCTACATGAGTGGTTTCTGTGTAAGTCGAGTTTCAATCACGAGTTGGGAGGTTATTGAAAACGAACTTGGCATTGTAAATGAAAGAGAGGCCCCGTGGCCTTGTATAACTAACTGGCGATGATGATCTCAGCTCTGGACGGTTTATCGCCGAGAGGTGTACCCTCATTTGCCTAATCGAGGCTATCGTGCCGTGCAAGTGTCTCATCCTACCAGGATGCTGATCGATATACAACTTTGATGTTGTGTCATCTTATCGACACCCTTAGCCGATGGCCGTTACACCCATGACACACATATTCCTAAGCGATAAATTTGATCACTTGTAATTCCATTGCTAAGCTTAACTTATAAAAGCTTGCTTGTTGGCTGGCAATGCTCCAAAATCTAAGGCATCAATGAGTGTTATCAAACGCTGATGGGCAAGATATGATGAGGTGCGGTCGCTTTTGCACATTTCTCATGCATCTAAGCTGCCAGAAGGCTTAAAGCACCTCGTGCAATCCGTACTCCCTGTCAGGCGGGAGCGGTACCCGTAGCGTCGTCGGATGTAGCCTTGGGTACTTTCGGGGGATCCCACACCATGCACCATTCCTTGTAGACCTGAAAGCCTCCCCCTACCACGCCTCCTTCTCCTTCCTTGCTGGTCCCCCGGCGGGGTATCTCCATGTCGAAGCTGTCCAGGATCTGGAAGCCGAGCCGCTCGTACATACGCACGGCCGACTCGGTGCTCTCCAGGTAGACGGGCAGACGGGCGTGGGCGGCACGGTCGAGAACGGCGCGCGTCAAGAGAGTGCCGGCGCCGCGGGATTGGTGAGCGGGGTCGACACAGAGGAAATTCAGGTCTAGCACGGACACTCGGCGGTTAGTCAGGGAAATGGGGGTGTCCGGAAGAGGAAGGGGGGCACTCACTATAACACTCTCGGTCTCCGAAGGCCCTCTTTCGTACCGCTTCTGCGGCCATGGCGTAACCTTCGAGGTATTCTGGTCGGCAGCCCTCGATATTTCGAATGTCGCCAGATTCGAGTTTTTCCTTTGTGCTCTCCAGATCGGCCTCATTTTTGTTGTGGTTTGGCGCATCCCACTTGACAAATCCAACCACCTCGCCGGTCCTGCTGTCACGGGCCACTAGGAGTCCATTTTCTTTATCCGCACACCCTGGTTCCTGCTCCGTGCTTTGACTTGGAGCCAGAGGAAGCTTCTGGCTGTTATTTTTGCTTTCTACTTTTAAGCTCGTGCTACCACCACAGCAGGACGAGCTTTGTCGCTCCTCAACGAGATCGAGAGTTTGGTCTCCGCCTTCGTTGCTGGCCTTCTTAAACCCAGCACCTCCCCCACAGCATGACTCCGAGTTTTCATCTTCAGTGAGGCTGATAGTTTGGTCCCCGGTTCCAACGTTTGCGTTCCCAAAACCCGTACTCCCCCGACAGCAAGATATCAAGGTCTGATCCTCAGCCAAAGCAGAAACTTGTTCGCCCACGTTCCCATATCTCGTGCCATCCCCGCAGCAAAAAGCAGCATAGTACCCCGTCAAAAACTTCTCTAGCTCATGCTGGCTTTCTTCCGAAGGGAACTGCGCCCACAACAGGGGGTTGGCCTGCATGGCACGGAGATGAATCGCTGCGATGCGAGGGGCGTCGGCAGCCCGAGGACGGGCTAATTCCAGTTCTGTGGTACGAGCCATCGGAACCATTGTTTGTCGAATCCTAACGAGCTGGCCCGTTGAGGTGAGTCGCTGGTTGATGAGATCTAGAATAACCTGATGTTTAACCCGGGGATGCTGGGGAAGACTCCAACAAGAGATGCCCTATGGGCCACAGCGCAGTGAGTCATGTGACGTGCGATTGGTCACAATTCAAATCGTTGGTTTGCTCATCGGGCAGATCCCGAAAAGCTGGGTGAAACATTATGGGTCAGGAGGAACCGACGACTCAGCAGCCTGCGTCACCTCTCCCAAGTCTCCACCGAGCATCCTAAACGGCACCTCAACCCATTCAAACCACGGTGTGCCCCTCCAGTGCTCAGCCAGTAGCGTCAGAAAGTGCTGCCCTGCGTCCCGCATCATCCAAGTCTCGCGACACCGATCCAGCGCCAGGAACCAGTACGCCAGCAGCGCCACGGCCTCAGGCTTACCAGCCTGCAGCAGACGCACAACCGGCCGTGCAATCCATGTTGTAAAAGAACAGAGAGCGTACGCGCGACTCTTAGGACTAGGCTTCGTATCGAAAACCCACTGCAAGAAGTCGATCGCTTTTTCCATGCCCTCCCGCTCGTCGGGCGCTAGATCAGGGGAAGTCGCGATCTTCTGACGCAGGTCATCGCACTGATGGCCCTCGGGCTTCACCTGGAACCACTGCGCCACGAGGACGTCGAAGATGAGCCCGAGCTCGGTCTTGCGGAGGTTGTCCCAATGGCCCTCCATGACGTTGTGGATGCCGCGGTGCAGGCGCATGTAGGTCGTGAAACGCTGGAAGGCGGTCGGCCAGTCAGGGTCTCGGTGCGAGAGGAGGTCGCAGAGGGCGTGGAAGCCGAGGACGGAGGAAAATAAGAAGATTGGCACACGCTTCTCGGCTGAGTCGCCGATCTGGTTTACGTCGACCGTGTTGTTAAATAGTGAGAGGGCGCGTGTCTGTAAGCGAATGGAGAGATCATGGTAAAAGCTCCTTTGAGCGGGACGGAGAAAGCCTATGTGATGAGCCGAGACGGCCAGTAGGGCATGCATCAGGTAGGGATAGCGAAGCGCGTTGGTGGTAATGAGATCACGCATGCCGCCATCGTCCAGTAGAAAAATGCCGTCTTGCTTATCGGATATGGTCAGATAGTGGTGAAAAAGCTCCATATGAACCATGTCAATGTTTGCATGAGGCTCATCCTCCGGCCCGGCTGCTGGAGAAGGGTTGAGGAACGGGGCAGACGGGCCAGGAGAGCCCGATAATGACCGATCTGGGGACGTCCATGGCGTTGCGTACTGACATTCCCGCTCAACGGTTGCACAATTGATGCATCGAGGACGTGTTTCATCGCACTGCCAATTAGTCAGGCTCAGGGGAAGAGGCCGGGGGTGTTACTCTTAATATCCAACCTTGACTGTGCTGTGTTAGTAGAGGGACCACAATAGGGTTTGTTCTCTCGTCACAGGTAGGTTAAACACATGAAAACTCTCTCACTCAGAGACTCACCATGTCGACGCTTGCACTCGAGACAGCCCTTTCGGGACTTTTTGTGGCTCCTGCGCATCGGTCGGCGCAGGTTCAGATATGCCTGTGGCTCAGAAGTGTCCGACTCTTCCTTCATGATAGGGGCCCAGCAGTAATGCTATGAACAACTGTCTGACGGTAAGACTGAAGGCCGACGCCGTCAGATGTATGGATGAGTATATGAAACTTGCATGGCGGACACAGCCTAGTGCGATTTCACTCATGACGCGTCGCGGCGGTCACAGCCACAGCCCTACAGGAGCGGGTCCTGGCATGAGCGGGCCGCCAAGCGAGACCGAGCTCCGGGAGCCTGTGGAGCTTTGAACTGGGGCCGATCCGACAATGGTGTCGTCAACCCCTTGAGCCGCTTGAGGCTGTGAAGTAGCAATATAAAGCATGCTGCGTAATCAGTATAGCTATTACGAAGTCCTCGCATGGTTGTCGGGTCAGGGCAATTGCGTCTCATCCGCCGGCCGCACGTCCCAGCGAGGTCTAGACTTTGACTTCGGCCCAACCGCCCCCTGGCCGACGAAGTTGATGACCCAGTCACGCACTCGCCGTGTCTTTCTCAGCTGCGGGTGTGGACTATGTGCAGATAGATCCGTTGTGCTGTAATAGCCGCCAGTATCTTTCGAATCCAGCCGTGCACGGTAGAGCAGATGGACCTTAGTTAGGTCCCGTCGTAAACTGCATCCATACACCCTGCCAGAGAAGACGTTGAGCCCTACGTGCTGCATCAACACAATGTCCTGCGGCCGAAGCCCAGCCAGTGGACTGTTCGATACGCTGTCGGACGGTAGCCAGTACGTGATGGCAAAGCCAGCCTTAGTCTCATCGCCAACGAGCACCTCCACAAGGTGTTTGGTGGCGCCCCAGCGCGTGGTGATCATGCGAGGCTGCGAGATCGAGATAATGCCCACGATGAGCGTGCATGTCACCGTCTGCGGCTGAATTCTCTCGAGGTAGGCGGCCGATGGGATGTTGGTGAGGTCGACAATCACATCTCTCAGCGGTAGGGGCTCCTTGGGAGGTTGCTGGGAGCCCTGCCCGCTCAAGAGCGAGGTAGTATACTCATCAGACATATAAGACGTGGTGTCGTAGACGCTCGACTGAGTCATGATGAGTTGGGAGGAGGCCAGGTCCTGTTGGTGCATGGCCAGTGAATGCTCATAGAATTGAGACAGCGCCAGGTTGTTCTTGTTCTCAACGTGATGGTCGTCAGAGGTGGAGGATAAGGAAATGGTGGTCAAGAATTCGGTGGCTGTCTCGGGAAAGGAGCCGGCAGGAATGTAGGGGAAACTCGGGGTGAACTGCTGGGAGAAGCCGGTAGAGATTGATTTCTTCTCGAGGGACAGCGATCGCCAAACGGCAAATTTGGGCTGCGAGCCAGATGAGCGAGACGCGACATCTTTGTCTCGCTTTACTCGCTTGTGGCGCGCAAAGCGAGCGACATTGTCCTGAAATTCTGAGAGTAGTTTGGCCGAGTCCCAATCTAGCGCGCTGCTTTCTGGTGCGCCGGTGAGAATGATTGTTCTTTTAGGCATTATGTTGATTCACAATTTATGGAGAGAGTCGCGATCAGTTGTTTTGATGGTTGTTAATGTTATTCAGGCGAGACATGAGACTAGAGAGGAAGAGCACGGTATTCACACTGTGACAAACCATTTGGCTGGCCCCATTGCTTCGGCTTTCATCTGATCGAGTGATCGAGTCCTCCGTATTGCAACGAGCATTACGCGTACCGGACTATCTCCGGAGGATGGCCAATTTGTGTTAATCATTCTCTCTACAGTCTAGGCAAAGGATACTTTTTGAAATCTGTAGTGAACTAATAAGTTACATTCATGCCACAAGGGTTAACATAACCACCACTGGTTTGAATAAAGAATGCTTGGCTGAGATACTGCCCCAGTAACAAAGGGTCTAACATACATATGCCCCACGTGCCGTTCCTGGAGGAGAATTTCAGGGGAAGTATTCACGGCCCCACATCGTTTTGCCCTGTAACTTTCAACCTCTGGCACAGTGGTGACACCAAGCTAACTTCAACATCTTTGCCCACGATCCAGTGTATCCCTCTGCAGAGTCAAGGTCCCAGTCGTGTACGACGCCGTTTCAGTTGTATATCCAGGAATCCCAGTCATCAATCTCCATCAACCATGGCGTCGGCACCGTGGGACCGCGTCCCCAGCGAGAACACCCTTTTCGTGCTGGTCACCGGAGGCAACAGGTATGTCCAGCTTCTCCTGGCACCCATCCCGATATAACCAAGTTTTGACCGTCACAGCGGCATCGGTTTCGGTATCTGCCAGCGCGTAATCGACGAGTACCTCACGACACGCTCCCTCTCCTCGCACATCGTCGTGATCCCGACCACGCGCAGCGCTAAGAAGTCTCGGGAGACCATCTCCCTGCTACGCCAACATGTCCGCAAGTTCGCAACCACTTCCCCCAGCTCTACGCTCCCGCGCCGGTCCAGACTACGACCCGCGCCAAACAACTCGCCGCGTGCACCTCCTCAGCGTCCAGGTCGACCTCTGCAACCTGCCCAGTATCCGTCGCGCCGCGAATCAGCTCATCTCAGGGACGCTGAGCACGCCGAGCGATCTGCCCAACGAAGATAACGCCTTCGAGACGCTGGTCGATGTGCGCATCCCGCGGCTGGACTCGGTCATCTTCAATGCCGGCATCGGCGGCTGGTACGGGCTCGACTGGCCCAAGGTCTTCCACAACCTCTTTCACGAAGGGACTCGTCAGTGCAACCACCTGGCCCGAGTTCAAGGGCGCGCTGGCCGGTCACGTAATCGACCCCATTACAGGCAAAAAGGGCGTCGGTAGCGGCGACGTACCACAGATGGGAGAGGTGTTCTGCGCGAATGTCTTCGGCCACTACGTGTTTGCGCACCGACTGGCCCCATTGCTCTCCCGACCGGCGGCCAACGACACCAGCGAGAACGCGGCAATCCTCCCCCCCGGCCGCATAATCTGGGAAACCAGCATCGAGCCAGACGGATCCCATTTCTCCCCCTCCGACATCCAAGCCACCAAAACAAAAGCTGCCTACGAAAGCACTAAGCGCTTAACCGACCTCCTCGCGCTAACATCCACCCTCCCCGGGTCCCGCCCCTACGTCGAAAGTTACCTCACCCCGGACTCCACCAAATCCTCAGAAAAACCCGCACAACTCCCTAAGATCTACCTCGTCCATCCAGGCGTCGTGCAAACCACGCTCTTCCCTCTCAATGCCTTCATGTACTTCTGGTACATGGTAGTCCTCTACCTAACCCGCTGGCTTGGGTCCCCCTGGCATCCCATCACCGCCTACAAGGGTGCCTGTGCCCCAGCGTGGCTGGCCCTGCAGCAGCAGGAATGGCTCGATTCGGCTGGCGCTGAGCGCATAAAGTGGGGTAGTAGCACCGACTTCTGGGGCGAGTGCCGGGTGAAGAAGACAGAGGTTGACGGCTGGGGATGGGAGGGCAAAGTTGAGGATATTAAGGCTTTAAGGCAAGAGGAGAGGTGGAAGGGTCGAAAGCCTGGGGCGAAGGATGCCACGGAGGAGAGTTTGGCGGAGTTCAAGGCCCTCGGGGCAGAGTGCTGGAAGAGAATGGAGGAATTGCGGAAGGAGTGGGAAGAGAGAGTGGATGAGTACTTGGCGAAGCAGGGGGAGAAGGCGTGATTTGACCTGGAAAGATCTTAGCTGTTGAAGTTTCATGAAGGCCGTGCCATATCTTAAATATCTAATCGTAATCATAGATCTCATGGGATGAGCTGGAAGATACATGGTAATTGACATCAAATAGACCAAAGGAACCGAAGATGAATGTGTGTATACTGAAGAACAAGGATAGAAGGTGGTTGGTATTAAACTCAAGGTATCCAAAACAACAGTACTAGCGATATATGTCCAAAATCAGGCACAACAACTACCCGCCGCTCATATTCTCCCCTCACGCCCCCCCCCCCTTCCAATCTTACCGTTTCTCCTCATCCCCCTGCGTGTCAACTCCCTGATCAGATCGGACCCTTCTCAGCGTCAACTTATCCTTTCTGCCAAACAACCCCAGACTCAGCGCGAACGGCATGGCGGCCAGCGCAAACACCGCCGTAAAGATTAACGCATTCTTCATGTGCTGGGGAGGATCTGCGTCCGGCCCAGCCTTCAGCGGTCCTCCGCTAATAATGATAAAGATCGCGCCAAGCACCTGACCACCACTCCAAGCCAGCGAACCCGTGACTGCCGGGCTCACGGGGTGTGTAACTTCCACCAAGAACTCGACCACAATCGGCACAAGTGAAAAGGACGACGCCCCCAGTAGCCCCATGATCACATACGGGCCGGCGACATGGCCCGTCTCCGGCATCCACACGAAAGCGAGGTAGCATGCGGCAATGATGGGCACGGCGATGCGGATAGCAAGCAAGTATGACTTGTTACGGTCGATGATCGGGGATGTGACCGCCGCAGAGACGAGGCCGACAACGATAAGTATGGCACCAGCGATGCCAGCTTCGTCGTCGGAGAAGCCGTGAGGGAGCATGATCTGGTTGAGAAGGGAGGAAACCGAGTTGAAGAGGCCCACGTATACGGAAAAAGGGATGAAGAGCAAGTAGAACTCGATATGGGAGAAGAGGGCGTGGGCCGATTGGCGCAGAGAGAGCTTGGGAGTCTCGGCCGAAGGTGCCACGGGGGTTGGAGGGGCCTTTGGCAGGAAGAAAGCCGGTACCGAGCAGACTGACGACTGTACCAGGGACATTAGGTGTCGTTCTGCGACTGGAAGGGTTGGAAGAACTCACAATTATGGCAACGTAGAGCACCATGCGCGACACGTCGCCCGGTTTGTTCACCCAGAAAGGCACGATAAGCTGGCCCAGGGCGGCACCGAGGGGGTTAGCCAGACTCATGACAGCTGTAGCTGCCACACGACCGCGATGGGTGAACCACAGATCCGAGTACCGAGCCGGCGCAGTCAGGACAAAGGCCTGGCCGAGACCCGTCAAGATCTGACCGAGCATGACCACGCCGAATCGGCCTCCCGAGGACAAGTAAGCGCCTGCAAAACGGACCCAGTTGCCGACCAAAAACAAGCTGGCCGCGGTGACCATAGAGTGCTTCGGCCCGAGGTACAGCACATAGATGACGACGGGGGTAATGAAGGTGAAGGCAAAGAGCGAAGCGATACTTAACCAGTTGACCACCGTCTCGCTCTTGCCAAAGTACATGGCCGCATTGTCGGCGACAGGAGCAAATGTGAGCCACTGATAATGTCAGCAAAATACGGTTCTAGGCCTCTTAAAGCTCATCACCGGAGCCGGGGTGGCGGAGCCGCAAGACGAGAGACGACGTAAGGTAGGTAACACAGCGGGCCAACAGCGGAGCACAAGTGCATAGCAGCCAGGCCACAGCAGCCCCCAACATATTCAGCTCAATACATAGGTATATAAAACAGACTGCGCGACATGAGACCTCTTATGCTTTACTTCCCATTGTCTGTCTGCCTCCACGAAGTTGAAGCAGCTCCGTGCAATGATGAACAATCCATTTCCAACTATATCAGAAAAAGGGCAAAGATCGAACGAAAAAAAAAAAAAAAAACAAGCAACTTACATTCCAACTGCCAATGGCATTCAACAGCGCAAGCTCCACAAGCCCGAACCACCGCCGCCGATACGTACGGTACTGGCCGCCAGCAAAAGTCGGGCCAGTCGCATCCCCACTCGCGTCGGCAGCGCCATCACGGATTCGGTCGTTATCAGAGCCGGCGAAAATAACGGCTGAGGACGAAACGGTTTGGAACGGCCCGTCGCCGGAGTCGCAAGACGATGAAGCGACAACGCGCCCCATCGAAACGGTGAATTTGTCATCGGCGTCGATGTCGACCGACGCCTGCTTTTCCAGGCTCTGCTTCTCGGGGTCGTGACCGAGCGGTGAGTGGCGCGCGCTGGCTTGCGACGATGATGATGAGGTCATGATGTCGTCGGCTCTGTGGCTGTCAGCGCTGCTGCTAATTGCTGTCACAGGGCAAGTCGCGCTCGATTGCGCAACGTCGTAAATATGAATGCGGCCGTTCGACTTCTATCTCCACGGAGCGGCGAGCTCTGACAGCCGGGGGACAGCGAGGGAAGGACAGCCTCAAGGAACTCGCCTCTCTCCCTCAAGTGGATAATGAAACAGAGGAGTAAACCTCAGTTTATAGTCAGCGTCGCGTCACGCAACATCGGCATCAGCACTGGCATCAGCACTAGGAGTTCTCTGCGCCGATGGACCAGAGTTGGCGATGATTAGTGCGTGGCTGACGTGAGAGCAGCAAGAGACTGTGAGGAAAGAGGTTGAATTTCCCTATGTGTCGTATTGGTGTCGGCGATAAAGAGACAACCAGCCAAGCGTTCACTGGAGAGCAATTGAAGAGAACCAAATGAGAGGCTGAGAGGGGGTTGGCGCGCCGTGCAAACCGCCAAATCCGACACCTGAGTCTCAGGCGAATCTCATGTCATGCGTCGACCGAGCTCCGCGCTCTGCAGTGGCAGGAATGTGAAAGAGCCAGCACGAAGAAAGTCTTGAGTTTAGGTTGATGGAGAGAGTTTGAGACGTCACCGATAGGGATCGCTCCTAAGACAGAAGCCATCCACTTGCCAGGAAGCCAACGGAAGCAACCCCCTCTTTCAACGCTGCGAGCTTCTGACCATCCTAGCGCAACTGGAATGCTCACACTAACACCTCACCCCTCACCTCCCGTCTTGGCAGGTGGTCACACCCAGACATCTCGTCCCCACAAATTTACCCTAGAACCCCAACTCCCTAGATAGTGCTTGTGGATGTCCCGGAAACAGTCTCAACCCGAGACTTCAGGTGATAAAACCCCAACCACGACGTAGCACACCTACTACTGTGATAGATAGGTATCTTAAGCTGCATCAAGCTTGGGGCAGGGTTGCTTGGTCTTGGCTAAGTGAAAGAGAGCCCAAGCTGTAGAAATTGTTAGAACATTTTGTAAGGTGCTGGATGCAGTGTGGAAAACGCCTGATACTCGATCCGATGGGCCAAACTCCAGCTCTATTTCGCCATCACATACAAAAACATCACCATGCCAGGACGAGGGTAGTGTAGGGCGGTAATGATACACAACAACACCAGCCATGAACCACCCCAATCCCGACCAGTTCAGTTAGTCAATTATACACAGGGCTCCGTTGGTTTTTGTTAGCATGAGAACCCCTCAGCCGTTGAGCCTCTCCAATTGATACGTTGCCCGGGGCACGATGTGCGAGACCCCACCGCTCCCATCCCTCACAGCAAAACAAGCATGTAACGATCCAGCCAGCGCCCCGCTCTCTCCGTCTATCGTAGGTAGGTAGTAGGTACCCGTCTCCCCACATAAGTCTATAAGCCAGTCGTTTGCACGCGCAATCTTGCATGTTCCCAGGAGAAACGCCGACGCCAGCGGTGATGGAATGGGATCGGGCGGTTCGCAATATTGTAAGCAGTGCTTGCGGATTTATTTCAGAATGCGCCACAGCTTGGGAGCGGCGCACTCGGTCGCGCAGTGAGTGAGGTGGAAGACTGCAAGAACATGTCAGTAAGTGAGGATACAGGCTTCCCCGAGACGGGGCCTCGCTTTTCGAATGGTAAGCACATACACTCCTCAACGCAGTCCTCCTTGGTGCCGCCGTTCTCCTGGGCAGCAGTAACGCGCTTGACGCACTCATCGAAGTGGTGCTTGGCGGGGGCGCACTGCTTGGAGTTCTTGCACTCTGCATACCCACGTCAGCATCCTTCTCCAAGACCAGACCGCAATCTAAGCCCAGCGGGTCTCGTCAAATCTTCCCTCAACTCAGTTTGTCCAACAGCACTCTTTCCTCCCCAAGCTCTTGGCAAAGCCACGATCGAGGACAGCATGACGAGGCCCGCCGAGCATCCCAGCAGGGTTGGAGAAAACCGACCTTCCTCGAGCTTCACCTTAGGGTCAACAAGCTCCTCCTCCTCCTCCTCCTCCTCCTCCTCTTCCTCCTCAGCCTCTTCCTCAGCGGGCTCCTCCTCAGCGGGAGCCTCGGTGGCCTCCTCTTTCACAGTCTCTGTGGTAGTCTCGTCGACCTACATCCAGCAGGCAGGTCGCCAGCAGGCGCCCCAGCAGTTAGCCATAGAACAGTTTGACATATTGGCTCATGGTGTGAAAAAGACAGGGGTTTGCAGGCAAGTCGGCTTGGATATGTGCTGTGTATTAAGATGCGCAAGCCCACTGCGGGGCTACCAAAGCCAGCTTTGCAAGCTCACGCCTAGCCTCTGGTCAAGTTGCAAATTAACTCGCAACCTCCGGACGATAACTTTGCAACGCGATGCAAATCCGTGTGCCGGAAAATGCGCCAGGCCAGGGTAAGGGCGGGGGGTGGTGTTTTCGAGGGCGAGAAGAGAGAGAAAGCGGGATTTCATCGTACCTCCTTAGCGGGCGCCTCGGCATCGGCCGTAGCCCAAGGCGCAGCGGCCTCAATGAGGTCGGTGATGGTGTCCCAGAAGCCCATTGTTGTCTTTTTTTTTCGTTGAAAGGCCCGAAGCTGGCGAGCAGGCAGCGGGTAGGTCAAAAACGGAGGGGGGGAGGGTCGTCGGTCCTCGGGTGTTGGAGCACAAGTTCGACGGAGAACACAATGGCGCGACGTTGGGATGGAGTGGACGGAGAGCTCACCAGCAAAAATCGGGTAAGCGAAAACCGTCCGGGCTCCCCAATTGGCACCCGTTGATTGGTTGTTTCTGCCATCGGCCGAGCTCCGGGTAATTCCGCTGATCACGTGATGAGTAAAAGGCAGGCTCCCCATGGTCTTTTGCAGCTTTTCTGCAGGATGGCTTCATGTCAGGTTTACAGAAGAGTCCCAGGAGAGGAACAAAAGCCGTTAATGGCCACAATAACTGACACAATTTACCAGGTTACTACGACTCGAAACACCACATATCTGCGTTATTTGACATCGACAATACTTCAAAGAAATCAAGAACCATGCTAATGTATTTTGTACAGCCTACGGCAGGACAAAGACGAAGACCATCACGGGTTCATCCCGTGTGTGCAAATCCCTCCTCCCAAAACCCTATCCAGCTATGATTATTGAAAATGGCCGCTACCCAAAGTCATTAATGATAATTTATAGTACTCCAGCTCGTCCGTGTCGTCCCATTCGATCATTATTCATCAATGGCAGATCCTTCCAAACTCCTGATTTACCGAGACCCTCGCAGAGACAGCCAATATGGAAAACAAAAAAAAGCATGCGCTTGCTGTATAGGACACAGCACAAGAACATTCGAAATAGAAGATAAAATGGCGCAAGTCAGGAAAACAGGAGGATGAAGAAGGAAGGCAAGATGATCTGGTTCGAAGAAAATTCCATGTATCATGACGTTGACCCCGAGCCATCACCTGTTTTCCCCCTCACCGCTGCCTCTCGGCCTCCTGGCGCATCCTTTCCTCGTACTGCATTGTGATCGCCTGGCTCTGAGCTTCCACGTAATCCGGCGGCGGCTCATCCGGCGCTGGCGGGGGCGGTTGCTGCAGCTGAGACTGAGCATCGGCGGCCGGAACCGGGACGGAGGATGTGCTACTGCTGCTCGGGGGTTCATACGGCGGCGGAGGCTCGAAGTTTAAGAGCGGATTGAGCCCCAATTCCTGCGCATGATGAAGTCGTTCCTTGAGGGTCTCAAACTTGGCCTGGAATTCGCTGTGTCCGCCATCCCGGAAGGTGAACTTTGCCTCAATCCGTGGGATGTGCATGGGGATCCCTCCTCCCGGGACTGGCCGGACCATGCCGCCCCAGCTCCAGGGACCGATCCAGGACGAGTAAACGTGGGTGTCACTGAAGTTAAGCACGGGAGTAAAAAACGACCTAAACGTCTCTGTCGGCCTGGCCGGAAGGTATATCACCTGTGGGGTAAAGACGAGGTGAGCTTAGTTCGGGTCACAAAGCCAAGACGGACGGGTGGACACCGCAGGAATCAGAATCCTTCGCCTTTTTCCCGCGGACCGCCCGGCCAGCCAGGAAGCTTACCCTCTGGTTTGTGATATAAGCAATGCCGTTGTCACACTTGAGCGAGAACGGCTCAGCAATATTAAGCTCACGAGGCGTTGTCAGCTCGAGGGCAACCCTCGGGCGCGAAGTGTGTAGGATCTTTTCGCCAGGAATGGGCACAATCTGCCCATCCCGGGTCAACATGACCCAACTGGTCTCATCGTCAGATTGCGCATTCCTCAACAGAGTCCATGTGTGTTGCTCAGCGAGGAACTGATCCGTCATGATCCCCGAAACACCTGCGGTCAACGAGATACGGGGCAGAGGATCGAGAGTATTGCCGAGGGCAGGCGAGAAAGATAGCTCGGAGACTAGGGCACAACCAAGAAGGGAGTAGGAGGACAAGGAGGATGGTGAGGAGCTGGGAATAAGAGCGCACGAGGGGGTCGTCATGAGGGGATTCCGGGGTAGATGAGGCTCTCCGGGACCGAGCGCAAGGGCAGGCCCAGTGAAAGGGAATACCGGGGCAATTGTATTTCTGGACGTGGGGGGGATAAAAAAGGATAGAAAAGACTTACTTTATTGACATGTTGACACGGGCAGGACCATAAAGTTGGGTAACTTAGGTAACCAACTGGCTGCAGAATGGCCCGCAGCCCGCAGGAGTGGTGTCGAGCTGTCCCACACACAGTTGAGCTAAGCAGAGTGAAGAACCCGTTCGATGGGGCCTCAGCTGGTCTCGATTCGTCAGAATTGGTGCTTCTGCCTCGCTAGTAGCCTAGTACCCCTGGGCTGGGACACATCCGCGAGCTTGACACACACCTCAACTCACAAACGGCAATAGAAAATGGCAGGTAGCTTGTAGTGTGTATGTACGGTATAGGTAGGTAGTGTAGCGTACTCCGTAGCCTAGCGTAGGGTGGCGGACGGGAGACAAGGTGAGTGGACTGGATGGAAGGACTGGAGCTAGCAATTTGCAAGGGATCGCCTCCAACCCTCCCGCCTGCAATGCTGGTCGTGCAGCGCGGCCGAGATCTAGGGAAATTCTCTAGGCACGGTGTGGCGGCGGCGACGACGACGACGATGGCAGCCGTAGGATTGGGCTGCCCTGCCCTGCCTGCTTGTTGCTGGGTATACTGCTAGTATTCTTCTGCGATGGTCTTGTCGCAAGGTGTGGGCCGGAATGGCGATTTGCTGGAAGTGCTGACAGCCTATACTTTTCCCCTCTTCCCCTCCTGGTTCCTCTCCGCCGGGAATGCGTTCTGGACCCCAGGAAGGCTTGTGGGAGTGCGGCGTCTTCGAATGAGAGATGAGCGAGGCGTCTCGGCAGCCCAACCTCCCGGGTTACTCGCGCAGAGCTCCGAGTCCCGCTTTCATGCGGATGGGGGAAGGGATGGTTCGCAGACTAAACGTGAAGTGCGTTGATGATCTGTAGGTCCAGTGGATTGGCGCAGCTAGATGCTAGGTCGGTCGATGAAGCACCAACGACGTCTTTTTTTATTTTTTTTGTCCTGACCTCCCTGACTCGACCGAGAGTGCCGGCGAAGATAAACTTACGGGTAAACACACAAAGGCAGCACAGACAGCCGACGTGTAATCCACGCGTTGAGCCTGCCAGGGATGCAGAACTTTATGGACAATGCGACTGATTGGAAGTACAAAGCCAAATCCAATGTAAGAGTGAGCGAGCGAGTCCTGTGAAGGCGTGGCGTGGCCTGCCCTCGCTCTCAACTGCGACCCCGCGCTGCCCAGGCTGTAGGCCCGGCAGCCAATCCGACGTGGGATCGGCGGGGCTGCGAGCAGTTGCAGGGTGGGTCCAAGGTGGCCGTTACGGAAGCCCAGCAGGCCACAGCGTCACACAACCTTTCGTACCTAAGGCACGCAGTGGTCTCACGCCGGCTGACAGCCGATCTTGTGGGAGTCTGGTTGGGCTGCTTTGGCTATTCAAAAGTCGGTGGATGCCATTGGAAACGTCTACAAAAAGTTAGATTGCTTTTGACCTTCTAGAACACTGCCTGAATGTGTAGAAGTATTTCAGAAATTTACCAATGGCCAGCTACACAAGCAACACGGCGACTTCCACAGTCACATGCGAACTCGGCCGCCATATCTTCGCGGTGATACCTTACCCCAGGCCATGGGATGGCAGCCATATCGATGTTTGCCAGGGAGCATATCCCGACGGAATGCTCTCCTCTGCCCTGCCATGGACCATGGTGTTTGTGTGCTAGTCTCTAAACAAACAGCATTAGGGCAGAGAAAACGTACGAGAAGGTCCTCTCCTCCAGACAGGAGTCCAATGAAAGGAGTCCAATGAAAGGAGATGAACGAGGCAACCTAGAAAGAGGCAACCGTTAGGATTCAATGGCTGTCCATATTCCATCGCCCTCGCAGACAATGCAGAGCTCTCGGACGATGGCCGCCATCAAAATTTTAAATGCCATTGCTGCTGATGCTGGTGCTGATCCTGCCTCTTCTGCTGTTGCCGCTGCTTGCTTTCGCTTCCAGCTTCCTCTGCAGCTCGCCGCCGAGTCCTCCACGCTGCCTGGATAGGTTGACATGGGAGATGGCCCAGATGAGTTCGTCCAATGAACGATCCCCGGCAGGCCGTTACGCAGGCCAACCCACACATTCGGCATCCCGATGTGGATGCAGGCTGCAGGCCGCACGCTCTCTGCCAACGCCCTGGCCTTTTCTGGTTTTTTCCTTTCCCAGACACCCACGCCATGCCAGGCTTCTCAATCGGGACTTTGACCTTCTGTCGCCTATACCAAAGGTATGTATACGATGCGACACCTTGATGGCTGCCACTTCCCAGCCAGACGGACCAGCCGAGCAGTCTGTGCTCCCCGAGCACATGCAAGACCAGCAAGACGGCTACCAAATCTGGAGATGATGCCAGTTAGCCGTTTAAGCATAGCATGTTGCCAAAATGGGTTGCCAGCAAAGGCATACAAGACCAAATCGTTGGCGTTGATCGTCACGACCAGCTAGCGTCCCTCCGTTGCTGGAGAGTCAATCTGGACGGGATACGGATTGCCTACGGCGGGACGGCGGTGTCCAGGTAAGTCCGTGTATGTCTCTTTGTCTACAGGAGTTATGTAGCAGCATATGTCCGCTCTTTGAATGTCAACAAGCCGAGACGCAATGGTGGTATCATGGGAGTCATGAAGCGGAGTTCTAACAATGAATACAGGCTCGTACCCCCTGTCATCTGGACCGGTCCAGTCTTTCAGGACCAATCTCCCTGCTTGCCTACACAGTGCTTGCAAGAGCCAACACCGAATCATACAAGCGTTTGATCAAACTAACCGCAAGCCACTCAAAGCTACTGCGAAATCCCCCACCCCCTTTCTTTCTCCTTTGTTGGTATTAGCGTCCGGATCGCACTCAAGGCAAAAAGAGGAGAGGGGGAGGTTACCGTACAGAATCTATCCCAAAGAGCTAGATCGTAACGAGGATATGGTTTAACCCTTACCTTACAACAGATCGGCGTCCGCAATATCTGCTTGGGTATCTGAGTCTATGGGGTCTGTGGGTTTAGGCCTTGTCTCGCTGCGAAGGACCATGATCCTTAAGCCGTGTGCGTTGGTACATGGAGCATCTTGGCCTGCTTTAGGCCCAACCCACAGCTATGGAGAGGAATCTGGATGGCTCACATGGCTCGTTTGCTTCTTAGGGTAGAAGCACGGTTCTTCTGCAGCTCTTCACTCCGCCGCCTGTCCAGGGCAGACGAAGGGCCCATTGGGGCTCGCTGGCAAATGGCCGCATAAAGAGGGCATGCCAGCTCTCTTCCAGCTTCACCGCCCGATGACATGGGGCGAGCAAGGGGGCAGGTTCGGAAAGTGGGGCACACAACCACAACGCTTCCCGAGCCCACCGAAACCTTGAGTGTGGGACGGGATCTGGAGAAGAGCGCCAAAGAACGGTCGGGAATTGTCGCCGCCCATGTTGGGAAATGACGTCGTTCTGTTTCAAAGTGGTTACAGGGCAGCCTTAGCATGTTTTTTGAACGTAGCAGACGACCCAGTACCAACACTACTGGCAGTGCTCCCCAGAACTTTCAGTCACCAATCCTCTGGGGCTGCTGTCGCTCTTGCAGCGAAAAAGCCGGCCGACTCAACGCAAGCGACCGGCTACCGGCCCGTTCCTACGCCCAACATCCTCTGGGCCCCTCCTGCGCAACGTGGTGTTGGATAATCCGTACAACACGGCTGGGCCGCTTAGTGTCGACGGGGCATCCCTTAGGTGCTCGACCCATCCTTAGCCAGGCTACCTGCCCGCAAAAACTTCTTCTCATAGGACATGACATTTTCTGGCACTTTGCGCTCCCATGGTGTTTTGTGGGGTCTATCATGGACCGCTTCTCCGCCTGGGCCCTCCATGTTCCCTGATGCCGGCTGAGGGTATCGATTCTTGCTTCCTGACCTTCCTCACATGGTGTCGAGCGGCAACACCATCCCCCTTGCCGCTCCCCAGAGCGCGGGAAGATCATGGCTAATGAACCCGCTTGGATGTGGCAGGAGGTCCGCCTGGCCTTCCGCTGTTCATTCAATGGACTGATGCGGGGCGAAAGCACGTTAATCCTCGCCCGCCACAACACTTGTGCCATGTGTTGGCCCACTGGCGCTGCCTTGTTGGAGACGAGCATTCAGGTGCCCCGGGCTGTTATGGTTCCTCGCATCCTCGCTGGAAGACTGCGCAACTTTTTTTTTTCGGCATCTCATGCTCTGATCCATCCCGCGGCTTACGAGATTGGTGCTTGCTCCGGTCACCGGAGAAAACGATCAATGGTAGTGAACGAAAGCATGGCATGGCAGGGCAAGATGCATATGTCTTGAAGATCTTGCGCATTATTACAGTTTAGACTTTTTTTTGGGCGGACCCGTGATCAATACATCTCAGACTGACAGGGGAATGCCGTTTCTGCAGGCGTTGGGACTGGTTACCATTCTGAAGGAACCGAATCAAGAATGGCCGGCTCTGGCGCCAGCTTTCACCGGATGCGCAAGTTAATAGCCCCTGTCTCCGATTCTGGAGCCGTGGGACCATAAATATCATATCTCAGAGTTACCTACCTCAATATTTTATCTCGATAGTCCATCAGGAAGCATCAGAGCGACATGGGATAAGTTATCAATCCGACTAGAAGCTTCGACAGTGACAACTGGCAATCCGTCACGGTGTGCTCTGGCCAACCGGCTTGCCCATTGCGTCTGGGCAAGGCAAGATGTTGAGTTCGACCCCAGCCATCTCCTGCTTTCTCCTGACACATCATTCAGCAATGACAGGCCTGAGTCCTTTGACCCCCTCCTCCCCTTTCTCCAAATCCACTTCTGCGGGGGAATGGAATCACGGATAGAGGTCTCTATTGGATAGCCTGAGCCCACACAGCCTTGTTCGTGGCCAGGAAGATGGCAGGGACGGCGCTGAGCAAGGCAGTGGACATTTTTCTTGACCTAATCCTGTCGGTCAAGAGATACCCAAGATGGCTATGGGAGGAGATGTGACCACCCCCCGAGCACTGCTCGACTCGACAGGGGACGCACAATCACACCCCAGTCGTCGGGTTTGGGCGTACCGCTGTCCTTCTAGGGGAAGTAGTGCTGTCTTCGCTATCGTGCTGGTGGGATCTTCAGCCGCTCTTCGCGGTGTGGGCAGATGTCTGGGTATACTAGTATACTGGTACTGCTTGCCGCCTGGATGGGACCTATCATATCGTCTGGACCATGCAGTGGCAACCAGGTGGCTTGTCTTGCCTGTCTTAGGATGCCTTAATAGTGCTGTGGCTCTATGCTCATGATCCTTCTCAGTAACCTGATGACGCGGCTGTAGAAGCCATGTCCTTAGGGAGTTTTCGGAGGTCAATGGGGTTGACAAGAGCCAATTCGGGATAAAGAAAGTTCTCTGCACCAGGTTATGATCCTGACAAGAGGCATTTATGTACCTCTACCCCTGAATCCCACATGTTCTGGATGCTGGAGGTTATAATTTTTGGGCGACCATTCGCCTCTGCTAACTCAAAGTTGGCCGCTAACTAACTATTCCTGGCTCTTGCTTGGTACTTTCAACATACCAGCTCTATGAAGCCTGGGTGAGTGACACAAACCCTCCATGCTCCAAATTTGAGGTTGAATAGGGCGATGTAGAGATGCTTAGTAGCATAGTCCCATGGACACATCTACACTCCACAGAGGACAGATGAGGTGTACAACACTGGTTACACAACATATAGCTCAATACGTGGAGCTCCATGGGTATGCACCGATCATACACATCCACAGTCTGCCCTACAACGGCAACATTACTGGGGCTTCGTGGGTTGAGGAAACATGTTCTTTGTTTTTTTTTTTTTCTATTATGCCATACAAGTCATACCTCATTACTCAGACGTTGATAAACATGACATATTTTCCGTGCGTGTCGTTTTTCATCAGCAGAGATAGACCATACAGGACAGGGCCTCATGATGTGGGCATTGGTGACTGTGACCACGTCCTCCAGTCCAACGACTGTGATGGAGAGAAGTCAGAAGACCAATTCCTCCTCATTTCTAGCCCAAGACGTCCGTGTATCTGGGCAGTGGTCCATTTTTATCCTTGGAATAGGGGTCATCACATGTAAACAGAACAGACAAGGAAAAACAACAAAAGGAGAGAACAATGAACCGACCAAACAAACCAGTTAGCCAACCAAGCCACCCGACAACAGCAAAACAAATTGCGGGTTATATACCGTCAATGATGTACCGAATCATGCCGACGTCCCACCAGCCCGGGCAGTCCTTGGTAGCGGGCCGTCGTCCACAGTCTACTGTGTCATGCGTTGCTCCTTTCCCCCTTTTGTCTCAAACACACACACACACCACCTGACTTGCTCCAGATCCACCTGTCAACTTCTCCCCCGCAACTGCCGCAGGAATGGAGAAAATCAGGCAACATACACCAAGCCCCGTGGGGATCAAGAAAAGAGGGAAAAAAAAAAATATCTTCGCGGCTGGATGCCTGAATGTCTTGTGGCCGCCTGTCAGCTTGAGTTCGCCAACCCCGACAATCCCCCACAACATCCTCAGCTCTTCAGCCAGCTCCTATACCTAGCATTGCGCCGAAATGCCGAACGGGACACGTATGGGTTCTTGCCAAAATGCGGTGTGAAAGCTGGAGTGGGAGGATTTTCACTCCGCGGGAGGGAGGCAAACAGGAAGCAGTGGTGGTGGCGATAGTCCTCCGGCTTGCCACTCAGGGGCACAACGACAAGACAAACCAACTAGCCGAGCTAGTTCCCGCTGTCCTTGACCCATCCGCGCGTGATGAGATAGCCGAGGGGATAGTTCGCTGCCGGTCTGTTGTCTCGTCACGACCGCCAACCTACCACCACAGTCAAGACCCCCCCCCCCGCTCAAGACAACCAACCCCCATCATCACCAAGCTTCTTCAAGGAAGCCGACACGCCCTTGATTGAAGACAGCACGGGAGGTCCATCCACGCCAAGATCCAACTTTGGGATCTCGAGCTTGGGCACATCGTCACTCTTGGCCGGCTGCTGCCCGTCCGCTTTGGCCTGCTTCTTGGGCGTCTTCTTCGCCGGAGAGGCCCCTCGGCTCCGTGGCGTCTCAGGTGGCGGCGGGCCATACCTCACGTCACGAACGTCCCAACCATCTTCGTATGCTGCGGCGACCCATGTCCGCAGCCCATCGTGTACCGCACCATAAAACTTTTCTTTGCACGTACGCAAGCTGCCGCCGAGACAACGCTCAAAGCCCGAAATGCGCAGATCGGCTCGCAGCGCGTTGCGTTCTGCCGCTGTCGGCCCCGTGCACGCGATGATAGCGTTGAGCAGGTCCAGGTGGCTAGCGAGGTAGTTGGTAGCCTCCCACTCTACGCCGCCAACATACGGAGCTGCCGGAACTGGCGGCCGCTCCTGTGGGAAGTGACGAGCCATGTAGGCAAGATGACCGTGAGGATCATCGGGATTCTGATCGGAAGATGTGCTCCCATCTTCAGCGGGGTTGCAGTTTGCTTGGTCTGAGGAACTAGCCCCAGCTCTGCTATCAGCCGAGGGCAAAGCGACAATGTTGAGATTGTGCAAGAAGATCCAAAACACTTCCTTGGTGACGCTGACAACTTCCTTGCACCAGATGCGGTAAGGCCGTTCGCGGCGCATTTCAAGAACGAAATCAACCGGTTTTTCGTTCTCTGGTGGCTCTGGATCACGAAGGAATCCCAGAACGGCCTTCGCACGGCTGATGCGCTCGAGTGGTGGCGCTGTCTCGATGTATGTAAACAGCAGTGAAGTAACAATATTGCGGGTGGTAAACTCGCTGGGACCCTTCTTCTCTGGATCAAAAATCATGCGTAGCAGTCGCGGGAATAAGGTCGCATGGATCTCGTGCAGGTACTGCAGAGCCAAGTCCGTCGTGCACAGCGCCTTGAGACACAGAAGGTTCTCGTGCAGCAGGGCATCCTCGTGCTCCTCGCGCCACTCGACGGCCATGATGCGGTACAGAAGCTCGACGATCTCGCGCATACCGCCCAGCCGTACAAATTCGTCGGTCCACGCAACCGTCTCGTTGCGCAGTAGTAGACGCAGCTTGTGCAGCTTGCCAACTTCTACCTCCTCCGGCTTCTGTACTCTTTGCAGGTACGCCACAAAGTCGCCTGGCAGCTGTTGCCCCTTGACTTTGGCCAGGAACCCGTTGCCGTAGTACCCCGGCAGCGAACCCGCGCCCCCACTGGGTGTCAAGGCACCGTCACTGACAAGGCTCTCGCTGGATTTTGTGCGGAAATGCCTCCCTAGGCTGCTGTCGCGCTTGTGCTTCTTGGTCGGCGACGTCGGGTTAGATTTGTTGCCGCTACCCCGGACGAGGGTTAAACTGAGCCCCCGGCCATGCTTCTTCTTCTTGGGGCTACCATCCTCGGTTGCTCCTACGCTGGACCCCTCACCCCCTGCGGCCGCCCCGCCAGCGCCGCCATCTGATCCTGATGCAAGAACAGCACCATCCAGAGAGGAAGGCCGCTCCAAGGCCGCCTGCATTTCGGCCCAGTCTTGGCGGATGAACTCCATCTTGATGGTGTCGCTCAGGTTGCGCATCTTGTAACGTTGGTTCTCGGGGATGTTGCGCCGATCTAGCATCGCTTCGAGGTGCTTATCGATGTCCTTGGGGTCGATGAAGAATTCAGCCGCGGCTGAGCCGGGAGTGCCCGATGGGGCCAGCCCTGACTTTGACCGCGGCCTCATCTCTGGCCGGGACGGTGTTGCTGGCGGGGCAGCTCCCGGCGTCGGAATCGGGGATGGGCCGTTGTATCGGCCCCAGGTCATTCTCCGAGTGCGATTGCCGGCGCTACTATTGCTGTCGCTATGGTTGTCGCCGGATTCGGCCGCAGTAAATGCGGGTTCCTCCCGTCGGGTAAGATACGTCTGGAACGACTTGGGCCGGGGCCTTCTGCCCAGCGATGGCGTCGTGACCGGAGGACGGTCATTTCCAGAGGCTGAGTTCCCACTGCTTCGGAGATTGGTTGACACGACAATATGCGAGTCGGCCGAGGACGATGCATCAGAAGTCCGCTGGCTGGCATATTGCATGTAGATGGGCGTCGGCGGTGTGGGCACCGCATGAACGCAATCGCCAGCAGCACCAAGCGATGTTGTCGGCGGAGTCCTGTTCTCCCTATCCTTCCCTGGGCGCGAGGGGCCACTGTTGTCATCATCTACTAGAAACTGCTTCAGATTCTTCATCGACTTGGGTCTCCCCAACAGCGCCGCCAGATTCGTAGCCGACTTCGCCTTCTTAGGTGAGTTTTCGTTGTTTCTGGTGGACCTGGGCGGCCTGCTTGGGTCACCACTGTCGCGGTCCCTGCTCTTGTCGCGAAATCCACCCAATTTAAGAGAAATGGTTGCAAAGCCATTTTTTATCGGCGATGGCGTTGTTGTAGCAGTCGACGGCCCGTCCCGCTCACGGTCGCGCTCGCGACCCCGCCTTTCGGGCGACCGGTCTGCTTGGCGGCTCTGCATGTCGTTGAACAGCGCTCGCGTGTACGCGTAGCGATCGGGATCCATGCCCTCAAACTCCTTGTAACTAAAACCCACTGGGTACGCACTCACGCCGACGGCTCTATCCACGGCAAGATCACGCTGCGAAAGATGGAAACCGGGGTTCGTCGACAACAATGGAGCGGCGGGGAGGGCGATGCCATCCGAGTTGTTGCGCCTGTGGTGGCCACCACCCATAAGCGAGCGCAAGACGGACGATCTCGACTTGGAGCGCTGGTGGTTCTGACGCGGCCCGGGAGACGCGGAGTCGGTCATGGCTGTGGACGGCCGCTGGCCGTGTACCATGTTGAAATCGGCGGCCATGGTCGTCGACTTCGCCGTCGCCGCCGCCGCCGCCGCCGCCGCCGCCGTCGTGGTAGTCGCCCACGGACGATTCCTCTCGCTGTGATCCCTGGGTGACTCTGTGGAATGCTGCAATGCCGCCGATGCGCGTCTCCGAGACACGCTCGTACACTGCTTTCACCTGGGTAGGTAGCGTATCCGGAATTGCGAACGTCGATCGATGCCGGGTAACCAAAGTTGGGGATATTGTGGGTTTGCACTTGTGGCGCGCGCGCGGGTCGAATGAAAATGCGAAACAGGAAAAACAAAAACCTGCTGCAAAAATAGGAATGCAGGGGAAAATTGAGATGCAACAGTAAGTAAATGAAAAACAAAAGCAGTTGCCGCGTCGTCCGCTCAGCTTCGACGACAACACATCATGCCATGACTGTGGACTAGAACAGGACGGCAGACAAGGAACGGTAAGGCTGCTGGTAAGCCTTCAAAGCTGCCGGTGGTTGGGATTGCGTCGTGTCGTCGAGCAGGATCGAGTCGTTCGGCCGGTCGTTCGGTCGGTCGGTTGGTTGGTTGCGAGTTGGTTTGTTGTTTTGGTTTGTCCTGGTTGAGCGCGATGCCAGCCAGCGCTAGGGATGTAGCTCGGGTCGGGTCTGTGGAGGTAGAAAGTTGGGATGAAATTCTGCGAGGAAACCAGGGAACTCAGGTTGGCCCCATCTGCAGTCGATCGCTGGTGCTGGTGCTGCAGTGGTGCAGTGGTCGCTGATAGCTTTGCAGGTAGGCAGGAACACGGATCGCTGCTGCGGTTGCTGGTTGCCGGGATTCACTTCCTTCTCGCGCATTTCGCACACGCCCCCCACCCCCTCTCCCCCCCCCTCCTCTCTTCTTCACTCCTCCTTTCGTGACAGCCAATTGGCACGCTGGGTGGTCGACGGCTTGTTTACCTGGAGCTCCCGTTGCCACAGCACCCAAAGCCTCTCCCACCCCCGGAACCAGGTTTCCGCAAATCGCGGTGAAGCGCCTGGGTGGGGCGATTTTGGTACACTACTTATCGATAAGATACGCCCCGCAATGCCCCACTTTTTGACGGCCGGATCGAAGGACGGGAGCCGGCTGCTGGGACGACGACAGCAAAGCATAGCGTGCGAACCAAGTCTTGAGACCCTTGCATTCCCCCTCCTTTTTGGCTGCTTGAGGATGCATGCAAAGTTGACGGTGAGATCGGGCGGCCCATACAATCACCCAATTCGCTCGCCCGTTTCATCCAGTTGTCAGCTTGCATTTCGACGGGCGCGTCGAGGTTGAGAAACGGTTCTATCAGCTAAAGAAACTGCAAGTAAAAAACAAAAAAAAAATCAAAATAAAAATAAAATAATTAAAAGCTTTGACGCAAGCCGTGTGTGTGCATCTCACCCAGGGTAACCGTCTACTGTATAACCGACTTCGACCGCAAAACAAGCTCCTATCGCGGTGATAACATAGTAAACATGCAGTATGCACCATCCCACCAGTGCTGAGCTGAGATGGCGAGCGTCAGCCCTGCGCTACACCTGCCCGGCCTACCGCGCTATGATGCAGCCCAGCCAGTCAGGCTCAACCACGACTTCCCAGCTAGCCTCGTTCACTCCAGCACCACCTCCACATCGTACTCTCTCCCTGCGTCCAGCGCATACTGCGGCAGGGTTTCCGGCCCACAGCTGCCCGTGCCGAGCCCGTGGTGCATCCAGTCCAGGCGAACCACCCTGTCCTTCCTCCACCTGTCATGCAGCTCATAGGGGTGCCCGCAGTCGTCCAGGTCGCGCGCAGAATACGGCAGCACCGAGAAGCTGGCGCCCTCGAACGCCCCGTACCGGGCTCGTAGCAGGCGCCGGCGGCCCGGCAGCGATCTTCGGCCGTCCGTCCACAGCTCGACCCAGCGGACGTCCGTCCGGTTGCCGTTCTCCTGGGGAAACTCGTACTCCGTCACCAGCTCGTCGGCCGGCAGCTCCCAGGTACCCACCAGCTGGCTCAGCTTCTTGTCGCAGTAGCTCTCATCGGGGCCCCGGCCGAACCACCGGACGTGGTCACATCCCTCGACTGCCGTGACCAGGCCGAGCCGGCCCCACGCACGCGGCAGTCCGTTGCCCGTCGGTTTTGCATGGGCCCGGATCCCAACGGCATCGTTGGTGAAGCGGTAGGTTGCCGTGACTTCCAGGGCCCAGTTCAGCGACGGCGGCATGATGCGCGTCTTGGACATGATCTCGAGCGTGCCATCTTCTTTGTACGCCCAGCTGGACTCGACTCCGTGCTGCTTAGCCTGGTGAAGGCGGCGGCCGGTCCAGTTTCTGCCAAAGTCGCAGCCCCTGTCGTTGTCAGTCTGCGCGCGGTAGATGTCAAACACGATCGGCTCCGTCAGGATATTGAAAGAACGGCTGGCGTTCCTTGTGTCTACAATCTCCCAGCTGACAAGGCCGCCGATGCGGAGGTCAAACTTCCACGCCACGCTGCTGCCTCCAGAGATTAGCAGCTGCGAGCTGTGCGGCATCTCAATCTTGACCGGCTTCGGAGCACTAAGGCTGTATGTGAGGCGCAGGCTGTTTGGTTTTGTTAGCTGCACCTGACCAGTGGCCACCACGTGCCCCTTTGGAGCCCACTTTGTCGCTTCGGCGAGAGAGAAGGTCAAGTTCAAGTGTGCGTCAGGGGGCAAGTGCTGCGCGAGTTTGGGTATCTCAATCAGCGCCTCGGTGTGGGGTTGGATACCTGTCTACCGTCAGCATCGGCGCTCCGACTCAAGTTTTGGGAGATTCCTACCCTTCGGAATCGGTAAATCGTCTTCCACAATCCCTGGTGTCCCATCCGAGATGATGGCCCAGCGGCACTCGAGGTGGTCAAGCGTGAGAAAGTCGTAGCGGTTGACGATACGCACCCGGGTCCCTTCTACCCCAAGCGTCTGCACTGGTTCGATCGCCTTCTTGTACTCGACCAGGCCACGGCCGGGACGATGGTCCGAGTAGCACAAACCGTCCATCACGAAGTTATAATCGTTGGGTTCGTCGCCAAAATCTCCGCCGTAAGCGTAGTATGGTATTCCATCTTTTGTTTTCGTAGCTAGGCCCTGGCTCCGAGTCAGTGACGACCGCGCAATGCAGGGCAAGCAGCCTTACATGATTTGCCCATTCCCACACAAAACCGCCCATGAGCCGCGGATACTGGTAGAAGAGATTGATGTACTCCTGAATATTGCCCGGGCCGTTCCCCATGGCATGCACGTACTCGCAGAGGACGACAGGCTTGGTCCACGATTGTTCCTTGCCAAATTTCTCCATGTCGTGCACCGAAAAGTACATCCTGCTGAGAATGTCGGCCGATTCGGCGTTCCAGTCGCCTTCATAGTGGACAAGGCGGCTCTTGTCGACACCCTTGATCCACTTGTACATGGCGGCATGGTTTCTACCGTAGCCGGCCTCGTTGCCGAGAGACCACAGAACAACGCAAGGTCGGTTGAAGTCGCGCATCACCATCTGGCGAGCGCGATCGACGTACGCTTCCTCCCAGTCCGGATTGTTGGAGGTGTACTGGGAACCGTCACCGCCAACAACGAACAGCCCGTGGCACTCGAGGTCACTGGGTCGTCAGCATGCTGGTCGTACCATCGACATGTTAGGTTCACATACCACTCGTCCAGGATCCACAAGCCCAGCTCGTCAGCGAGCTCATACAGCCTGTAGTCGTTAGGATAGTGAGACGTCCGGATGGCATTGACGTTGTACTGCTTCATCTGGATCAAATCGGCCTTGAGGAAGTCATAAGGGACCGTCCGGCCGTACTTGGGATGATGCTCGTGGCGATTCACGCCTCGCAGCTTGACCGGCTGGCCATTGACGCAAAAGACACCATCAAGCAGCTCGACCTTGCGAAAGCCCACACGTTCGGCCACGACACATCCTGGAACGTTCAATATCAGTCTATACAGGTACGGTGTTTCTGCAGTCCATTTGCGGGGATTTGCGACAGGTACTTGGAAGGTTATGGTTCCTGAGCCCTCCTTAGTCGCTTGTGCCACGATGATCACCTCCGGCTTCTTGTTCTCCTCCGTTACTTTGGTCTTATGAAGCTCCTCCAGACTCAACTCGACAGTGGCATGTCCATTGAGCTGGACCTCCACGAGTAGGGTGGCATCCTGGTACTTGTCATCAAGCAAGGTCTGCACGTGGAAGTCCTCGATATGGATCTTGGGGAACTTGTGCAACCAGACATCACGAAAGATGCCGCTGAAGCGCCATTGGTCTTGGTCCTCGAGGTAGCTGCCGTCGCAGCGCTGGTAGACCTCTACATGGAGAAGGTTGACACCGTCAAAGCGGACAAAGGACGTGATGTCGAACTCGCTGGGATTGCGGGCACCCTGCGAGTAGCCGACATCACGATGGTTCACCCAGACCGTAAAGGCCGAGTCGACGCCCTCAAAACGCAGTCGGATCTGATGGTCCTTATCTTCCACGGGGTCCAGCTTGAAGCACGTCACGTAGCGGCCGCATTCGTTGTCATCGATGGGCACACGAGGCGGATCCACGGGAAAGGGGTAGTTATAGTTGACATACTGAGGGCCTCGTCCGTACCCCTGGAGCTGCCAAAACCCCGGCACCATGATCCTGTTGTGCTGCGTCCCCCATCCCGGCATGTCAGCCAGCTCCTGGGGCGTGTATTTGTAGAAGTCGACGGTGCCGTCATAGGGGCTCTTTGAGAGGCTGAATAGCCACTGGCCTGACAGCAGCTGGCTCTTGGCGAGAGCGAGTTCGCCTTTGCGCGCATCCTCAATGTCCTTGTACACAAAGAAGTGGGAGCGAGGCGGCAACGTGTTCCGATGGAGGACCTTGAGATTGTTCCAATCTGGCACGCTCGGGGGAAACACGTGGGCCTGGGGCTCGGAGCTGCGAACCCAACCCGGGAGGTCGGAGGGGAGCGTTCCTTGCGACATGTTGGCCACGGAACAATTTGCCGCGTGTAGCGAATGCAGGATGCTAAGCTCTGGGGCGAGATGGCGTCAAGGCCGACGACATGAGAGGAACGGACGGGGATGATGGAAGCAGATCGAAGTACGCAATTGTGTTCTACGCTGCTTCTTTTATTATTATTATTATTATTTATTTATTTATTACCAAGTGTCACACATATCAGCAGTCAACCTGGCGAGAGAGCACAACTTGTACAACAGCGATCGATGGAGGTTGATAAAGCTCAAGGGCAAGAGCACTAGCAATCAGCAGCTTGATGTTGATGTTGTGCCCCGCATCTTCGCTGCGTTAGTAAGGTGCAGGTGGCACAGCAGAAACCCCGGGGAAACTGGGGACCATGAATGGCACCGGGGAAGGATAGGGAAGCCGGTTGTTGGCATTGAGCATCAAGGGTTAGGGTTATTTGCTTGGCCGGAGAGGTAATCTGCCGAGCGGACCATCGCACGCCTGCTCGTCTCGTTTCTCCGCTCCTGTCGGAAACAAAAACATCTACCAACCCCTGACGCGCTCACCTCACAGCGTGAGCAATCCGCTCTTGCTCGTCTAAAATAGCCTCTGGCAGAGCCGCACTGCACTGCTAGTGTCCTGCCAGTTGCAGCTTGTTTGCAAGCTATCGCGACCCGTACCCGGTCGGCTCACATGCGTTGATACCAAGACGGCAACGAAGCAACCAGAAAGCGTGAGAGCCGCCATCTGCGGACTACGGAAGCATATCCCCCATCGAGATCTTGGGGCGCTTGCCTGCGTCGCATTCACGGAAATGCGGGATTGACAACGCTGGTCTGGCCCCGCAACCAACGACCGGAGCCGCAACGACGCTCGCCAGCCTGACTCTGGGCCCTGAGTGATTCGCGGACTTTTCCTCTCGGCAAAAAGCCTCACTGTGTTTACCGTTCCGCAACAGCACCAGCTGGGTACGTATCCAGTTCGAAGTTCGAACCATGGTACCGGGATAGGGGCCGACGCGCATGCCACCCTGCGCTGGACGCTTGCGTCACGGCATGCTCGGCTAAGAGAGACGGCGAGATGAGAAAGGGCACGTCTTGGCTTCACGGGGAGCCATTCCGAGGGCTCTGGGCCGTCGCCGTTAATCTGGTGTATATTAACGGCAGATGTGTCTCGCTGTGACGGATCGACGTCTGTTCTCCAGCGCCCTGGCACCTCAACAACGCCGTGCGACACGTGCTGTTTTCGCCATGAAGCGGCCAACGGCGACTGGGCTCTTGCTTGCGGCCGTGGCGGCTCCCGCTGCGGCTGCCACGACGTGGAAGAACGTCAATATTGGCGGCGGCGGCGGCTTCGTCCCTGGCATCATCTTCCATCCCACGGCCAAGGGCGTCGCCTATGCCCGTACTGATATTGGCGGCCTGTACCGCCTGAACGCTGACGACTCGTGGACTGCTGTGACGGACGACCTCGGCACTCATGAGAGATGGTGAGCATCTACTTTGTACTTCATCGTAAGGTAGGAAAGCGGAATCTGACTTGACCGGCAATCAAGGGGCCACTGGGGTATCGACGCCGTCGCGCTGGATCCCCAGGATCCTGACAAGGTCTACGCCGCCGTCGGCATGTACACCAACAGTTGGGACCCCAACCCAGGTGCCATTATCCGCAGCTCGGACCGGGGCAACACCTGGCAGTCGGTCGACCTGCCCTTCAAGGTCGGCGGCAACATGCCCGGCCGCGGCATGGGTGAGAGGCTGGCTGTCGACCCCAACAACGGCAATATCATCTACTTCGGTGCCCGCAGCGGCAACGGCCTGTGGAAGAGTACCGACGGCGGAGTCACCTGGTCCAAGGTGACCTCCTTCACCAACGTCGGCACATATATCCCGGACCCCAGCGATGCCAACGGCTACAACAACGACATCATCGGCCTGACCTTTGTCACCTTTGACTCGACCTCGCCCATCATCAACGGCGCGACCTCACGCATTTTTGTTGGCACGGCCGACAACATCACTGCCTCCGTCTATGTGTCCAACGATGCCGGCGCTACCTGGAGCCCCGTCTCCGGCCAGCCCGGCAAGTACTTCCCGCACAAGTGCAAGCTCCAGCCGGCCGAAAAGGCCCTCTACCTGACCTACAGCGACGGCGCTGGCCCGTACGATGGCAGTGCCGGCGCCGTCTATCGCTACGACATCACCAACGGCACCTGGAAGGACATCACCCCAGTCTCGGGCGGCGACCTGTATTTTGGCTTTGGCGGTCTGGGTGTTGACATGCAGAAGCCGGGCACTCTTGTTGTGGCCAGCCTGAACTCGTGGTGGCCCGATGCCCAGCTGTTTAGGTCGACCGACTCGGGCAACACCTGGTCTCGCATTTGGGAGTGGGCGGGCTACCCGAACCAGAACTGGTACTATAGCATGCATGTGAGTCTTTCCCTGTCGTGCTGAATCTCGATGTCGCTGCTGACATCGGCAGACCGGCAACGCGCCCTGGATCGACACTGGCTTCCTCTCCACGGACAGCAAGCGTCTGGGCTGGATGATTGAGGCGCTCGAAATCGACCCTCACGACAGCGACCACTGGCTCTACGGCACCGGCCTGACCCTCTTTGGTGGTCATGATCTGACCAAGTGGGACACCGTCCACAACGTCAGCATCCACTCTCTCGCTGTCGGCATCGAGGAGATGGCCGTGCTCGGTCTCGCCTCTCCCCCGGGTGGTCCAGAGCTCCTGGCCGCCGTCGGCGACGACTGCGGCTTCACCTTCCGCACCAGCAACGACTTGGGCACTTCCCCGAGCACTCCCTGGATGACGCCTATCTGGGCCAGCTCCAGCGATGTTGGTAAGTATTGAAAGAGCAAATCTTATCCAGAGCTATGATTGACACCCCCCAGACTATGCCGGTAACAAACCCGAGAACATTGTCCGCGTGGGCACCGGGTCCGGCAGCCCGCAGGTCGCGCTCTCCAGCAACGGCGGCCAGAGCTGGAACACCCACTACGGCGCCAGCGACAACCAGAGCGGCGGCTCCGTTGCCTACTCAGCCGACGCCGACACCATCCTCTGGTCGACAAGCAACTCGGGGGTCCTGCGCTCCCAGCATCAGAGCAGCTTCGCCGCCGTGGCTTCTCTGCCCTCGGGCGCAGCCGTCGCCGCCGACCGCCGCAACAACAGCGTCTTCTACGCCGGCTCGGGCTCCAAGTTCTACCGCAGCACCGACACTGGTGTCACCTTCACTTCCGTCTCCCTGCCTAGCGGCGTACAGTCCGTCAAGGATGTTGTCGCTCACCCGGTCGTCTCCGGCGAGGTCTGGGTCAGCACTAATGCCGGCTTGTTCCGCAGCACCGACTTTGGCGCCACGTTCTCGGCCGTCAGCACCCTAACCGACACCGAGCAGATCGCCTTTGGCAAGGGCGACGGTTCCACGTGGAATGTGTACGCCTTTGGCCAGGGCCCGTCGGGGGCGAAGCTCTACGCCAGCTCCGACTCTGGCGCCTCGTGGGTCGATATCCAGGGTACCAAGGGTTTCGGTGCTATGGGCGCCAACAGGGTTGTCGGCAGTGGCAACGTCGCTAACCAGGTGTATGTCGGCACCAACGGCCGCGGCGTGTTTTATGCCAAGGTCTCCGTCCCAAGCAGCGGCGGCAGCCCTAGCACTACCTCGTCTGCGGTCTCCAGCACCAAGACCACCAGCAGCGTCCCGACTACGCTAGCAACGTCGACCGTCCGCACTACCACGACCTCCACGTCGACTGTTCGCACGAGCAGCACGACTACCACTAGCTCGGCGCCGACTACCACCACGCCGACCCAGAAGTCAAAGCACTGGGAGCAGTGCGGTGGTTTGATGTGGACTGGCCCGACGGTCTGCGAGGAGCCATGGACTTGTGTCAAGTATAACGACTGGTACTCGCAGTGTGTCTAAGCGGTGAGGAGTAGCTGGTTTAGGGTAGTTGTTGTATATATATATATATATATATATATATATATATTTTTGAAAAGAGAATTTGTATATATATTGAGTTTTGTTTAACTGCTACGGCAGTGTTGAATGGTATCTGGTCGCCCGGTTCCGGACCGCATGTGTGATAGGCCTTGGAAAATCGGTGATGTAGTTGCCAGTATCAAGGCAGTCCTCGGCGTTTGCCTGGCCAGCAATTTGATCCGACCTCACAGCCAGAGCAGTTTGGCATATGAACAGATATTGCATAACAATGAAAAAAAACCTTAGTCGAGGCCAGGACACGCCGAAGTTGTCAGCTCAGTTCTTACCTGCACAGACTTTGCGACATGTTGAGGCACATTCCGCATCACTGTCTGCACCAGGCCTCGGCATGTGATGTTAATTACTTCATCGTGGGTCAACTTGATTTATGTCGCTTTTTCTCATTGCGATTTGTCTTTTCTTCTTCTCCCGTTTCCTTTGTGACCATCTCTCTTTCTCTCCTCACCATCTCCCCACAAGTCTTATAAACCACATTCCCCCGTCATCGCCGTACCGAGAAACCACACAGCCATGCCCATCATCGTCCGCATCTTGCGTCATCCACCGGAGTTGCTTGATCGGCACACGACCGCTGCTTACGACACAGTTCACCTTGCCGCCAGGGTGGGCATCAAGCGCGCCATCTTGGATCGTGTCATTCGCGCTGGTAGGTCTCTTTTCCCATCCTGTTCCAGCAAGCCGTCTTTTGCCTGAAACACTATTCCTGACCGACTCCCCAGCTCTCCAAGGAGACGAACTCCCCATGCGTGCCGCCGCCGCGGCGCAGCAGGAGCACGAGGCCTGTGGCTGCCATCTTGTCAAGAACCTGAAAGAATGGTTGACGATTGTTTATGATCTTGTTGCCGACGGCATCAATATGGGACTTAACCGTGGGGTTTTCGGAAACTCCCTCAGACTTGGAAAGCACTAAAGCGTGCAATTTACCCGCTTCAGAAACATCGACTGACCCCTTTTGCAGCCCTCGACGATCCCTCCCACCCCCGCGAAGAGAGTCCAGCAGAATCTGGCAATGTGCTACGTCCATTAGACCGGAATACGGTCTCTCAGGGTCGAGCTTGGCGTGCTCCTGCTGCAGGAAATATCGATGCCAGGGTCATCAGGAAAGAGGAGGAAGAACAGGAGGAAAGCCGGTCTCTACCGTCGACGTGCGCATTAAGCGGGAGAATCCCGCTTCGAGCAACGACCCAGTGGTCCTCACGACTCCTACTCCATATGACAGCCAACTGAGTTATTAAGCGAGAGATTCCTGCTTCGAATGACGGCCGAGTGGCTGTCGAGGACGAGTCTGAAACTGTTGATCAAGTACCAGCATTAGACGTGAGATGGTCAAGAACGAAGATGGTGACCGCAGCGGACTGGGACTGGGTAAGCGGTCATGATAGTCCCTTCTGTCAAGCTCCGGTCAAGCTCACACTCGCTGGCATAGACTCCATCCTAGCTCAACCGAGTGCCCCATCTTCGACTTCTATGCCCGTTACTCGCGGTATGAAGCGCAAAGCTGTTCAAACTCAGCAGCCAGCTCCGAAGAGGACAGTGCCGCAGCGCAGGGCGGCTGCTGAGGCGCTGGTAATCTCTTATTGGCATAATGCGGTCACATGTAACAGTTATTGGTGGAGAGAAGATGAAGCTTGAGGTTAGATCGGTCTAGGTCAAGATACTTGACCTAATGGTAGAGGGGAAAGCCCAGACGTCTAAATGGTTGTAGATCTCGCGATGTCAAAGGCTGAATGCTGCTATGCTCTGCCATTGAGTTGCTATCACTGTTTGACTCAATTGGAAAATGTGAACCCATTTTTTGGAACGAGGAACGTGTATGATAAGGAACGTAGAACGAACGAAGGAAAATTGTAAAAAGTGTAAAAGGAAAGCTTCCCGGCCGGGAATTGAACCCGGGTCTCAGGCGAATCTTGTCCGAAGACTTGACAAGCCTGCATACTAACCACTATACTACCGAGAACTCCTTTCTGGCTGCTGGATGTTGAAATAACCTATATGTACTTGCAAAACTGTCGCACGAAGACTTCCCAATCTTTGTTCCGCTTGGACATTTGCTTCCAGTCGCGAAGGTTTGCCAAGAACAACCTTGGGCAAAAATATCAGGAGATCACTATCGAATAAGGTTTGCATTTCACGGACTGAAACCAAACCCCGCTTGGTGATTACATAAAAAAGATTAAGAAACAGCTTGTGTGTTTCTAGGAATGCATTTGTAAAGGGAGTTTGCTGCCGCTGAGCTTGTCGTATTGCCAAGCTCGGCCATGTTTGGATCGAATAGTTTGAACAGCTGAGGTCTGAGGTTCTTCAGCCGCATGCTGGACAAAGTATTCAGCGCGCATGACTTCTGCAAGAGGCATTCGATACTGCACCAAATGCCGACCCGAACACTAGCATGATCTCATCGATGCCTACAACCGGAAACAGTGCATCGACAATGGCGGTGACGTTGCTTACCCTACACGTGCAGTGTCGCTGAGGTCGGCAACAGGACCTGTGGTCTTCCAGATGACTGTGTTTCTATCCCGGGAGAGGACACGGGACAATGCGCAGAGCTCGGGACTTTGTGTTTTCCTTTCTGATTTTTATCCTCTCGTTGTTCGCATTACAAATGCGTCTTTTATCGAGCCATATATATTTTTGCGTAGCATTGCCACGAGCACTCGTGGTGGCTGCTGACGTTGGCAACCGTTAAATCTTTCCGAATCTGTAGAATTTAGACCGAGAACGGTTCACGCGCTGGATTCGGGAGAGCCATACGGCGTTGCGGTTGGCCGGCGGTTCGAATGCGAAAAGCCGCTTTGAAACACTGCTGTTTAGACTCGCCCGGAACCTGCTGTGATGACCTGCTGTAATGATGTTCATGAAGGGAGGAGAACATCCCCCTCAAACTTTTGGATCGTGATCGCCGTCGCTGCGGCTCTGTCCTGTTTCAGAGAGGACGGGAACACCCGGTTCTCGAAAAGGGGATTTGTTCGCAGGTTGGTGGGTGAGGGGCTGACAGTTGGCAGCGGTTGCCACTACCGCGGGGTACTAGTCACCACAGCTGGCAGGCGGTCGCGCTGCTTAGTCGTCACCTATACACCAGTGTCGATCAAAAACGGTCACCAGGCCCGCCAGCCAGGTCGTGGCGCCGAGCAATCCGGGCGTCAGATCACAGACCAGGGTCAGGGGCTGCGTGTGAGATGACTCTGAGATTGGCCAAGACTTGGCGGCCCCTGAAGGCGCATGGACCGCGGCATGTTGTCGAGTGTGTGTGTGCCTGCAACAAAAAGACTGTTGCTGCTGTTGCTGAAAAACATAGTCCTTGTCCCTATTGCAACAATAGCGCGCCATTAGTACAGCCAACACGGCAAACATGAAACCTCATCTCATGGCAACGGTAATCGTGCTCATTTCGGAAAAATCCTACCAAATGCGGACTTTTACTGAGGTGATGACTGTGAGGTGTTGGAACCACTAAGGATCTTAATTTCCCAGCTGCATCAAGCACCCCTGCTCAGCATGGTCAGATATGTTGATAAAGGAAGTGGAGTCAAGAAGTGGTAATGCGTTACACCTACACAAAGCGCACACACACAGCAGCCATGACTGCGTAACCGGGAGGTCGACTATCGCCATGTGCCGGTGGTAATGTGGCGCAAAAATAGCCCGTCCTCGCGGCTATGTTCAATACAATTGTTGAGGACGAACATGCTGCAACATCAAGTGGCAACAAGCCGGGGCAGCGCTCCTTCTTCTCCTCAGAGCAGGGTTCAACAGCTATCACCAACAACCCGGTGAAACTCCATCCCGCAAGTCACTGTCGCGCTCCACCCGCTAAGCCTTACGGAGACTGGGGTGAGGTTAGCGCTTCCTCTTTTCGTTAGCTGATACGTGATAACACGGTAACTTATGTAGATTACATATAGAATCCAGTGTGCAGTTTCCGTGGACGACCAGGCACCGATCGGCCATCCCTGCGCACGTCCGGTGGCAGCCTAGCCCAGACGATATGATTGGCTGCCGAGACGGAGGGACCAGGCCCTTGGGCGGATTGCAGGGTCCGATTGGGCAGGTCCCGGGGGTGCGAGGGCGCCCTGACCCTGTCAGCCACGCCGCAAGCCCGGTGCTTCTACCCACTCACGCAACACCCAGACCTACACGGCGCCCACAGAGCATACACAGATCCACAGAGCACCCACAACCCGCATGCTTACGATCCAGGACAGTAGGGCTGTCCTCCCCAGATGGCCTCTTAGGATCGCCAGCATAGGCCCCGAAAGATGGGGAGGCTGGGCGGCCTGCCCCTGGCCCTGGTGCAGAAGGGGCAAAGAGCGCAACGCGGAATGCGCCAACGAGGGGCCGGACATGAGACATAGGGACAAAGGGCAGCATAGCCTGGGCCTCGGGGAAAGGACCTGGCTGGATGGATCATGGGTGGCCGTTCTCTGCCGGGCTCGCTCGCTGCTTGATAATAGTCGCGGTCCCTTTCTCACCACCTCCCTTTCTCCTTCTTCGTTTGATCCTCCTTTTCCCCAAAGCACTGCCATCTGTTTCCATCGCTGCAGGCTCCTTTGTGCCCTGCTAGCTGTACTGTTATCGAGGCCCGGACTCGTGGCATTCACTCGCTCTGTCTCCCCTTCGCCTTCATCGCTCTCACTCGAGTCCTCTTTGACCTCCGGCTCATCGCCTCTTTTGTCATTCCCTTCATCCACTCGCTCAGCTTGCTGTTTATTGCCGTACTGCTGTCGCTGTTGTCCTCGGTCCTTCGTAGAATAGCACTAAGGTCGACAGTCGACTCGCAACATCCCAGCCGCTCCCTATAAACCTAGCCCACACGTACTTCTCATTCCTCGCTATCGTCAGTTGTACCTAGATAATTACCAACATGATCTCCAAGTTCCTACGTGCCGCCACCGCGACCCTTGCTGTCGCCTCTGTGGTGTCGGCTCAGACTTATACGGACTGCGATCCCACTAAGCGCGGTAGGTATCCTTATCCCTTCGTCATGTGTATAGTGTAGGACGTTATGCTGACTATCGCAGACGGCTGCCCCAACCCCAAGGCGGTGGGGTCCCAGGTTGTCGACATCGACTTCCGTAAGGGTGGCAATGCCTTCTTCAAGGAGCTGGAGGGCACCAAGATCACCTACGACCCTGAGCTGGGCGCTGTCTTCTCTATCAAGAAGGAGACTGACGCCCCGACCATCGCCAGCAACAAGTACATTTTCTTTGGCCAGGTTGACGTAACCGTCCGCGCTGCTCGCGGTACCGGCATCGTGACCAGCTTCGTGCTGCAGTCGGACGACCTGGACGAGATCGACTGGGAGTGGATCGGCAGCGACAACTACGAGGTGCAGACCAACTACTTCAGCAAGGGCTGCACCGAGACCTACGACCGCGGTGGCTTCTCGAACGTCCACGATCCCATCAACACCTTCCATACCTACACTATCCGCTGGACTCCTGAGCAGCTCGACTGGATCATCGACGGCAACGTCGTCCGTACCCTCAAGAACACGGGCGAGAAGGGCTGCTCCGGCTACCCCCAGAGCCCCATGCAGATCAAGCTCGGCACTTGGGTTGCTGGCCGAAAGGACGCTCCCGAGGGCACCATCCAGTGGGCTGGTGGCCTGGCTAACTGGAAGGAGGCTCCCTTCGACGGCTACTACCAGTCCATCCGCATCCAGGACTTTATGGGTGGCGCCAAGGAGGCCACCGAGTACCAGTACACCGACCGTAGCGGCACTTGGCAGAGCATCCGGGTCGTCAATGATGGCAAGCCCGCCGAGATCTCGTCCAAGCCCACTCTCCCAGCTACTACCAGCACCGCGAAGCCCTCGTCCACCTCGACCTCGTCCGTTTCGACGACTTCTGCTACCACTTTCGCTACCGTAACCTCGTCCACCTCGACTGTCGCCTCTTCGGCCACTGCTTCCCAGGTGTCCATCTCTCCGTCGCCCACCGTTAACACCCCTAACGCTGGTGTCTCCCCTGTGCCGAGCGACGACTCCACCGGCGCTGCCGGCAGGCTGGCCCTGAATGTGGGCAACGCCGTTGCCATGGGTGTCGCTGCCGTCTTTGGCTATCTTCTGCTCTAAGTGTTGGGGGGACACTGGTCGTTTTTGGTGTTTCTGCTTCGGCGGTTGGTTTTTTTTTCCTTTCTTCCCCTTGGGATAAAGGGACTGGTGTTTTTGTTCTACACTACTTGGGAACCTCTTAGATTAGCTTGAGACTTTGCTTTTATCGGAGGGCATTAGATTTTCTTGGGCCGTTGGGCGGGAAAAAAACGGTAGCAGTGCCGAACACAAGACTCCGTATTTTCTTGAATATACCCGCTATTCTTTTAGTTCCCCCCGTTCTGTTGCTCTGAGCCCAGCGTGGGAATAGGGGCATCCTAATGGGGCCAGGTTTTGGTGGCGGTATGTTAAGGGTACATCTCAGGACACCATGGTAATGAGGTAGCTGGTGAGGTCATGGACTTAATGGCTTGGTGTCATGGTGCTGATACCCATACTACATGTCTTAATGTATCATGATGGTCAGCTGTGTACTTATGTGTCTCATCTCCGGGAAGTGGAAAGGTATAAATATCCGAATATATTTAGGGTATAAACGTGTGGCCTTGGTAGAACTGAACGTGATTATCCTCGATACGGCATGCTGTGGGTAATGTGTGTCCTCCAGTCCTCCTGATGCGCCGCCCGATCATAAAAGTTTCATCATAATCAACACAAGTCGGTCACCTACCTTGTGAAAGACCATGCATATCCTTCAGGGTGTGCTAGATGAGGGTGAGGATGAGAAATAAGCTGTGTTGCAATGTCACTGCTGGAACAATGGGGTGCCTTAGCTGACGAGTTATCGTTTTTTATCCCAGTTTCTTCGTGCCTTCCTTTGCTGCTTACCTTCTTCTGCTCCTTTCCATACAAAAACTTCAATGTATCTGTGACTTTTCCACCCCATCACAAATTTCTCATCCCAACGCCATCTCCTGCTGCTCTTATCATAACCATGTCGATAACAGGATCGTTCAACCATCGCCATCACTTAAACCGTTAAAGGCTGTACGCTGATGAGCGCTCTAGACATGGCCGCCACCGCACACGCTCCAACTCCTGCTCCTACGATCCACGTCATCGCTACTTCCGCTCTCGTTCGCTTGACTCTCGTCGACGCAACCATCGTGATAACATTCGAGCTCGCGATGACCGTCGAGGACGCCGTCAGCACGGGAGATCGAAGCTCGAGTCCTGAGCGTCATCATCGCCATCGCCGCAAGAACAGCGCAGCTCAGGCCCCGACTGCTACCGTGGCCATCGCCGCCGCCGTTACCATTGCTGCATGGAGAGTCGTAGTTCGACTCTTGATGATCATTGCTCTTATTGCGGCCGCAGTTATAGCAAGTCGCCTTGGAGAGACACCAGTAGCAAAAGCCCTCGCCAGCATCTCCATAATTCCCCCAGCCGCTATCCTGAGCGTCGCCTTACCCAGGACGCCCTCCACCCTGCCAAACAGCAACCCAAAGTTGGAAGCCTACCGTTTAAACGCATCCAAATTAACAAGGCCGTCTCTCTCATGAATGTTGAAAGCAGCAACCCCACTAATAGCAAGCCATCTCTCTCATGGCAAGGCATGTCACAAGAAAAGCCTTCGGATTCCAGTCTGCCGGCAGGATCGACTGTGATGTCTATGACGTTCCTGAAGTATAAAGCTGATGGCAGTCCAAAATACCATCTTGTTCACTCCAATCTTGACGAGACGCCTCACCAAGAAGGTCATGGTTTACATGCAAACGTCACATTTAGAACTGTATCTGCTCCTCCAAGACACCCAGTGGGTCACGCAGGGCTTAGCATGAGCCGTCCACTTTATGAGGGGCTCGCCAGTCGCGCCAACCCGCCCGTGACTGACATCAAGATCCCCGCTGGTCCAGAGTCCCGTAAGGTTTGTGTTGCCTGCAAAGTTGAAGACCATACCGTTCGACGCTGCATCCGAACAGACATCAAGGGTGTTATCCCTGTTTGTCCAATCTGCGAGTCTTAACACGACCACCTACCCGAAAACTATCCCCGGTAAGACGACAGCATCTTAGAGGTGGAGATTTGGTAACTCTTGGTTATCAATCGTGGTGGTAAAAGCGCATTCCTTACCAAGGATACGTACCTCTGGTGGCCAAACATTGGCATTTGACGATGGGAAGCACTGCCTAACGAGAGGCCGCTTTCTCTCTATCCCCACTCCTTAACTTTGCCCAAGATACTGTCTGCCCCGGCTGAGCACTCGAGACACGATTATTAAATGAGCCAGTTAACCTTGTGTCTGACACACGGCGAAAGGATCGCGATAGCATCATTAGGGACATGGATCTTATAAAACGGTTCATCCGAGGAAGGAGAAAGGAGGGATATACAATAAAAATAAAGACACTACGATTAGATTCTATTGGTCTCATCGGGATGTTATGAGAACCGGACATCATGAGATATGATGTACTATAAAAATTTGCAATGAGTTGATTGAAAAGTCAAGGTACTCTCAAGTCAGCTGATGCGATCTTGTTCTCTCATTTGCTTTTTTTCCCTGGGGCTTTCTTTTCTCTCCCTGTTTTTCTATACTTGTGACTGGCATTCTTGGTTAGTCCGTATGGATCAAGTTTACGAACAGTAGCAAAAGAGGGTCTTCTCTCCTTACTCCTACCAGATTGTTCAGCTGATCGCATGATCCGCAACACTTGGTAGCGCAAGTCACCAAGCCAGTAAGCCTGCCATCTCTGAAGAAGAGGATTATACACATCGACAGCATTGTACTGACAGAAAAGAAATCTGCCAAGATGTCACACAACAGCTAACTGTCGACACCCTATACGAGCGGAGTCTGTAGGTTGACAAAAGGTTCCTTCGAGGCCTAATCGGCCCATCTTGTGCCCAAGGAAACGAAAAGCTAGGAATGCAGAGAGTTCCTTTTCTCCGATAGACCGATAGGCTAGCAATTTCAAGATGATAACAGATTAGGAGGTGAAAGAGAGCTTGCCTTTGGGGTTCTGGTGCCAAAAGATGCTCCCATTTGCTCCCCGCAATTGCCTCGGCTATGGTGTGGTAGGACAAAAGATCAACCCCATTTCTGAGAGAATAGATCTTGCTTCGTGGATATGTCCTTACACCATAACTCGATGTTGATCTCTTAAAGACGAAGGGTGAAACACTCACATTTCATCCTTGATAGGTTGAACAAAGCGGCCCATGCCTAGGCAACTCCGGTTTCTGGCAAGACCAGAGTACAGCCAGTTAAGGCTGGACAACAAACTTGTCATTCCAAGAAAGACTTCTTTGGGCTCCTGCGGCAGCTACCACTGTCGCCGAAAATCAGCAGCAGTCAGCCGCTTGATTCCCGAACCGGAAAACCGGAATGTAGCACAAGATGTTGAGTATATGCTCCCCATTGATACCTGAGCTCACTTTCTGACAATGCAAGTACGTAAGGCCAATTCTCTAGGAGGGGAGAGGAAGGAATCTTAGAGGTCAACGCTTCCGTTCATTGCTCCCAGCAGTTAGGCTTCCTGGAAAAAAAGGACATCATTGCCATTAACCGCGCAAAAAATAGGGGAAAAGATACTCATCACTAACCTTTGCTCAGGAGCTGCCTAGCACCGGTGAACTCCTGTGAAACAAAAGCCTTAATATTGCCTTCAGGCAAGAGCCCCCGCAAAGCGCTCTCCAGTAGTTGGGTTCTAGAGAAACTCATCCACCCTTGCCGAAAGCCGAAGATTTCCAAAAAAAAAAATCTCACTAGATGCTGCAAAGTATGGTGTTTTGTCGCATCCTATCATTCATTGGGTTCCATGAGCGCTTTCCCGCACTTCAGGCAGAAATGGAAACAGCCTGAGGCAAGGAAAGCATAATACTTGTTCCCAATCTTCAATCCTTACAACCTGACACGTCAGTTCCAGCCATGGAGTTGAGCACATTCTCCTCGACTATCAGCTGATCGGCATTCAGAAGTTGGGTTGGCCAGCAAAACATCATCGGGTATGTGGGCTGCAACGTAGACAGTACCATATCCTCTTCCACGGTACGCCATCCAGACCGTGTTCCACACTGTAAGTAAGTCCCTTGATAGACATGGTACTTGTCAAACATCGTCAGCTGCGGGTCCTTTGTGTTCACAGGTTCTTAATCCTCCCCCGGGCCTTTTTCAAGTGCCGAAGTTGGCGCGGTGACTGGAAGAGGACAAACAAAAGCCGTAGGTAGGGGTTGAGCGAGCCTCGGCAGTGGGGGTCACATCAAGTTGATAATCGCCTTCACTCCTGCTCCTAATCTCAGCGATCCAACCGGTGGCAGTGTATGCCAACGAAGGGCATGCTTAGCAAAAAGTATGATATTATGATAAATCAGGATCGATGCTTATGCATGACTGAGTTATCATGTCTGGACTATTGTGCAACAGTCCGGTATAGGATACCAGTTAGGACAAGACTGAGCTAGCATTGACATGTTGGTTCACTCTGGACATGCTCAATCACTTGTGACAGTTGTGGGAAAAATTGACGAATATTTAGAAATTATTGGAACAAAGAATGAAAAAGAAGGAATGGAAGAAAGAAATGGAAGAAGAAACAGAAAAAGAAAGTACAATGAGCAAACGAGATATCAAATTCCACAGAAAAGGACATGACAAGAAGACACAAATAAGACAGCCAGGACAATACTAACCAATTGGTAGGGCTTCTCTCGCCAAGGGCATCGAACTTGATGCTATAAATTTCGGTACTTGGGCAAGCGTTGGGTGGTTGGTATCTGAGTCCATAACCCTCAGCAACATGCATCTAAGTTCCTATCATCAGCGTGAAGGAGTCTGGATGAAGGCATCGAAAGTAAAGTAGACACATACACAATTCTCTCCCTTGCAGAACCGTCGCATGCATACAATATTGTGTACATGATATTGCCACCTCCTAGCACGAACTGGCCAGGATCTAATGCTGTTGACGATTGAGTTCACCAGGGGGTGGGGAATCGTCACAGAGCACTCTCATACGCCGCAGAACCCCTTAGCGTCTGCAAGTCTTCGTTGTCATGACTGCCATTGAGTACAGGTTGTGAGTAAGGCACTGGTCATCTCCTACATTTCCGTGATGGCGGTCTCCGCATCGAGGTCGTTCTCGGGGTCTCTGTCAGCCATTGAGCAACCTGGTAAGCCAAACTTGGGGCTTGATCAGTTGATGAAAACTACTCATGCCTTCCCTTGGACTGGCATACTGCAGCTTTAAGGTGCACATGTGATAAAATGGAGAAATCCCAATGTTGAGTCTAAAACTTACTCTTTTGTAACGCGAGCCCGACAGCATGATGTCAGTCCCGAAGTTCAGGCATGATTACTGTGAATGCTTTGCACTCCCCACCCCCAACTTGTTGCAGCCGCATGCCTTGGCGTTCCATCTGCTCGACTTTCCCCGTGCTTGTACCGAAGTGAAGATGGGGCAAGATCTTGATTGATCCGCGCAGATAGTGAGAAAAGTACCTACAAAATGAGTTGCCTCATGATCCAGCCCTTGAGTCGTGGCACATGCTGAGGTGGGAAAGAGGAACCTAAGTAAAGATTTTTTACAACCTCGCAGCAAAACTACCATGGGTCCTTCCGTTCTGAACCCTGAGCGCCTTCCCTCTTCTTCTTCTTGCCTTGTTACCCCCACGTTCATGATCCGTCATCGGCATCCAACTTGAGGGCTCGGGGACAGGCATGTTGAGTGGGAGACCTCACCGCCCCCTTCACCTGGAAACGTACAATAGCCCACAGCCTTGAGTTGGAAGGTATTCTCATCTAGCCGCCGTAGCCAAGCAAAAAATCCCAAAACGGCAAAGAGGTACGGGATGGTGTGAGAGTCCCAGACTTTCGGGACTGTCCGTGCTGCCTTGGCAACGCCAGGGCTTGTTCCCTCTTCCAATGGGATGGCGTGGAGAAGGTTCCCAACAAACTGTTTCGATGCGGCATGCGGCCTTGCAGGTGTCATCATTCGAGCCTCTGTTTCCTGTCTTGGGGTACCTGGCTAACGTAGGTACAGGACAAGTCTGTGGATATGAGAACTGCTAGCCATGAACATCCTACGTGGACATCGAATAGGGAAGGAGAACCTGGAGAACAAAGAGCACAGAAGCAGAGATCTTTTTGGTGCAATGGCGCCGCCCACCCTGAGTAGGTTTCATGAGGGTGGCTATCAGCCACAGACAGGATAGCCCGAAGTACTTTTCTGCAGGATGCAACCTCTTACTTGTTTACAGTATAGTACCTTCTGCTACCTTTGAAGCACCCCCACGTCGCTTGGACTAGCAAATTCACCACGAGAAAATAAACAACATGAAAGAAACGACGAATGGAAGGATGGAGGGGGGAAAAAGCAAGGAAATCGGAAAGCTTTCGGTGACAGATTTTGAAGGCTCGGCGAGGACACGCCACTCGAGCATGATGGTGCATCCCCGTGCAGACTAACAACCCATGGCAAAGTGTACATCCATGGAAACATTTCAAGGCTTACCTGCCCCCAAGAAGATGAGTGACCAGGGCTGGGTTGCGATCCAACCTGCAAGTCCTCACCGCTGTGGCGCCAGCTCCTGAATGTAAGCCATTGAAAAGGAAGTGGCTGCAGGGCGAGATGCAGCAAGCTGTTACAGACAACATCATCTCGCGATGTTTTCCTGGATCAATCGAAGATCTAGTCCTGGGACAGTTGACTATGTGACAACAGATGGTACACTCCCTGGACATCACACTGAGAAAAGCTGGCAAAGCGTAAAATCATGTCAACATTGGCTGAGCCGCTCAGCGGCAGCCCAGATCCGGAAAACTATTCAAGAGCTAATTCTGAAAGGAGATTAAAACGTGATAAGCAAAAGACCCTTTTTTAATCCACCCAAACGCCGAGACAGGAGATTTTTGACTCATTTGGATTTTTTTTTCGAGCCCAATTCTTCCCGTATCTGTCATGATCCGTCATCAAAATAGAGGCGCCATAATGTATCCAGACCCATAAACCCTTTCCCAATTGAGGAATATTTTCATCCTCTATCCACTCCCAAATGCCACAGCGGAAAACCCAAAAGTCCCAAACGACAAAAGCAGAAAAAAAGTACAAGTCACAAATTGATCAGCTCAGAGGCTCTTCTCGAGCAGAACCAGCTCCCTGAAGCCCTCCTTCCATGCCCGCGCCTGCTCAGGGGTGGGCTTAGGCAGCGGGCTGCGTGCATAGCCGCCATAGCCCATCCATCCTTGCATGCCACTCTTGCAGCCGACGACGCCGCCCTGTATGGCGGTCCAGTCGCCACGCGCCACGACTTCCTGGAGCGCCTGGGCCTCGGCAATGCGGCCCTGGTGATAGAGTTCGATGATCCGTACGCAGGCACGCGGGGCAATGTTGGCCAGACCGGCCAGGATGCCGTGGCCACCCGCGATGAGAGCTTGCATAGTGAAGTCGGCAGAGCCGGCGAGCACGAGGAAGTCGGGCTTTTCTGGGTTGTAAGACTTGCCAGCAGCGGCTCGGGTAGCGGCAGCCACGCGGTTGAGTTTGCCGGTGTTGCCGCAGGTCAGCTTAACGCCGACAATGTTGGGATGCTCAGAAAGCTTGATGATGACGTCCGAGGACAGATCGAGGCCACCGGCACCGCCGGGGTAGTTGTAGATGATGATGGGGATCGGAGAGGCGTCAGCGACCGCGGTGAAGAAGTCGAAAACAGTGCCAGAGGCAGGGGCGAAGAGAGAAGCGTAGTAGGAAGGAGGAAGAACAAGCGCATAGTCACCGCCGGCCTCCCAGGCCTCGCGGCAGTGCTGGATGGTCTCGCGGGTGCTCTGGGCGCCGCAGCCGACAATCAGTGGCATGTGAGCGAAGCCGGCGTCATTGAGCGCCTTGCGGGTGGTTGCCGTAACCAGGCGGCGCTCGGCGTGCGTGAGATGCACGGCTTCACCGTTGGAGCCCTGGGTGCACAGGCCAGTGACACCAGCGCGGGCCAGCCGCACGGCGTGCCGGGCGATGGTATCGAGATCGAGATCCTCGGTCCCCTCCTCAAAGAAGCACAGAGTGGGCACATACACGCCCGGCACCAGCGGCCGGGTAATATGGAAGCCAGAAGGCTCGGAGGTGCTACTGCTGTAAGAGCTGCTCAGCGGCGAGTGAGGCTCCAGGGTGCTGATGTGCAGGGCAGGTGTGGCGACGTCCTGGAAGGGAGGGATCCTGTTGAAGCCAGCAGTGAAGCTGCCGGTGGGTGAGGGTGCATCACTGTGAGGAGCCATTGTGGGTGTGAATAGATGTCAAGGGAGGTCCGGATAGGTTTAGGAACGAGGTAATTGAGAGGGGGTGGGGGGGAGGCCCTCGATATGTGGTTGTCAGTAGTGATCCAGTGATGATGCTCCGGACAAGAGAATTCCTGTATGTGAGTAGATTGAGAGATTGGCGATGTAGACGAGCGAAGGGTGAGGGGGAAATGCAACCATCAAGCTGGGGGAAGCAGAGGATATTTGTATACATGGCGGACGCTGAGAAAAGCGGAGTGGCTGCTCATGAGGTCAAGAGAGCGCTCCTCTTGGAGGAACAGGGAACCAGGGCCAAGACAAGGATGCTCGATGACAGCCCGCTGGTGTGGTCCTGGGAACTGGACTGGACTAGGATGGTTCGATGCCCGGTACGGAGTAAAGTGTACATGAGGCACAGTGCAGTGTACGCTTGGCGCCAAGGTACATGTGGGCTCCTCTCTTCCTTGGGCGTTGCTGACGACACACATAAGCCAACTGGGGAAGCGTTCCACAAGACGGCCGCAGTTGCTTCGCTCCCGCTCAAGGAGAGAGCGCCACAGCATTATTTTCTCATTTCGTTGTCCAATGCCCAGAGGTACCTTTGTATACACGTGTACCAAAGGTACCAACTTCGTGTCAAAAACGAGGTTCAGCGCCGCAGCATGAGCGGCAGCCCAAAACACAGGAACCTCTGCGCGCTTTGCTTTAGGGCTTTAGTGTCGCACTTGTATGGCTTAGCGCCGAACGCCCCTGTCCTCTTGGCACGCCCCAGCGACCAGGGGCGGTACCTGTTGCACAGTGTCTCGACCGAGTCCTCCGCAAATCCGGGGTGTCCCACAATGTTGTGCCCTGGGCTGGTGGATGCCATGTGTGGGGGTTCGCTCGCGGGGGAACTCCGCCAGGGCGCGCGCTGTGTTCAGGAGAGCGAAAACATTGCTGTGGTGCTGCTTGACGCCAAAACCGCGCTTCGGCGGAGACATACACGGTTGTAACTTGGATGTCGTTTTCGTGAAGGAGAATACATAACAAGCCGGAGATGCCAGCATCAGCCTTTTCACAAAATGCACGCTGGATGATTTGCTTCGGTGATGCTGCCGGACTAGCAGCCCATTGGACAGTTGCGAGACAATAGTCGGACCTCTTCCCTCGCTGATGCTGTTTACCGGTGTTCCTGGTGGTGCTTGGCATGGTCAGGTGCCCTCATGCGCCAGTGAGCGTCGTTCAAACACGATGTGGCAGGCCGCTTTCAAGTCCACGTACACGTCTTGCAAAGGGAGACCTTTTCAACAGTTACATCGGGCTCTCGATCTGGTGGACATAGGTCAGGTAGACAATATAGATAGGCAGGTTCACTTGTCTACCACCCAGCAGTGTTTCACGAGAACGGCCAAGAGTCTTGGTGGCTTGGGCGCATGGGAGGGACGTAGACGGAGGGCTGAGCAGAAAAAGATTGTAGTTGATGTCATCTGCCGATTAGGTGGTTGCGGCGGCTCAAGTACTGCCTCACACATGCTTTCCTTGCTTTTCAGGTGCCAAATTTGTCCAAGTTGCTGTCGATCATCAGGGGTAGCTGTCAAAACTGTCCGCTTCTGGCATGCAGTTCACTGTCCACACGCGAGCCACTGTTCGGCTACTGGCAACCGAACACCTGAGACGCAGCATACGCAGGCATGTATCTACATGTATTGACAGCGATGTGGACAACAAGGTGACAATACTATCCCAATGGCTCTCCAGACAGCATCCCGTCCCCAGGAATGTTGCTGCTGGACAAGTGGCATCGTTGGGCTCGTCAGACCGCGGTTGCTCACTGCAGGCCTTCTGTAGCACACGCAAGTATTTCCTCATCCCGGGACCGGTCAGCAATTGTTGCTTCTGACGGGCACAATCCTCGCCGTCGCTGTGGTACTCGTGGATTCGAGGGATCACTCTTCCACCTGTTGCCCTGCCAGGCCAGGCTGAGCCGGCTGGCTGCCCGCTGTGGGGATCTGGGGATTCAACGGTAGCCATTGTTGCAAGGAGCAATGATGCTGGAGATAGACGAGGTGAGATGTGTCCATCTGTTTCGGCGGCATTGGCGGCTTGGGCGTATATTGGCGGGCCCGGCTGGGTGACACCCGATCTTGACTTGGACTCGTCTGCTGCGGTTCGCTGTTTTGGGATCAATTGGAAAGCAACAGCGGCAACGACATGCATGTGGAGGGGCAGTGAGGGGTTGGCCGAGGAGCACCTGACATGTCCTGGCTCGACCGTGAGCTGGATCGACCACTCAGCCACACCCATGTGGCTTTATATCGTTCATCTACTCTTTATTTCTCGGGCTTCTGTTTCTGCGGAAGCCGAGCGTTGCTCCAACTCGCTGTGAACGCCCTGCATTTGGCAACACTGCTGTCTCCTGGCCGTCGCGGTCTGGACCGCAGCAGTTATACCTCCCTAGGTATCCTACCGTAGCAGTTCAATGCTCTAGGTCAGCAGTCAACTTTGCACGCACAGGTAAGGAGTGCAGGGATGTGTGTGTGTAGCGTTTCTGGGGAGATGGATGGGAAATGCTTTGAGGTGATGGAGCAAATTGGTGGAATGCAACTTTGTGATGCAGAGTGCTTGGAAGCTTGGGCCACGGCTTTCTCCTCCATAACGACCCCCGCACTTGCCCCAACTGGGAGAGGTGGTCAGTGCACCACTCAGCCAGCGTTTGACGTCTCCAGGTTCCAGCAGTGTGGTTCTGGATCGACGGTGCCAAACTTTCGCTTCTCGTCCAACTGTTAAAAAGTTTTCATGCTGACTTCTTCAAAAAACAAGGTTGCCCAAGCACATTCGGCAAAGCAGCATACGACTGTTGCCAACTCCAATGTCTTCGAGCTCTTCTCATCACCCCATTCCCGACCTCCTCTAGCACCTGCGGTGGGGCCCAAACTGGTACTGTGTCAGGCACCACCCATCGCAGATCGGTGGAGTGGAAGGCCACAGGTTCATCATTGCGGGGAACTCGCAGCTCAGAGATCGCGTGACTTGCTTTCCGCTCTGCTCCAGACGCTTCCATGCCCCAACCCGATGCTCAATTGTATTCCAGGGGTGCCTGCAATGGCATTTCACGAGCAAAAACATGGTCCAGCTAAAATAAACGAAACGGATGAGTATGTTCTTGAAGCAATTTTTGGTTCATGGCTGTGCCGAAGATGCGGAAACGGGGGGCATTTGTTTTCGTGAGTTTGTGGGACGAATGCGGTACTAAAAGTGGGACTGGAGCTCACCTGATCAGTGGGTCCCAACCCGGCGTGGTTTGTTGACCCCCACGTCTTGCACCAGGACTTCCCAGCATGCTCCACCGTCAGGGGTCTGTCGGCTGCTTGCCGCTGTCTGTATCCCGTATCCAATCTTGCACTGTGCCAGACGACATTCGAAACCATGAACGACGCACGATTATGGAATCGTGTCGATGACTTCTAAGCATGGCAATTCCATCTTCAAGCAAGCCGAAAATTTGACAGCCATGTCATGAATCTCATGATCTCGGCAACCTCCGTGCAACTTCCGACGAATCAGGCCCCGAAATTGACATTTCACCTGTTGATGTCATGATCTTTGAATTTCGGATGACTTCCAAGGCGGCGCTGCTCTCAGCGCCATGAAGCTGGCGATGATAACAAAAATGGGCCCCCGGGCAGTTTAACGACTTGTGTTGCCTGCTTCTGTCAACAGGATTCAACACCTTACTTAGTGAATTTAACGGTACGGGATCATCCGCAAACACTTACTCCGAGCATAGCTGTATAAACGTCCACTGACGGTATGGCTTCTCCTAGTTGACATATTGGGTGGCCAATGGAACAAGCAAAACCTGCAGATTTCCGGCTGTTTGGATCGCCGTCTCCTGATCAGTCTTCTGGCTTTCTCAAAGTCCCTACCGAACCCGTCTCCCGCCTTTAGTGGCATGCAGCCACCCCGATCTCCAAGCTTCCTTGCGCGGCTCTCAGGCGCCGTTTGACGCGCGTCTGTTCGACGGAAGGGTGACGACAGTGCAGGTGCAGACCAATGGCAGCGGGGAGCAGCAGAACCTTTGAACGCCGCGGATGGCTTCCCCAATCTCCATTGGTCTTGGTCCGTACGGCGAACTCACCTCCGTCGGGTGTGTGTATGACCCCAAAAGGGGGTTCGCCAAGCAGCCGTAAGGCATGCAGAGTGGGATGTTCTGCTGTTTCACATCTTCTTGCCGCGAAAACCACGTGGTTCCCGCGCGGGAGCCAAGAGCTTGTCAAGAGAGCATGTCCCTTGATGGGAAGGCCCTCTACATATATATGTAGCAAGCGCGCCTTCTAGCTCGATGGCTTTTGATAACTTGGGATACCTGCAATGTGTGTTTACATTCCCGAATTTCGCCAAAGATTTGGTCCTTCGGTCATGGCAGGCTCACAGCTTCAACAGTTTCACCAGTGACACCTTACATCTACAAAGTCTGATGGGCAGTTGTCGCTTGAGAGGTTATAACCAATTACCAATAGCCCACTGTGTTCACATGAGTCCTGCTCGGGATGAATTCTTGAGCCTACGCAATACTTGCAATGTGAAAGACATGTCTGGCTCGCTGATACGCAGCTACTCTCCCCGAAGTTATCTCCAGTGGCCTGATCTCAGTCATGAGGCAGTTGAACACGACAGTGACATAGCTGGATGTTAATCATGCTCACACCCTACCTAGTTCTGTAAGGGTTTGCTAAGAGCTGGCGTTTGAGATGGTCACGACGTTTCACTGAACCAGAGGCTGTATGCACCACGTCCTAGGTTCTTCACACGCGCGCTTTGTGCTCAAGAGATGAACCCCTGCTCATCCAATCGGCCGGCACCCTGCTGCCCAGAGAAGATCTGGGAAATGCGGGCACAGTGTGCACTTGCATTTCTCACAGTGTTCAAAAGTACACGATACTTTTGTGCCAGTCTAACCCGCGCTGACCCCCAAATTCTCCAGGGCAAAAACAAATGCCACGAGACCATCGTTGCCGCTGCTTGCCCTTGAGCCGACGATAAGCTTTGCCTCTTGAGACTAGATTGAAGCTTTCTTGGAGACAAAGTGCATACACCGCCAATTTTTCCACCCAAAAGACGACACAGTCCAGGAGCAGAGAGCTCGACCGCCATTCGGTGAATTGCTGGCCGGGACTGATGCAAGCAGCACATGACAAGAATTGCATATCTGCAGGTCTGGCTGTCACGGGTTCTGCCAAACACAGCCAGCTCCCTTCGGGTCGTGCAAGAACTGCAGTGAGACTCTTGGCATTGTGCATGTCAGAGGGCAGGTAGGCGGGAACTAAGAACAAAACGGAAAGTTGTTTGTCATCAACGTGCTGCCACAAAGAGCGGGGGAGGGGCTTGACCCTGGGGTTTGCGGTCGATGATTGGCCTGTGGATGACCTCAGCTGTGAGAATTTCCACGAACCAGCGTCCGCCAAAGAAAAGGCACATTCCATTTGGTGTCCATGCGTCATTGAAGCCAATGGCGACGGATACTCGTGAGATTGTATGAGACGCACCAGGATGAAAACGAGACGGAGGGTTCTGGCGATGTTGTCCGTAGACATCCGTATCGTTTCTGTGCTCTCTGTGCCTGACACTAATTTAACCTGTCTTCCACATCCGGTCCGGTCGATCTCCACTCATGCTGCCCCAGCGGGGGGTTGATCAGGTTGGGGGCCCAGACGGGGGAGCATCCGACTCGGAAGGCCGGTGATGTGGTCAGGCGCCGCTAGTATTCCGAGGACCGTCCGGGGCCCTACAAGAACCAGCCGGGGTTGCTTCCGGGCTGACTGTAAGGACCCTCCGGGCAGGTGATGTCGAATGGGAGAGACTTTGGCTTGTAATATCTCCTGCTGACCTTCCGAGACAGGAACGAGAGACAGCCCTATGACGGGGGACTTCAATGAGATCAGACACTCAGCTCTCACAAGTTCAATTGAGGTCAAGGCCTAGACCAAACTTTTCAGCGCTAACCCCCACGTTTCGTGGGAGGGGCGACGTCATGGTACGTGCTACGCATCTCAGGGGCAGTGCCGGCGATCGGAGCAAACCTTGTTGCCACCTTCTTTGCATTCATGATTTTTTTTTCTAAAAATTTTTTTTAAAACTGTCACATCGCATCAGCCGTCGAGTTCTTTGAGTGTCGAGCTGCGTTACCCGGTTACGCTGACCCAGGATACGAGCGGCGTGAGAGTCAGATACTTATAGATGTTTGTATCGGAGCATCAGTTAGGCGCGCCTTGCAGATGATAGGTAAGTACCTTGTACTCACGTGCGAGCCTTCTCATGCATGACATACAGAAATCCCCTGAGGATCTTGCAAGAACTCGAGGCGTTTTCTGTGTAGGATGTAGACGACGAACTCCTTGGATTGAACAACGAGCTGTTGCCGGGCAGAGTTGTACCAAGTAAACATCACTCAATTTAAATATTCGTGGCCGAGAGGGCAAGCCAAATGGCTCCTGATGAGGCCAGCAGCAGTGTGCCACACACGGAAAACACCATTTTGAATGTCCCTGTGCGCCTTGTGACCAGCAAGAGTGACACCACCACGGAGACATTCAATGATATTCTCAGCATCGCATACACCTGGGTGCGTGTCTTGTCGTCGATGAGCCTGACTTCAAGGTACCCCATGTATGGCCAGTAGGCACCCACGGCCCCCTCAAATAGACAAAACACCCAGAATGCAGACTGCTCAGAGTGGGGGTTGGCCGATGCAATGAAACAGCGAGCCGATCCAGCCAACAAGCTGATCAGCAGCACGGAAGGGCGAACGAGCCGGCGATCAGTTACGAAGATGTTGAAGGCGAGAGAGGCGGCTAGCGCGGCCGTCATGAAACTTGAAAAGATGTGGCCGTAGGGAAGTTCGGTGGGGGTAGACTGGACAGACTGCAGCACGGGAGCCCAGAGGAAGACGAACAGATACATGGAGCCCTCAAAGAGAGTGCATCCAAGGCAGAGGACGAGGACAGCTGGCTGGAAGAGTGTCATCCATGCTTCCGAGCTGGGCTTTTCATCATGTGCGGCTGCTTTGCCATAGCTCTCTTCCTGCCAGCAATTAGCTTTTCTACCATTACCTCCTTTCCCTCACTCATAACACCCAGCGCAACCGAGCACTCCCGCCCCTGACCCCTGACTCTCCCCCAAGTAAACACAAGGAGACCGAGGCGTCACTCACCCAAAACACACAGCAATCACCCCCGCCGCTCCCACCAACAACCCTGCGGCCATCGAGAACACAGCCTTCCTCGTCCCCGTCACGCCCACAATCACCTCCCCACCAACGCCACACACCACGGCAACAACACTATTCACCCCACTCATCACCCCTATCACCTCCCTAACTGCTCGTCATCCTCGCCTCTCATCCTTTTCACTTCCCCAACAACCCAGCTCTAAAACCCACACATCATCAAACTTGTCCCAATCCCTCCCAACACCCGTCTCATCATCAACACCACCATTTTCCCCATCCTTCCTCACAATCCCAGGGGTAAAACGCCCCCGGAGAAGCAGTCATCCCACTTGTCAGTGCATACACTCCACAGAACACCAAACAAGTTTTCTTCCTGCCGCCGAGGTCGGCCCAGCACCCGATAAATGCGCCGGCCACGGCTGCTGAGATGAAGCCTGTTGCATAGAGAAGGGGGATGTGTGAGGAATCGAAAACGTGGGTGTGGGCAGTTGTGTAAAGAGGGTGGAGGGAGGGCCTTGAAGCCAGTCAGAGGCTGTGGCGAAGGGGTACGCTGTTAAGAAAGGGAGGGAGGGGAAGTGATGGGCTTGACATGACCAGGACCTCGAGGTCGTGGTATGTGGGGGAGGAGAGTTCGAGGGATCTGAGTTGGGCTTCAAGGAGCGGGCGGGGTTGGCTTTGTCGAGTGAGTAAGGAGGAGGACTGAGCATTGCGAAGGGGGGTTTGTTGGACGAGGGAGAGGAGAATGATGAAGTTGATGACATATGGGGAGAGGATGGCATCAGGAGGTCAATGCCCGGTGGTCGATGATGGTGGTGTTTGGTGCAACTATCAGGTTGTTTGTTAGAAAAACAAAAAAAATGAGATGAGCCGAGATGCTTAAGCGCCTCAGATATATGGGAAAGGTGTCCTGTCTCAATTACCCGCTATGGCAGCGGGAGATTGAAAAGGAGGACGGCACAGCAGTCCAGGCTGAAATTGATAACCCTGTGTCACTACTACCTAGGTTGTTACCTATCTTCTACCGAACCAACAATGGACCAAACATCCCATTAGCACTGTCACCCTAACACCGAGCCCGTCTCCCTAACATACACTATACACATGCATAACGCGTGATATATCTGCGGTAAGTACACTACACCCGCGATTCGCGGAGCCAAACACTATTAGGCCTACTGTAGCTAGACCTTTTGCTGTCTGGGTCAGCTAACCCAACAACTACGTCGCTCCATTAGCCGCGAAACTTCCTCGCTCCCACTCTTCCATTTGTCACCTACTCAGCAACCCTCACTCAGCCTATCCCTGTCTGTTTTGGTGTTGGACGTCAAAGTGATAGTGAAACACAAACTCCGGTCAAGATAATCGCTAACGCCGACACAAACGCCCGCCAAAGATACCTTCAATGAAGATCGTGTGCCTTGACCCTGATCGACCCATGCCATGCCGGATGATGCCGTGCCATGCAAATGTTGGTAGCCCGATCGCAAGCCGAAGACGCGAAAAGGACGATGTGAAAAAAAATGCCATGTGAAACAGGCAGTTAAAAAGATGAGGTCGAGAAGCCAATGAGGCAATGCAAAAGTAGAGGGGGAGAGAGAGAGAAAGTTGGGGGGGGGGGATTTTGGGGAATAGGGAGCAAATGCAAAGAGTTAGCGAAGCTATCGCTGCCGAGGGACGCGCTTCAGCTGGGCGAGCAGAGCATCGAGCTGCACCCAGTTGGCGTCGTTTTCGGCAAACTTGCGGTGCTGGCGAGAGACGATATGCTGTACTAATTAGCGATACGTTACTAGATGCCAATGAGGGAGGACATACTTCTTCAAAGTCAGCGAATTTGTCCTGACAGTTCTCACAGTAGCCCGGCTTCGGATCACGCTTCTTGGGCTGGCTGACAGGCATGCTGGCAGACCGGCGCAGCTTGTCCCGCTTCTGAGGCTCTTCACCATCAAGCAGCTCGGGCTTCGGCTGCGCGCGGCTGGTGCTGGCTGAGCGGCCAAACGTAGTAGCATCGTGGCCAACATCTTGTGCGACAGCCGGCGTTACAGCCTTTTGCAGCACGACACGGCGCTGAAGCCCATGGATCTCCTTGCTGGTGCCAGCCTTGGCGCCTAAGACACCGCCGGTGGACGACACCATCTGCGAGCGGATAGCCGACGTCACATTGGACGGCTGCAGACCCGAAGCAACGGGTTCGCCGGCCAGGAAAAGCCCCGGTTTCGCGCGGCTCATAAAGGCATTTGTGCGGAAGTCAAATGACGGCGGATTCTGCGCCTTCTCGCGATCAAACTGTTCCGTCGAGCGCGTGACGGCCGCCCCACGGTTATGGCCATCCTCCATCTCCTTGAGGGTACGCTTGCCCGTGACCGGCTTCGGAGGGTTCTCTTCCACTGGCTTGGGTGCCTGGGCGGTAGGGACAGCAGCAGCAGCAGCAGCAGCAGCAGCAGCAGCAGTAGTAGTAGTAGTGGTTGTTGTCGTTGCCGTGGCTACGGCCGTCGTCTCGACCTCTTCCTTGGCGGGCCGCTCCTTGGCCCTGTCCTTATCCCGCCGCTTCTTCTCCGGGATGTCATAGTGCTCGTCGATAATGAAGGGGCAACGGCCGTGTGAGGTTACGCGGAATTGGGGCCACTCGCCGTCCTTAGGGTCGGAGACTTTGGGGTATTCCCTGGCCATGATAGGCTTTGTCTTCTCATCAATGTCATAAACGTAGATGTAAGGACCTTTGAAGAGCTTGAGTTCCCGGTTGGAGACGGTCGGGTCGCGGTCTGAGGGGCCGTGGACTCGCTCGGCTTCCAGGGCCTGGGCGAGCTTGTCTTGCGGGTCCGTCGGCTTGGTGGACGCCCGGGTATTGTGGCGAGACAGACCCAGGGCGGCGCTGGTGATGGGATCCGGGTACAAGAGATATTCCAGGATCTTTTGCAGCTTCTCCAGGGACCATATCTTCTTGCCCATCTCACGAGCACGGTCCAGCACGTCTGTGCTGCGCGGCTTAGGCCGTTTGATAGGGTCCTCGTGGACCCGGATGGGCAGCTTCTTGGAGGCAGCATCATATGCCAACTTGCTAGCACGCCTGGCAGCCGCCAGGGAGAGAGGTTCGGTGGTCGTGTTGCGGTTCAGCAACGAGGGATTGATGGTCTCGGGTTGCTCATTGTTGGCTGGGGCAGCCTCCTCGGCCGTCTCGGTCACTTCGTGGGTTTTCTTCACGGGGGGGATAGGCCGCGTAGTAACGACATGCGTGATTTCGATAGAGAAGAACTTTTCCTCTCGCTGGAGACTGTTAGCGATATTTGCCCTACGTAAGAGAACACGAACACTTACAGCGCCAAGGGAAGACACCTGTTTGGCCAGACGCGCCCTCAGATCATCAGGGATGCTCTCAAAATAAAACACCATCTTGGGAAAGGCAGCACGGGTGTTGGCGTGCCATTGGCGGAGCATCTCGATATCCTGCTGCGTCGGCTGGTAATCGGCATGGGTACTGGCGTGGGAAGCCCTCTGAGAGCCATGAGTGCTCGCCGTGACGCGAGAGGCCGAGCGATGGATGTCTGCCCGGGATGCCGTGGTCGTGGCGGCCGTGGAGAGTGAGGTTGTCGTCGACGTGGCCGCAGCCATCGTCGTCTTGGAGCGAGACGGCGAAGCTACACCACGGTCAATCATCTGGCGTTTTGCCGGGGGCGGCTGAGGATAAGCCTCCTCGCGAAGCATGTCGGCATGGGAGCGGCACTTTTTCGCGCCCGGGAGGGCAGCCGCAGAAGGTCGCAGAGGCGAATTGGCGGCATTGGGGTTGCTGGACAGCGGGACGCGCCTCGTTGTGCTTGCAGACATGACCGAGGCCTGGTGGAGCGGGATTTAAGGTAGGGATGCTGTTGCCATATAAACATCCAGGACGTGGACTCGCAACAGTCGTCGATCGTCGGTTGTCGCCAGGAGCGCGCAGAGACGGGAGGACTGGACCCGCGACGTGGATTGCGAGTTGCGGGTTTGCGGTTTGCTGCAGCGAGGGAAGGACCAGTGCTGGTGGTGGTGGTGGTGGTGGTGGTGATGATGATGGTGGTGGTGCACTGGTGATGGTGATGTGATGTTTTGATATGCACGTGTGGAGGATAGCTTGACGAATGGAGAAGGGGAGGGGTTGGTGCTTTAGCGCAGTTGCTGTTGTGGAAGCGATGAGGCAGGTTGGTGACTGGCGTGCAGTTGGCTCTTGGTGGCCCCTAAACGCGTCGTGCAGATAAAAAAAAACTGCTGGAATGGTTGCCCTGGTTGCGACCTGCAGCGCGTCCTAGCAGCCGGGGTTGATGCCCCGAAAAGCAGCACACGAGCTCTCAGGGACGCTTCAACAGCACAAATAAGCAGCACACAAGCTTCGACAGAACGACCGGGACGGAAAGCTGGGAAACAGGCTGCCTCTGTAAGTGTCGGATCAGATGGGATGCACGGGGATACCAGGCTGAAGATGGGACCTCCGACTGGAATCTGCAAGCTGCTCGTGGTGGAGAGTGAGTGTGGCTGCTGCCCTATCTCAGCACCCAACATACGTACCTTGAACCGAGCAGTTGATAAGCGGATGTTGCTGCTGCTTCGAAGTTTTGCTGCTGCGCTGCAGGCAGGCGCGCCATTGGTCGTTGACCACTCCGAAAGAGGAAGCATCAAAACGTCCAGGGCCAGGCTCCCGCGAGCCAAGCCCGCCCTGGCCGAAGCACAACAAACCAGGACCCACTGACGCGGGTGCTGGTTGTCTCACACAGCAACGGAGCTGCCTGGGAAAAAGGCGCCACCAGCTGGCACCCATCAGGTAGGCATTCGTGCTGAAAACGAGAATCCTAGCTAAAGGCATCCAAATGGGAGACTCTGACACTCCGAAAGTTTGTTGCATTGCATCAAAGCTCAAAGCGCGGATCTGAGATCTAAACGATCATTTCGTGCATCTTCCTTCAAGACATGGATCTGTATTTAGATTGTAGCTGTAATCCTCCTTATCTTACATGCTGCGTATTTCGGGTGTTAGAGCTTGTCTGCATGTTACGACACCGGATGCAAAACGGTTATAACACGGGTGGGGCCAAAACCGCTCGTCCGGAGTTCATCCATGAACGCACACCCGTCTCTCAGTCTCACATCTCCTTGGTGCAATGAGACTGTTGCGAGCCGCTTTGCGGCAGTCATGCCGGCCATGGCAACCAAAAACACAGCCGTTCAGGATACAGCCGCGAGCCTATGTCACGAGTGTCTCGGCGGCCGAGCTGGACTTTGGTCAGCCTGTCTATGAGACTCACCCTCACCTGCTCAAGCCGGGCGAGAGTATGTCATCAATCGCCACTTACACTGCTAGGATGAGCCGACTTGGAAGCTGATATCTTGTAGTAACGCCCGGCATCACTGCCCAAGAATATGCCGACCGCCGTGCCAAGTTCGCCTTCAGCCTACCAGCCGGCGCCGTGGCCGTGTTGCCCTCCGCTGAGATCAAGTATCGCTCGGGCGCCGTCTTCTATCCCTTCCGCCAGGAATCCAATTTCCTGTACCTGACCGGCTTCTCTGAGCCCAACTCGCTGGCTGTCATCCGCAAGACCGGCCCGGGTATGGGCGACTACACATTTCACCTCTTCTGCCGCCCGAAGGATCCGTACGCCGAGCAGTGGTCGGGCCCCTGGTCTGGCCTGCAAGCCGCTGAGGACGTCTTCAACGCCGATGAGGCCTGTGATATCAACCAGCTGACTGCGCTGCTGCCGTCTCTCATCCGCGATGCTACGGTAATCGTCACCGATTTCTCAACCTCAGAGTCCAAGTCCCCCCTGATGGCTGCCTTTCGCACCTCCTTTCCCACTAAAAACACGCCCATCACCCCGCTCACCCCGCTCATCAACCCCCTCCGAGCAATCAAGTCACCCGCCGAGATAGCCGTCATGCGGCATGCTGGCATGGTGTCAGGCCGGGCCATTACCCAGGCCATGCGCCGGCCCTGGTCCACCGAAAAAGACCTCGAGTCCTACCTCTCCTATGCCTTCACCCAGCACAACCTGTCCGGGCCGGCCTACGTGCCCGTCGTGGCGGGTGGCCGTCGCGGCTGCATGATCCATTACGTGCACAACAACGCCTTGCTGGAGCAGGACGAGATGATCCTTGTCGACGCGGGCGGCGAGTACGGTTGGTACATTACCGACATCACGCGTACGTGGCCCGCCAGCGGCAAGTTCAGCGCGGCGCAGAGGGACCTGTACTCGGCCGTGCTGGTCGCGCAGCGCGAAGGTATCAAGATGTGCCGTGAGCAGCTGGGCATGTCTCTGGACGAGATCCACCGTGCGACCGAGGCCATACTGGAGACTGAACTGGAGAAACTGGGCTTCGACTTTGGCCTGGGCAAGGGTATGTTCGGCAAGGGGGGCGATCTGATGGGCACGCTGTTCCCTCACCATGTCGGTCATTACATTGGTCTGGATGTTCACGATGTACCGGGTTACCCACGGTCGTTGCCGCTGAGGGCCGGACACTGCGTCACCATCGAACCAGGGGTCTACGTCCCGAATGATGAGGCCTTCCCGAAGCATTTCCGTGGGTTGGCCGTTAGGATAGAGGATAGTGTGTGTGTCGGTGAGAACGAATGCATCGTCTTGACTGCCGAAGCGGTCAAAGAAGTGGAGGATATCGAGGCATTGAGGTAGGAAGTAAGGTTGAGGGAAGGGGGGGGGGAGGGAAGGGTGGAATGAAGCATGCCCTTGTAATATTGGCTATAATTCCTGTACTATCCAACCATGTAGAGGATCACTTGTATGAAGTGAACAGGTAGGGCAAGATACAAACGACAAATCATCAATCGATATGATGGATGGGCGGAAGGTATGCCGCCGGTAGCTCCCCCTTTGCATGTCATCATGCGCAAGAACACCATAGAACTTGGGATATTTAACTCTATTAAAATTTTAGCCCCCTAAGAGTAGAGATGAGCCTCCAAAAACCGAAGCCATCACCACGGCAGAGAGAAAAAAAACAAAGGGATCTGCAAATTCTTTCGCGACCTAAGGCCCTATCAACCCGCTGAAATAGACTGGAGAAGATATTATGCGAGATGCGATTCCCGCCCATCCGTTATGATGCCGATGATGCGTTCCGGGGCGTGATTCGCCCTCCTGAGAGAAGAGACAAATCAAAGAAACAATGCCTCGGCACTAATAAGACATGCGTAAAAAGAAGTGATCGAGCAAACCCCATCAGAAGAGTGCAGGCTCAACTTTGTCATTTCTTTTTCACCCTCTTCCCAAACAGGCAGGGACAAACCCTCCCTTGTAATTCCCGCAATCCATACCTCTCCTCAACACGCTAGAAATCCCTTCAATTCCTGTGTCCCTCCTCTCCCCTTCCACCCACCACATACATAATTTTACTTCCGGCTCATATGTACGTGTTGTTGGCATGTAGTGCATTGGTACGTTACGTCGTTTGCTGTTTGTGGGAAGAGAAAGCAAAAGAAAGAACGCGATCCCGCATACCGCGGTGGAATGCTGCCCAAGTTGTGTATGTATCCACCCTGCACACTCCCAGAACCCTTCATGCCCATGAAAACAGAGAGACTTATGGTAGACAGATCAGATAGCACGAAGATGTGGGAAAGCGAAACAATAGAGGCTAGAGTTAAACTGTAAAATGGGACAGAGGGAAATAATAGAAGTCAAGTGAGTCGGGAAACAAGAAAATGCCCTGAAAATAGTAATAGTAACAAAATAGAACATACAAGATGTGAGTTGCTAGCAAAAACCTCTTGGGTCGAACAACGTTCTGCTGTAGCTCGGCATGGCGTATTGTGACCGCGCCGTCGCATTCAGTAGCTGCTCAAAGGCCTGCAGCTTACGCGAGAGCTCGCGGTGCTCCTGGACAATCTGCTTGTTGCGCCGTTCCAAGTAATGGATGTACTCAGTCGCTTTTGTCAGAACGGTGCCCTACGTTACTCGTCAGCTAGTTCCATTCCGCTTGACCGTTATCCGAGTGTTGCATCAACGAACCTTGCTGACTTTGGGAACCCTTGTACCAGTCCCATCATCCTCACCGGCGTTCTCCATCATCTGCCGCAGAGACGGCACCGCATCGCGCAGTTCAGCAATCTTGTCCTTGAGGTTCGTCCGGTACTTGCGTTCAATGTCGTTGTGTGCCGTACGATCTCCCTTGGGCTTTGGCTTATCTCCTGTCGCTCCTTGCTTCTTTTGCTGATTCTGCTGCGCCGAGCGAGACTGCGATGATGTTGTCGTCGTTTGCGATTGTTGCTGCTGAGGTTGTTGACCTTGCTGCTGCTGTTGCGGCCCCTGCTGTCCCTGTCCTTGTTGCTGTTGCCCATGCTGCTGCTGCCCCTGCTGTTGCTGTTGCTGTTGCTGCTGTTGCTGCTGTTGCTGTGGCTGCTCTTGTTGTTGTTGTTGTTGTTGTTGTTGTTGTTGTTGTTGTTGTTGTTGTTGTTGTTGTTGATGATGATGTTGTTGTTGTTGCTGCTGCTGCTGCTGCTGCGGTTGCTGAGAGGGAAGCTGCTGTTGCGGAAGCACATGCCTTTGCACCCGATTCGCTACATTAACGTTCCCAAGCCCATTCCCCCCAGCGCCAAAAGTCATGGGCATGCCTGGGCTCAGCCCACTGAAGTTGAGGTTGATGTTCGAGCCCAGCCCTCCCAGCGTTGGCCCTGGGTTCATGGCGATAGCAATCAGCTGCCTCTGCTCGGCCTCGTTCAGGGTCTGGCTGTTCAGACCTATTAACGAATCCATGCGTATCCCCGGCTGCGGTTGTTCCCAGCTGAGTGGGGTTGAGTAAAGGCGGGGCGGCACTTCCTGAGGCGGCGCGGAATCGACTTTGGAGAGTTGGTCGGTGAGGTTGATCGATGAATACGCGTCCTCTTCAGAGAGGGCATTATCCAGGGCGCTGTCGTCGATAAACTCTTCGGTCTTGAATGCCTGGGGAAATACTGGAGCTGGAGCAGGGGCCGAAGCCTGTGTCGTGGTGGTGGTGGGTCTGGATTTTGATGTGTCAGCCTCGGCAGCAAAGTCGCCACTGACGGACAAAAAAATTTCCACAATATCACACTCACCGATTGTCCATCTGAGGCTTGGTACTCCCACCTACGGTTTTGCTTTCAGTTTCTGCACCTTCCGGAATGCTGGGCAGGGTCGTGTCGTCCTTATCGAAATCGATCCAGTAGTCGACCGAATCCAGCGGAGTCGACTCTGAGCTTAGTCGTGAGCGCTTCCTCTCATGTCCATCTCGTGATGTGAGTCCGCGAGCGGGCAATACTTGGCTACCTTGCCCGCCTGGTAACCCTGCAAGATCTCGTTGCGAGAGGTTCGTGAGCCCCCTAGCGGGGGGTGGTTGGGTAACGGAATCGAGAGACAGGCTGGTGGGCGCCGTGGACGGCGACACGGACAAGCCGGCAGTGTCAACGTTCAACCCAGGGTCCCATAGCGCTGGGTTGGGGGCTGCCGTGACGTTCAAAAAGCCTTGGTCAACGGGGTTGACAGTCTGGGCAGTGTCAGCCGGGGGAGAGCATCAGGGGAGCAACTGGCAGAAGGAGGACTAGACCTGGTTATTTGGCATTGAGAAGAACTCGAGATGTCTGAGTGGGTCCGAGTCCATCATGTCTGATGCATGTGACGTGCAATGACAGAAAAGAGACGGCGTGTTTCGAGGATAAGCCACAATATAAGGACGACGGCAGTTGGTTCTTGTACTGTCGATCAAGTGTCGTTGAGGGAGATTTGCTAAACTGCAGGACTATATGCCCCGTAACGATTGCGGCGGGCCTTTGTTGAGCCGCAATCAGGCGGTAATGCCCAAGATTTGACGCAAGCCAAGGACTCGAAAAGTCTGGATGGACGTGCTGCGCCGCGACGAGTATGTAGGGGGCACGGATCGAAAATCCGATGGTCAAAGACAGCCAAAGAGAATCAAAGACTTGATGGTTGACCCAAGCTGTCGGGACAATCGACCAGGCGCACGACGGGTATAGCTTTTTGCGCAAGCCAAACTTAGTAAGGTCCCCGACGCAGATAGCTAGCTGTAGCTGATTGACCCGTTGGTCGGAAAATGAGTTTACTGGAGACAAGGAAAAAGTTTGAGCTCGCAGTAGTGGCGGAGGTTGATAACGCGGCGAAATATTCTCGTGGTACGGTGTAGATAGGATGCCGCCGGCTGGGAATGGAAATGAAGATGCGATGATGATGCAGGAACACGGTTAGGAACAAGAGATCGAGACTGAAGGAGGGCGATCGCGCTGCAGGCGCGGTGTTGAATATTTTCCGTAGCTTGACGGACGGTAGGCGAAGCGCCGCTCGGCAGGATGCCCGAATATGGCGAGGTCAGGTGGTTTGGGTAATTGGCGTGAATAGTGTAGAGAAAGCCGCGCGTGGGAGGTGATGGAGATGCAGCAGGGTCGCTGGGACAGAAACCGGAGATCTAAGTAAAATGATGACCGGGCTTGAACGGGCCTGAATGGTTGCTAGCAGCGCTGCGGCACTCCTCCACTCTCCCCCGGTAACCTGCAGCACAAGCTCCGCGCCGGGGCAAGGGCAGACAAGCAGCCCATGGAACCTAACGCCGACGGATCAGGCTGGGCGATGAGGAGACGGCGATGTCCTGAGCGAAAACGAGCTCTCTGCGACGGCCCAAAAATAATGTTTTTCTTCTGCGGGCTTCTACATACGTTGCGCACTTACAAGGAGAAGGGGACCTACGAGATGCCATTACAAAGGCGATCATGCTGTCGGATGGCGTAGTTGGGCATCCCAAACAGCTCTGATCGCTGCCGTTGCCAGCTCTCAACCAAGCTTGTTGGAGAAAAGGGGCTCCCTGTTGCACGTGTTTCTCGAGGCCGTTGGGGGCGCTTGGTGCTGTGGCGATACTTTGTACGTACTAGCAACTACGCTAGAGGAGATCGCGACCAGCTCACTCGCTCTCCGTGCTCGTGGAACTGGATTGCTCCCCATCACTGGGCACTGGGCCGCGAGCTTCCACTGCATGCACCACCGGTTCCTGCCCTGTGCCCCCCCCCCACCCCAAAAGATCGGGTCCCGAGGACGGCGATTTAGAAAGGGGAGCCAGGTTTGAAGGCCTCTGACCAGCCGATTGGGTTGGCGTCGCTCACATAGCACAGATATCTTGGAAATCGCCTGACTCTTTCACGATGGGAAATTCTCTCACAGATTCGCCCTCTGGGCAGCAGCGAGAAGAGGCCAATCGGGGCGCTGGTGCTCTGACGCAGTGTTTTTGATTTTGGGCCCATTTGCTGCCAAAATCATGCCACTTTTGCTCCCGCTGGAAGGCTGCCCTCCGCAGGCCAAGGCGGCAGTGGCTGGTGAAGCAACGCGTTGTTATTGGCTAAGCTGCTCAAATGTTGCTGCAGCCTCGTCCGCAAGCGAGTTCATCACAGGGTCTGGACCAACGCCTTGTCCTCCCAGATCCACTCAAGCCCTCGCAACCCTGCCGGCAGCACGAGGCTCCACCATGGCTCCAAGCCCTCGGCAGGCAGGAAGCTGAGAAGAGAGCACGGCCCGTTTCCGCGCTCGGGGGAAGCTCGACGAGAACGGCAGGCCATCTGAGATATCCCCTGAGAACGATGGCGATGACGTTTGTGATTCCAGGGCTAGGGCTTGACTCCTGATTCTTTGTGGGCAATTACCGTCGATTTCTCAAAAAGGGCATGCGTCGTCGCGTGGCATGAACGCATGACATGCACGCGGAATGTGGGAGCAAGATCCGTGGTCCGTGATTAAGATCAACTACCCTAACCCTGAATGGTTGCTTATCTGATAGCGGGCTGAAGCACAGGGCCAAGGTGCGTCATCACGGAGCAGGTTCATCCACTGCAGGCAGCTTGTTTGAAGCGCCAAATCCACCATAGCCTTCTTTCAACAATCGTCCAACAACAGAAAGTTACAGGACTTAATGCAGACCACAACATAACTATACTGCGCAGGAAAAATGGCGGCCACAGTCTCGACATCCGTCAACTCCCCGCCAGCAAGCCCCGTCCTCGAGGGGCATGAATCCCCCGACCTTCCCCTGACCATGACAGCGTCCACGATTCTGGCAACGCTTCCTCGCGATGCCACTGCGGCGCTTGCGGCTGCAAGCACCTTTCCCCAGGAGAAAATCATAGTGCGTTTCAAACCAGTCGGCTCGGCTCCGCCCATCCGACGAGAGCTGGTCAAGGTTGGCACCACGCACAAGTTCGAGTTCGTCGTGGCCTATCTGCGCAAGACGCTCCATGTCGCAGAAACGGATAGCGTTTTCCTGTATGTGAACAGCACATTTGCTCCTGCGCTCGATGAAGTCGTGGGCAATCTGTGGCAGGTAGGTGTTATTGTGTACGATGTGAGCAAGTAGGTATGTTGCCGGTGCTGATATTGTGGCCTGCCCTAGTGCTTCAAGGACTCTAGCAACCAACTCAACGTTTCGTACTCTCTCACACCTGCGTTTGGGTAGCAGACGAACTGGACGCGCGCATGTCTTGTTACTCTTTTTGTTGGTACAGCGCCAATATGTCATTTCTCTACCGAGGAACCGTGACACACGATCAAGCGCAACGACTAACAGGTGGTATGACGCCCAAGACCCTAAACAATTATGCTTTGAGAACGCCGCCGATGCCCGCTTCCTAGGTAACCGACCCGTTGTGCGTAACCCCAAAGAAGATGATGCCTACAAACAACGCCAAAGAAGATGCACCCAAAGAGCTTAGGCGTGTAAAGAACGACCCTCTACAACTCCTTGACCGCTTCCTCGAACCCCTTCAGCTCCTCCTCCGCAATCGGATACGTATGCTCTGGCGCGGGGTATGCCCGGCTCTTGACCTCGTCGCGGTATGTCTCTATGGCCCGGAAGCTCTCGGACCAGACGTCGCCATACTTTTTGACGAACTTGGGCAAGTGCCTGCCCGGAGGAAAGTTGCCCGTCATATCGACCTGTACCAGGACTTGGCCGGAACAGCCGTTACCGGCACCTATCCCTATAGTGGGAATCGATAGCTTTTTCGTGATAATACTGGCCACCTCCGCTGGCACGGCCTCCAGGACAACAGCAAAACACCCTGCCTTTTGGACAGCCAGGGCATCTTCGAGCACTTGCATTGCGCTCGCTGCTGTCTTACCCTGCACGCGGAAGCCGCCAAAAGCGTGCTGTCGCTGCGGGGTCAGCCCGACATGACCGAGCACGGGGATACCCGCCGTGGTGATCTTCTCGATTGTGGGGGCCATCTCTTTTCCGCCCTCCAACTTGATGGCCTGCATGCGACCCTCCTTAATGAAGCGGATCGCCGTCTCCAACGCCTGCGCCGGCGCAATCTCATACGATCCCATGGGCAAGTCGCCAATCTACCACTTGAATTAGCAAACAGGAACAGATCGGGTGGCAGGTATGATGACATACCGTGAAGGCAGACTTCACAGCCCGGGCAACGGAGCGGCAGTGAAGCAACATCTCTTCCAGCAACACTTCACTCGTGTCCTCCATGCCGAGGGCCACCATGGCCAGGCTGTCGCCAACCAGTACAACGTCCATTCCCGCGGCATCGGCAACATGGGCGCTTGGAAAGTCGTGGGCTGTGATCATGGTGATAGGCTCGCCTCGCTTATACATGGCCCTCAGCGTCGATACTGTCACCTTCTTACGAGGGCTGGCCGATGGCGTACCCATGGGTGAGTGTGAGCTCCAGCGAACATGGCGATGGTGTTGATGTTCTACCGAGAGTTGCGTTGATAGTTGTGGTTGATGCGATGGGGTGGCTGAGAAGAGGAGGGACGGTCTGCTGAGGGCCAGGAGACACGACTGTGAGTTGGTTGTGCCCCTGGGAAGGGAGGCGCACGACCGTGCCAGCGACCTCAGCTGCATGGGTTGGGGTTATGTTTGAGGCTGCCTGTCTTTCTGAATATGCGAGGGGCAGGTACTTGGGATGTACCTTTGCGCGATGGTCGTACAGGGGGGTTGCCCGGATACGGCAAAGGGAAAAAAAAGTTGGACAAAAATAGAGGATGCAACGGTTATGGTAAGGAGATTAATGAGTTTCACTTGTGAGAAGAGAAAAAGGAGCAGAAACCCTGCCAACACCGTTGCGGCGCAATGGCGATTCTTATTCCCAAGGTCATGATGGTTTTTGCTGCGTACAATTGAGTATCTTCGAGGACCTGGACACCAACGCTGGAGTTTTCTCAAAACGGTTGCGGGCTGCTTGCCGTCGGTCAATCGGATTCGATGGTTGCGGAGGGACGACCCACACTGACGGTGGGGATTGGGCGCGAGGGGAGCCGAGGCAGCGGTTGACAGCGTCCGACGGCAACTTCTCGACATCTTCGAGAAGCTGGACGCAGGTTCGTCGGATTAAGTTTCCTGGGTTCATCTTGGCTATCATGTTGGGCGTATCATGCTCTTTGCATCCTATCCAAATATTCTTGGGTAAGGACCCTGACTGGAGCTTTCTCAAACAGTCAACATTTGGCAACGTCAGATGAGTTTCTTCAGACGGAAGAACCCTTACAGTCTTGCCGACCAAGACTTTGAAACCCTGCGCCCTGAAATGGGTCCCTATGACCCTTGCGGCCGTTGCGGCGTCCTTGATCCATGCTTTCCCTCCTTGCACGCCGTTGGGATTTCAGCCCGGGCTCCTGTTCCCTTCGGAAAGAAAATCGGAGTTTTTTCTCGGGCGCCGCTGGCATGAACGGTCTCGGCACACGCCAGCAGAGGGGAAGTGCGCGTGTGACCACGCGGGCTCCGTAGCGTCGTTCTCCTGGCCGTGCTTGAAGCGCCGCCGTGCATCCAGCTGGTCGGAGCGAGTCCCACACCACGCCGGCTCCGCCCCACCAGGGGTACGTATCTATTCCGATCAGCGATTCAGGGCTATCTTTGTTACGGTGGACGAGAGTTGCGTAGGTTGCCCATAAATTCGCTTCGTTCTCAAGTAGACAGCCTTTAAATAATTATAAAGATTTAATTGTTGTCTAGGAACCCCTCTGTGGATATGTAGGTTGAAGATATCTCGAGACTCTCTGTCTCCAAAGGAAGTCGAAGAACACATGGCGCCGCAATCACCATCGCCGGGCCGGCGCAACGGTGCGAAATGCATCGAAAATTACTGTGTACCTTTGGTTCTTCTGCTCAAATTGCGTCACCGACCCCCACCAACAGCGACACACCACAGCTGGCATTGGCATCGGCGTCAACGGGGATGCGAGCGTCGGGCATGAATGGAATGCAGAGGTGCCATCAGGGACCAGGAGATCCGAGTAGCCCATCATCCACTAACAGCGCAGTGGCTTGCTGGGCACCAACAGGGGAACAAGATCGCTCCTAAACGTGACAAACAGTTGTCTGCCATTGACTGGTGGATCTCGCCACAAACTGTGACCGATGTACCTTTGTCGTTTCTGGTCCGTAAACTGTCACGCTGTCACGCAAGTTTCCGTTTTCGCATCAGTCTACGAGTCACTGTAGTGACGGCATAGAGCATATTATGCTCTACAGAGAATTCCGGAGAGACCACAAGACCTGACCGCCCGTTTCGCCCCGCGCCCTGTCACCTGCTCACCATGCAGCTCGAAGTGTCAGCGCCTTACCATTCAAGCACGCCAGCCGATCAGCGGCTTGCAGTTTCGAGCACAACACGGCACTGCTCCCACAGTAATATCTCTACGAAAAAACTGCCAATAACCGGTAGGCCTGTAGGGAGTGATCTGTCCTGGGACCTTTTATCCCAACCAAGAATGGATGGGTTAGAGATGGGTTAGGTGTGTGATAAGAGTTTGTGACCCAAGAAAGCGACACAGTGCGAAGTACCACCCCCTTACAACCGGTGACAAAGCCCCTCGCTGGTCTGCAATTTCCCTGTTAAGCGCATTGCCTGCTTCTTAAGCTCCCACCTCCCCAAAGTGCCCCCGCTTTTCAGGCCTATTCCACCTCGCTATCTGGACATCGCGTTGCCACCACGTCACTTTAGCCTTTACCGATCACAACCTCACAGAGCAGCAGATTTTTCCAGCGAACCTACTTCCAACCTTTTCCTTTATTCCCATCAAAGCACCAGGTGCTTTGACTTCCTTCACCAACCACTGAACCATACGTCGAGTGCATTGCCCCGGCCGATACTCCCGAAAAGCCGACAAGATGACGTCTCCGCGCCGTAGGATCGAGACCGATGTATGTGAACTATATGATTCGGGATAACTCTTGTCTATTCTATATTGGAACATCTATTCCGGGACGGAGAACCATTTGCTGACACGGGGCTTCTTCCCCACAATAGGTCATGAAGATGTAAGGTTACCCGGTTACCTGAATGCCGCTGGCACCAGCGTCTCGGACCTCCGTCTCGACCAGAACGCTAACGCGGCTGTAGGCTCATGAGCGACTATGAGGTGACGTTGGTCAACGACAACAGTATGTAACCCCTGTCCTTGATCGTTTCGGCCTGCATGTTGTGTGGTGCTGTGAACTGACACCTTGGTACCTTGCAGTGTGAGTTCCTGCTTGATCCGACATGGGATTCAGTGCGAAGTAGGTTACTAACCGGAGTACTCATTCGCTTCAGGCAAGAGTTCTACGTTAGGTTCAAGGGACCTGCGGAAAGTAAGACATGCCGCAATCTTGGTTTCTCCCTGTTCTCCAAAGAATGTTTGCTGACTGCGAGCTTGCAGCCCCCTTTGAGGGTGGTGTCTGGAAGGTCCACGTCGAACTCCCTGACCAGTATCCATACAAATCCCCGAGCATCGGCTTCGTCAACCGCATCTTTCACCCAAATATCGACGAGCTGTAAGCTGGACAGGGGTAACAGCAGAACACCCGAGACGGTGCTGACCTGAGTGCCTAGGTCGGGGTCGGTCTGCCTGGACGTTATTAACCAAACCTGGTCGCCAATGTTTGATATGATCAACATCTTCGAGGTGTTCCTGCCACAGTTGCTGCGTTACCCGAACCCCACAGACCCGCTCAACGGCGAAGCAGCTGCCTTGCTAATGAGGGAACCCAAGAGTTACGATGCCAAGGTTCGAGGTATGTATAGTGTCAGCCCTTCTGCGAGTACCAGATGCTGAAAACCCGTCGCAGAATATGTCCAGAAGTATGCTAGCAAGGAGGCACTTGAGGAGGCCGAGAACGAGAGCGAATCAGACGACGACTTATCATCGGTGGGCAGCTTTGACGACGATGATGAGGACAAAGAGCATGACAAGGAGAAGGACGGCGACGATGAAGAGCAGCCCGCTGGTAAGATGGAAGATGTCTAATGTGCACTCGACTTGGCCTGGCTAAACACGCGATGAACGGAACATGGGACACTCAGACGGGCGGATGGACGGAACGGACGGGCTGCATTTCGGATTTCATTTCCCTTTCTCACACGGCGTGGTTGTTAGAGGACGGATAGGTTGGGTGGGCAGCTTTTCATACCCTCGCTTCGGTGTTCTGCTGCTTCTATTTTCCTTGCTTTCTCGTTGGACTGGGCATCTCTCTCCTACAGCGCGTGTACGGAGTTGTATACGGTTTGGCTTACTCCTGTTTCATTTTCATATCTCTACTCATACACCGTGCCGTCTGTGGTTCGTCCCATGAAACTGCCGGATTTTCTTTCTGCGAGGCGGGCTGCAGATCGCGTTGGCCGGGGAAATAGCTGGGCAAGCTCAAACAGGGAGGGAAGGCCGGGGGCTAGGTGATGGCAGGGATATTATTTGATGGGAACAGCCGATCTTGATTTGGCATAGAGTTGCCGTGAGGATCACATAGGTAGGAATGGACTTATTCACTGCAAAACTTGCCTTGTCATTCCAAAACACCAAGGGTATCTATTTATCATAACCGTAATGCAAAGCCATGAATGATATTTACTGGGTCCTAGAAAAAGCACCGATATCTTCAATCCGAGTCCGAGTCGTAGTTCACCAATGCCGTGGTACCAGCCACTGCTTTTGGTTTTGCGACTATCGTATCTGATGGAGGAGGCGGAGGAGCAGGCGGAGGAACAGGCGGAGGGGGTGGCGATTTGCTCAGGGGCTCTTCTGTAGCTTCCCGTTTTCTTTTCAGTCCGGGAAGAAGCCGGTCCCCTGGAGTCCTAGGGGTGCTCTCCCGGCTGCTGCTATCAAAAACGAGGAACGGGTCTTTAGAAGCACGGGTGTTACTGACGATCTCCGAGACTAGGTTCTCACGAGCTCGCGCAGCAGCCAGCTCTGATTTGAGCATGCGAGTGCCGCCGCTCAACGCAGGGGTGCCGGTGTTGCGACTTTTGCTTAGGTCCTCCTGCTTCGCGGTCTTCCTATCGCCAAATAGGGGCTTCGCTAGTGCCTTGTCGATCACCGGGCCCGAGGGTCCGTCTTCTGAGGACGGTGGCGGTGAGGGGACACTCCTGAAGTCTACCAATGCCGCTCGCCGTGCGTCTTCTTCCGTCTCTGGCAGCAGCTCGATGCTCAGGCCCATACGGTCCTTCAGCTCTTCTGCCTTGGCCGCAGCACGCTCAAGTCCATGGCGTTCGGTTCGGAATGCCCGCCGCAGACGCTGGTTTTGCGTATAGGGATCTTCCCATTGGCGTGTAACAGTTTCTTGAAGCTCGCTTATCCTCTGCTTTGCGCATTCTAACTGCGCGCGGTCGGCAATAGTCTTCTCGAGTTTGCTGAAGGCGCCCTCGCGCTGCTCAGCCCGCTCCCGCTCGGTCATAAATACCCGGCCGAGGTTATCCATCTTGACCAGACTGTCATCATCACCGGAACCAGCGCCATAGTCCCTCCTCCTGCCACCAGACACAACCACGAAATCTCCCTGCCTGGGATCTGTCCGCAGCTCCAGCCAGCCGCCGCAGTCGGCGTGCTTAATACGGAATGACCAAATGGGCGTTGTGTGATAGTTACCGACGCGCTTCTTCTCCGCGTTGAACCGCACGCCCTGCGGTATTAGTGTCGGGCGCGGACACGTCGCGCACCACACGGCGAAGGGCATCTCGAAGCGCACGATGAGCACGCCCTCGGATGCGAGACGGGATGCGCGCGCGCCTAGCGGGTGTCGCTTGTGCAGAGCGTTTCCGGAGACGATTCCCTCGTGCTCTGGAGGGACATACCGTCCCATGCCGAAGCCCTGCATCTTGACGAGGGTATGGGTAAAAGATCGAAGTTGATCTTGGGGAGAGGGGCCCCTCGAGGATTAATGGTTGGAGGATGAGATTGTGGGAATCGTTGGCTGGTTTGACTGATATTACAGCCGTCGCTAGCGTTTTAAACACGAGCGCAATGTCAGTCGTGCGCTCGACCAAATGAGTGCCCCGGGGGGGGGGGGGAGCTCCTGTCGCCTGTTGATGGTGACGGTGATGTGGGATGATTGACTGTTGCAGGCCGAGGACACGCTGGGGGGTGTTGTCGGGTGCTTGGCAGAAGTATAACCCTAACCCTGAATGTAATCAGTCATCTCCAGTGTCATGATGTCAATTGCCCGCGCGCAGTGCAAAATTAGAAACCACATCGATCTTGTCAGAGCATCACTGAACGATGAACGCTAAAATCGGCACATATGATCTACCATGAAACTAGCAGTCAGATCAGTTATATGTCATCCAATATATCCCGCTCGGGAGGTCCACATCGCGCTATTCTCTGTTCTTTTCTGGAGTGAGCTGCCAACCTGAGTTAGATATCCTCAAGTCTGCTCCAATGATAAATGCTCACTTCGCCATTTGCCTAAACAGCGGGCTAATCTCGCTCAGTTTTTATTGCAGCTTGTCCTTCTTCCCCTTTAACCGTATACAACATTCACCTGCCCTCCGCTCTCCGTGCCGCGGGCCGGCCACCAAAATCTCGAGCGTTGTTTACACAGCAGGCAGATATTGCTGGATCATGATGGATATCACTATAGTCTAAGAGAGATCGAGACACCAGTCACCTCACCAATATGTTGTTCGACATGTCGCTCGTCAGTCTCTTGCTCGCCTTACCTGCGGTCATGATTAGTTCGCGCGGGCATCGTGCCTCCAGAGCCAATTCTTCTAGCTGCAATCCTCTCTTTCCCTGCTTCTGCCCTAACCCGAGCTGCATCTGTGTTCCTAAATGGAACAAAACGCTCTTGTGCGTTTCCTCAAGCTTCAATACCCTCCCCGGCATCCCTCTCCATTCCAGTAAGGAGTTGCAGAACTGGAAGCTGATCAGCCATGTCTTGAATTAAAAGGAAGAGCTTCTGCGGCTGGCTCAGACGAACAGGTATTGATGCATTGCTTGATTTTCGTGAGCCCGATTAGAACGAAGCTCGTTATACGGGTGGCATATGGGCTCCAACCCTCCATTACCACAGGGGCACCTTCTGGGTGCTCACGACCATGATAGACGAAGACAGGCCTCAAGATGACGCATCGCAGTAGGACAATACAGGATCCGGGTCCATCAAGCCTCGGTCTCCCGGAGCTGACCTAGTTTGATCATCTTCAAGGCAAAGGATCCGCATGATTCGGCTTTCTGGTCCAATACTGTCCACTTCAAGTTGAGGGGATACGATCCGGAACCGTCCTGAGATGTAAATGTCAAAGCCTATATATATATATATATATATATATATATATATTGCGGGCGCTCATGCCAGGAGGGTTGGGTAAGCCAACTGTTTATCTACCAGCTCCTAAGTCCACAACTTGAATGCCTAGGGCTGATCACTAAGTTAGGCCTTATATTGAGCTCAGGGCCTAAGTACCTTCACTACCTTATAGGTTGAGAGACGGTCATGACGGCTGTAAGCTGGCACAAGGGTGAGTGACCAACCTTCACCTAGATCTCAGGGAGGGTGAGCGGCTGGCCTCTTCCCCCGCCCAACACCAAGACCAATAGAGTTAGGTATGTCAGTACCACAATGTTTTTGTTCCTTCTTTGGGACGAACGCTAGCTCGAGAGCCCAGCCGCTTCACCCATGGCACCCCTGAGCATCTCATCTTTGTAACAGGTAGCAAATTGCCTGTCCACCTAACTCGTGCGCCAAAACACAAAAACTTCCCGCCAACATGGTTAATGCTAATCCCATAAAGACTGGCGCTACCCTCCATCGTCCCCTACCAAAATCGCTCATATCTCTCCACTAGGCCTCCTCGCCCACACTCTGGGCCTCGACCCCTCGCGTTTGAACCTGACCGCCCTCAGGGCAACTACGTCGGCCCGGAAGACCAAACTTTAATCTCCTGTCGCCAACAACATGTCCGCTTCACCTATCGTGTTGACCTCACCTTCAACCCCAGCCCGACAGCCAAAAAGGAAGGCGTTGAAGCGGGCATCACGACCTTCTTGACACAAAACCAACCATCTGCGCATGAGCATTGCGCTGCTCCGTCGGCGGAATGCAAGAAGTGGCTCGTTGCCTGGACTGTACCCTAATAACTTGAAGGAGGAGAGGACCAGCGATCCGGACGAGCTGATCCACCATGTACACTTCTGTGGCGAATCATATGTCTCAGTGCATGAGCCGGTTGTGACGCCGTTGCCATGGGCGTGGCGGGGGAAGAGGTTGATCCTAGAAGTGAAGACGCATAACGAGATGCACTTCACCTCGAGGATTGGACTTGCCGCCGGCACGGTAGAAAGAAAAGGAGCCAATGGAGCGAGGTCGTGGTAACATCAAATGAACCTGTGAGTTGGGGATTTCCCGGTCAGTCCTGTTATTTTGTTTTTGTTTTTCAATTTTATTCCCTTTTTTCCAACTTCGAGTGCTGACAGATGATGAGGACGTTGCTTAGAATATAGAACCAGCAACGGAAATGGGATTGTGCTTGTATGCTTCTCGGACTGGAAGTACATCCCTCAGGGATAGCGCCGGGATTGCGTAATGACTTGCACTTATTGTCAAAAGTCAAACCTGATGATATCTCTCGTTTATATAGCTGTTGATTAGGTAGATACATAACTCTAATTCCGGTTCCAAATGAAACCCAAAAGCTAATCAGAAAATGTCTATCCCAACCGGCATGTGAGACCTGCTCGTTAAACCGTTCCTTTTCGTCTCCGCACTTCGATGTTGACTTTTACTGGGGGTATAACGTTGCATCCAAACCAGACTGTCTTTGGCTTCTCCGGTAATGGCTTGATTTCGTAGTTCTGTAAGATATACCACAATATCATTTTGAGCTCATGCGCAACAAGGAATCTCCCAGGGCTACTGTCGTCAGTAAGAAGAGTCAAAGGTGCTTAGGAGATTACTTACCATGCATGTCTGCCATGACTAAAAGGTAAATACTCTGGACTTGTCGTGACCATGCCCAGCCTCATGATCCGAAGCTCCTCATCCGAATCGGCGGCCGCCCCCTCCTTTCGTGATGCCTCCCACTCTTCACGCACCCTCGAAAACCGGAACGCATTGTACCGGTCTGGATCCGGATAGAGGTCCGGATCGCGGTGGGTGCCGGCCAAATCAAGCATCAAGTACGCTCCATGCGGTGCATGCCAACCCTCGGCGGCATTTGTGATACCCTCGGGTGCAGCAACCTTGCGATGGGTTAACGCCCGCGCCATATGACTCAGGCGTAAGCTCTCCTTGATAGCGCTGTCGGTACGATACAGACGTGATAGCGACTGCTTCGTCCAGAACGTACTGCCCGATTCTGCCAGCACCCTCGCAGTCTCCTCTCGGATGGCGTCCAGATAGCCAAGCTTTGGGTCGGAGGAGAACAGATCGAGCAGCAGGTTATGGCCTGCCATGACGGTTGTGTGGATGGCGGCGAACTCGATCGGCAATAAACGCTTCGAGATCTTGACGGGATCGAGCTCCGATTTCAGGTTGTCGGCATAGGCCTGGCGGATCAGCCAGGTAACCATGTCCTCGGGCGGCTCGTACGACGGGTCGACGCCCGATATCTTGCGCTCCATGGCACGCAGGCGCTCCTCGATCATATCTTTAGCCCGCAGATAGCTCCTGCGCCAATGCCACCAATTGCTGAGGACGAAGAAAGGAGCAACAAGGGGCAATAAGACGCGAGGAAACATGTTGAAGATGATGCTATTGCGGACAACGGCGTCGGCAAAGGCGACTTGGCTGTCGAGGAACTCTTTGTCTCTACATAACGGGCGGCTAACGATGACTCGGTTGGTTGTCTGAGGGATGATACCCAACCATGCCTCGAAGAGGTTGATCGACTTCCAATTCTCGGTGTCCTTGCCAAAGATTTTGTCAATGGCGTCTTGGATCTCCTCCTGGACGCCTGGGATGAGACCTGGGAGGTGGCGCGCGAGGTTTCTGTGGATGGTTTGCACTGAAAAGTGGTCGTCTTCGCCTACAAATTGGTAATCGCTGTACAACGCGTCCTTCTGAGCCTGCTGGGCCGACAGGATGCGATCGGGCTGCTCGAGCAGCCAGCCTGTTTGGGATCGCGGCACGACGATTTCATGGGGTCGGCTCGGGGATGAGGGCACGACAAAGGCGTGGCCCTTCTTAATATACTAGACCATAGAGTCAGCGTGGCAATGTGCGAGATCGTTGTCAATCTACCGCCTACCTTCTCGTAGCCCTCATCGGCCCAGGAGGGAAAGCGCGTCACATAAAAGAACCAATTCTTGATGGTGCCCAGCAGCCCGTCCCCGTAGCCGACCCGCGGCAGAGATTTGGAGTATCTGGGCTTCCATGTGAAATCGACTATGAAGGATCCAACAGTGAAGAGCGCGATATACGCAATCAGACGGCCAATGGTCAATGCTTCAAGCAGCTTAAAGGTCACCTCCAGTACCGCCATCTTGTACGTCTGAGACGCTGGGTTTGATTGCGATTTGTGTGCCTGCGTATGCGCAATGCGCTTGGATATAAGTAGGAGGAGGTGTAACCTCCACGAGGATCTTGAAAGGCAGCCTGAGGAGGAGGAGGAGGAGGAGGAGGAGGAGGATCAAGGAGAAAGAGGCTACCAAGTGATGCTAAGCCCTAGCTGCTCAAGCTGGGAGCCTCAAGAGAGCCTCAAGACGATCCCAGAAAAGTTGCAAACATTGTCTGCAATGAGGGAAGATCGCCGCCTGCGTCACGGGCCAGCTCGTCATGTTGGCTCTCCGTGACATCCATCGGGGTTGATAGGGGGCCGTATGAAACAGCATGGAACCACCTTGAGTTGTCGAAATGCATCGGAGACAGCATACCCCGGTGACCCCCTGTGCAGAACTGTTAGCGTTGGCAGGGGTTCATAGCTAGAAACTGGGGCTGACAGGAGTTGGCTTGGGAACCTTGGGTTCTTGTCATTGGCCTGTTTGAGCCACAGGCTAACGCTCAGGCCGCTCCCGATCGTTGGCAGAACCCCGCCATCTCCCCAGATCTCTAACGACCCGAGATCGCACGCCGAGTCAAGGTTGACGGGGAAGTTTTGCACCTTTGCGGAGCATCGGCGCCGGGGCAAAGGCTTCGTCAGCAGGCCAGCCGCAGCTGCGATGTCGGGCCAATTTGATCCAAATCTACCATATGGGCGAAAACCGATGCACGAGCGCTCCTCCCTTTTTTGGCCAGGACGAGCCTTTTGATTTGCCAGACTGTTTGCAAGGCTGACCGGGCTCTGTTGTCTCCGAGACAATGGGTAAATGCGTGCCGCCTCTACCCTGGAGAACTGAGCTCAAAATCCTTTGATTCTTGCGTTGAATACCTAGGCACTTATCAGACCCAAGGGGACTAGCATTGAAGTAGTCAAGAACAAAGGGATTGCAGATTCAACCTGGAAGACACTTTGGTGAGTTGGTATGCACTTGCCATATCCTCAGCTTGGACAGCTTCTGCCTGAAACCGGTGGGTCCATGGAGTGATCTATTGCTGTCCTTATATCCAAGCCATCAAGTGCCCAACCTGAAGTTTTCTCTTGACACATGACGTTGTCCTTTCTGCAAAGCAGGCCGTCCTAGCCCTCTGAGTGCAAACACTTTGCAAAATGTCAACGTATAACGGCGTTATGGCTGAGTTTCTAGACGTCTGAGGCAGGCCGGCCGTGCTCAGCTCCGTTTGTTTGCAGCGGTGGCTAACAGAACATCAAACATGCACTTTTCCCTCTCCCACCCCGATTTTCACTCCCCTTGGCATGTTTCTTGAGCCACATCCGAAGCGATTATCTCTCTGGCCTCGAGTCGCTTCGCTCCCCATTGTTAGCAGATAGTCGTTTTGTACTTGCCTGAGATCTGACTTGTGGATAGCGTGTATTGTTCTGACTTCTTGCAAGGCTGTCTTGTCCTCTGTGTCTTGTTGCTGGTAACTACTCACGTTTAAGAGACCCCTGCTCCCGGAACACCCACCGTCATTGAGCTTGAGCCTGGAAGGAAAGGTTAAGAACGAAAGTGATTGATCCAATTTCGTAATTGCTAACACACCTCTTCCCAGGCGTCACTGTCGAAAAGCTCTTGGTCAGCACTGCTTCGGAAATGTATGTTGACATGATATGTTCAGATAGACATCTTTCCGAAACAACGAGCTGGTTGTCTCAGTGATGACCGAAAGCCGGGTTACCACTCACCAGGGGAGAGCTCTTGTTTACTTTCTTTGAGGCTTTCGTTAAGGCTATCCCTTCGAGAACCTACTTCAGAGTTGCGCTCTCTGGGCCTTTCTCCGGACGAAAGGCCAGACCTAGATATATGCGCTTCAATGCCTTCAAGACAACATTGACGGGAGTGGTTGGGAAGCATGTTGTCAACGACTGACCATGGTGAAGTTAAAAAACAAAAAGCACACTGCACTACCTATGAGTTTTGCGAACCTTAATGCTTTCAAAGACCCGCCCCGCTAAAGGTCCTGGTCGTGGAGGGAGGAAGATATTGAGCTTTTTATTTCTGTCACTGGCTTTCTTTCAGTTCGTTGTCAGATCCACAACCACTCAATCCGGTGATTGTCAAGTCCTGGAAGAGCCTGATTCAGGCGAGAGCGGCTCATGATTTCGGCAGATAATCACCTCCCTCGTCATCTGTTTGGAGTGGTAGGATGTGAACCATGAGGGAGGCCATTTTGTCGAGTTCAAGTGCTGTATACTTGCATCAGCAGCCGTCGCACCACCATCTCGTGGAAATGTATCATGTTCTTCGTTGGGGACTTTGCAAGACTAAGCAGAGATTAGCCATCTGCTCGCAGGTCGTTCGGCAACATCCAGCCTAAATGCAGCCTGGACTGTTGCAGGAGACCACTGGAATACTTTGGGCATACGAGGCGAGCGTGCCGGTTGTCCCTTGGGGTATAAATGAATCCCTGAATCCCAGACCGGTGCATCCAGATCTTGTCCTTCAAGATCTCAAGCAACACTGGAGGTCGAAACGATTGGCATTCAACTCAACGAGCACAACTACAAGCATTGAATCTGCAACAACTTTCAGCACCGAAAGCAAACGTATCTATCGTGTCTTATGCGAACGTGAGCAACCGTTGACATTCTGTATATGATACACAGGCGTGATATGAGGTTCCTGAGATCTTTCAGGTCCTTCCACAGTTTTGTTCTGGAGTTTGCGGTGACAGAGTTTCCTCAGGCATTTAATGAGCCATTTGACCAGCAAGATGATGATCTTGCTGATTCCTTTCGAAAGAGGGTTAACTTCTGAGAACGATGTGTGCCAGGATTCAGAAAGCCTTCTCCTGTTTTAAAACGAGCATCTATTGAGACAGTAATCTCTCTGTTGCGGTAGTCTTAACTGCTGTCAAAATTTGTTACGTAACATGTCCAAATAGATATTGATACCAGTGAGCTCCGGTTATTGTTATTTGCAGCATTGCTTACGAGCTTGCGATAGCAGACTCCGTCTCGATGTTTGATCCTAGCAGGCCGACCACAGGGCGACACAGTCACTGCCGTCTAAGTCAACTGTAGCGTTTTCAGCAGTGCTTTCCAGCTTGGGCACACAGCTATTACTATGGTTGCTCTCTCGGATGCTGGCCAATTGCACCGGTCTTCCAGGGTTCCTGAAGGGATGCCTTACACCACACTCGGCGCCCACTGTTCACATCCAACCCCCGTGTGCGGGTGTCTTGGCTGGCTAGCTCTCGACTTCGCATCTTCACCATACGCTCTCCGATTCAGCATTCTCGTTCGACTGTCAACCTACCTCTATTCGGTTCTCTGTTTTCTTGCTCAGTAGTTTTCTCCATAGCGTCTATGTCAACCCCCACGATTTCTAATCTTCATTGTTCCCCAGCCTCATGTCGGGGTTAGGTTGCGCCGAGCTTGGTGACTTCGGCTGGAGTTGTGGCGCGTCTTGGCTGTGGCTAATCTCCGCAAAAATGCCGATTTTCCTAGTAATACCGGCCCTCAACGGCTGACGCACCAATGACAGCAAGCGGTCTTCCCCTCAGCCTTTTGTGTACGGCCTCGTGGAAATGATCATTAGAGTCTGTGCTAGATTTGGCTAGCGATTCTGTCAATTTAATACCTCTCTGTGTACAACAAGCCCGTCTGGAGAGGTAGTCGGCCGAAAGCCTATTCGCTATAAGGCAGGTGATGTACCAAAGCTGTAAAATACAATACGCCAGTCCCGGCAACATGCTGCTGGACATTGCACGCAGGGTCTTGAACTGCGGGGCCACAGCTGGGTCTCGTTTTCACACAAGGTCTTTGCGGGGTCCCGTTGCAAACACCGCTGCCGAAACCAGAGATTGGAAATGCCCAGCTTGGCAGCATGATTAGCCGGTCAACAAAATCATCAGACCGTGCAGTGAACAACATACGCTTATATCTTAGCAAATGGATTATAGGACACAACATGTGTGCGATACGAAGTGAAGCAGCGCTTTGGCAGAATAAGAAACGGACCTGAAAGACCCGAAGCATTTCTGCAGTCGAGAACCTCCATTGACAAGACCCCGCTTCCCTCGAGCCCGAGTCAACTGGTACTCGACCACTGCCATCATGTGGATTGAATTTTGTACACACGCCCAGTCTAGCTAGCCAGGATGGAATGCGTGCGGCGAGTGAACTGCTCAGCCATTCACTTACCTCATTTTACCAGCCGAATGACAATCGGCTGGCCGTTGAGCTAGAAACTGGCCGAGTCCGTGAGGCCCAGTTGGAGAGACTAGTCTGCAGCTGTCAAGTGCCTGCATACGCGAGCTCCCACCACACAAGTACCGGAGCTCTGGTCTGCCGTTTCTGGAGTGTCAGGCTTGCAACCGTCTCCAAAATAGGACAGTCGCTCGCAAGATCCGTCCCTTTCTGAGCTGGGCTGGGCTGTGGGCCCAGCCAAATTTGCAATTGGCAATAAAAACCGTTACATTTTCGATGAAGGTATCATTATTTGCTCATCGTGATATAGTGGCGGCACGTAGGCGAGGATGACAACAAACTTCGAGGCACCATGGCCTTGGTCGCTATCTCGCTTGACAGCTACTTACGAGCCGCGCTCTCTGTTTGATCCGGGCAAACGATGGCCGCCAATTAGACTATCTGAAAACATTTCGATGGAGAGCTCCAGAATTCGTTATCCATCGCCATGGAGCCCTCGCTATCGAGTTTCATTTCTACCCATCATGGGTTGCCGGTCCATCTCCCATCCTAGTTACGTAAGTCTCAGGAGGGGTGTTTTTTTTTAGCAGATACTGCTGTAGCCAGCTTCTCCGCACGAGGAGTCTGTGACCCTTTGCGTTCCCCTCACTTACCAACCCTCCCAACCTTGGATGAGTGGGTTGAGGGTTGTGGAAGCATAGTATGGGCACCTATAGGCCTGCATGCTAAGCTTACTAACGCTCAATGTGCAGTTTCTTCTTGAACCTGCGCCGGAGAAGCCACAAAGTCCACTG